ATCTCAAATACCATCTCCTGTACTCCTGTACCACCTATTAGGAGAGTAAGTACCAGAGGTAAACAGAAGTTAGTATGGCTCAATGACTATGCCACCTTTGCTACACAGTCTAAATTTCTTCCACCACAAACCTTTCCTTTTGTCAGTAATTCCACCATAGCCTCTTCACATTTTTCCTTCCTCACCAATATCTCCAAGACCTATGAACCATGCTCCAATGCACAAGCACAAGGTAAACCTCAGTGGGAAGAAGCTATGCAAAACAAGCACTTGAGGATAATGAAACTTGGACAGTTACCACACTTCCTCCAAATAAGAAAGCTATTGGTTGCAAATGGGTGCACAAAGTTAAATACCATCCTGATGGAACTGTTGACAAGTATAAAGCCAGACTTGTTGATAAGGGTTACACGCAGATAGAAGGAGAAGACGACTTGGAATCTTTTTCCCCTGTGGCTAAAATAGTTACTGTCAGGATCATATTTGCCTTAGTTGCTGCAAAGAAATGGCCTATCCATCAACTAGATGTGAATAATGCTTTCCTTCATGGATATCTTCATGAAGAAGTATACATGCAATCTCCTCCTTGTTACTCTCATGTTCAATCAGGTCAAGTGCTCAAGTTGAAGAAGTCTCTTCATGGTCAAAAGCACGCTTCAAGGGAATGAAGAATTTACTAAGCAGCATAAGTCATGTGGTTTCAAAAAATCCTTTGTTGATCATTATTTGTTCATCAAGCAAAGGGATGATCATTTTCTTGCTTTGCTGGTATTTTTTGATGATGTCCTAATTACATGAATCATCTTAACAGCACATTGTTTCTACTAAGGATTTTCTTCATGCAGCATTCACCATAAAGAATCTTGGTCCTGCAAGGTATTTCCTTGGTATAGAGATTGCCAGATCAGACAATGGTATAGTTCTTAATCAAGGAAAGTATGCACTAGACATCTTGCAACAAACTGGTCTGACTGGATGCAAGCTTGTCAATACACCATTACCAAAGGGACTCAACTTACGGACTGATAAAAGTCCACCATTGGCTTCACCTGATTAGTACATAAGACCAGTAGGCAGGCTGCTTTATCTGGGAGTAACCAGGCAGATCTTACTCCTGCTACTCAACAATTGAGTCAGTTTGTCCATGAACCTCTACAAGTATATAGGAATGCAGCTCAGCATGTACTCCGGTACCTCAAAAGAGCTCCTTCTTTAGAGTTACTTTATTCCAGCTGATCTGATCTTCAGCTCACTACATTTAGTGATGCTAATTGGGGACAATACACAGAAACTAGATTTTCACTCTCTAGATACTGCATCTTCTAAGGCAATGCTTTAGTTTTCTAGAAGACTAAAAAGCAGACTACAGTTTCCAGATCATCTTGTGAAGCAGAATACAGGCGCATGGCATCCATTGTATGTGAGCTTCAATGGATCTCCTATTTGCTGAGAGATCTTCTTTTGCCATTGTCTCTTCCTATTCCTTTTGGTTGTGACAATCAGACAGCTCTCCACATTACTAAGAATCCAACTTTTCATGAACGTACCAAGTATTTGGATATTGATTGTCATGTTGTCCACAATCAATACAAGGCTGGTTTTATACTTCCTATGTTTGTGCCTTCAAAAAGTCAACCGCCTGATCTTTTCACCAAGACTCTCCATGCTTCACCTTTATTCTTCTTGCTATCTAAGCTAAGTCTTGCAGATCTTCATTATCCCAAGTCTCAACTTGAGGGGGGATCAACAAATTAAAGGGTGCAATGAAGCTTCCATCATCGGATAATTCTGATCAATGCTTTGTATTTGATCCTGGAGATTAGACAGAGACTCAATTGACCTTTTATGTAAAAATTAGGACTCAATTGTATAGTTGACTGTTTGACTTGTATTTAATTCCAGATAATCATTAGTTTTAGGTTTATATATATTGTACCAAGCTTGATGATCAAGCTAATCTGATTAACAGGAATAAATAGAATTTTTACCTAATTTTGACCATGTCTTCTTTTTCAACATCCCGTCATCAAACCCTAGCAAATCTTTTAAGGCTCTACTCCCACACCCACCTTTTTAGGTTTTAAGCTGGCTTTTTAGTTTGGAGACAAATTAATTTTCTCTCCATAATCATGTGAGAGCTCTTATCCTATCTTGATGACTTACCATGTATACTTCATGCTTTCACGATGATATGCATTAATCTCTAACCTATAGATTTATGTTTTTTTTTTGATACAATGAAAGAGGCAAATATCTAGTGTCTTAAAACTAATACCGATCGTTGATAGGACACACCAACGACATCATGTTGCAATCATGATTGAAGGCGGCGGATCATTTAACAAAGATAGACCTCCAGGGTTAGCAGCCGCCAACGATGCAAGAGAGTCAGCGGCGAAATTCAACTCACAGTCCATGCCCTTGCTAACAGTTCCCGAATAGCTTTAACAAGGCCTCCATGTATACCAGTCGTTCATCATTCCCTTTCATCATGGTGACAGCTTCTACAATAAGCTCCCGCAGCCCAACTCCTATGCTAGCTGCAAACCTTGATAAACTCCCCATAATTCAGCTCCCGTGGTGGAGCAAAATCCGATATTCATAACAAAACCTCCACACCAACCACCACGAGAGTCCCTTACTAAACCGCCGGCACTAGCCATCCCATTTTGCACATTAGAGGCACCATCGATCTTGAGTTTATGCCACCCTTCCAGCGGCGATCGCCATCGCAACCAAATAGCTTCCCGCACCTTGCATGATGGCCCAAGCAAATGATCTCCCGTAAAAGCAGCTTTAATTCCGGCAACAAAGGACTCTATTTCAGTTATGGACTTAAGAAAAACTATTTAACCAACCATATTTCCAACGTGATTTGACCTATATATATTCTGTTATTACTAACACTTTTCAATCATTTTAGCAACCAAGCCAAATCATTACTGATCACTGTTTACACTGAAGCAATACCGTTACTTGTTGACTTGCAACTGATTGGCGGACGTCGATATTTAGACTGGAATTCTAGTCAACCATTGATTTTCTAGCAGTAACGTATATGAAATCATAGTGGCCTTAATGGTGGTTCGATCAGCGTTGAAGAAAAATTTGTTTAATTAGTTCAAGCATGTTTTTAACTATTCTCAAAATACATTTCACATATTCAATAACCAAAAAAAAATAGTAAAAAAGGTAATGACTTGAAATGCATCATCTTTCTTAGTATGTACAACTAGTACTATGACTCTTTTATGTTGGTACTTTCCATAAAAATTTTATAATTCTCCTAAAACTTATGTTTTTATCCCAAAATATTGTGCGCACATCAGCCCTAATATGTTTTCTTCACTATATAATTTTTTACTAGTTCTATTAACTGTTCAGACACAAATTACCCCAGAAACAAAAAATTGCACACAAGTCATGGTAGGTATCTCTTTTCATATTAAACTCGTATTTCTATGCAAATGCAAAATATAGACTTAATGAATTTTTCTAAGAAAACATTTAACAAGAATAATTGGAGCACAATTGTGTACAAACTAAATAATTAGAGAGCAATTGTGTACAAAAGTTGAAGTCGTATTAATTCAGAAGTTTTATTTTTTAAAAAAAAGTTAAAGGTTAACACATGATTAGGAACTAGTTTATGAATGTCATATTTAATTGAAATGTGTATAATCCCTCTAAATAGATTCCACCATTTTTTTTTAAGGTAATTTTCATATAATTTAAGGTCCTCTCCCCTTTTAGTCTTGGCTCCTACCATCAATAAAATATATATGTAGGATTATATTGAAATAGTGTCATACACATTTAAGGTCTGAATCATCTAAATCATAAACTTAGTCACAAATCATTGGTAATGAAACAAATTACTATTTCTCCATTCTTAGCTTCAATCATCACTAATAACTAGACGCAATAAATGTAATGATATCATAGAAGTTATTAATAACAAATTATTATTATAATTAAACATAAGTTTTTTGCCTTTTTTAAAAATCTTATCACTACAATAACCATGTGGTACCAAAAAGCAATTTACCGGTAGAACTGAAAAGGTTAGATAAAATCTATCGACTTTATTTATAACAATAAAATGGGAGAATTTCACTTATTAGATTAATGTAATGGTACGATCTTGTTACAATCTTAATCAAATCTTGTATTCTTTTGAATCTTGAATAAAAATCAGATATCCTTATTAGAGTTATTTAACTCGTGACACCTAAGGTCCTAATTAGTGAATAAATACCGTGATTTGATGTTGTTTCAGGCATCACCGTGAGTTAAAGGAGGGAAAAAAAAAACAAAAACAAAACAAAAAAGTCACAACTCACAATGACAAACTTATACACAGAATTTTCAGTTCAGTTTCCCACTAATCAGCTGTCTTCGAACAGTCCACTGTAATCTTAACATGCAGCCTAAGAAAAAGCTTTTGGCTTACACCTGGACATAATTCATCACAGAAAACGTGACCCTTTTTCCAAATGAATCAATATATCAAGAATCAGCATGCAGAAATTGATGAAAATGCCGCAATTTTTACTCGGTGGCTCAGACGTCATCTTAATTTGTCCTGAAACTGATTTTGGTTTGTCATTTTAGTGTTTTTTTTTTTAGCGTCCTTCCTCATCTGGGTCTGACAGATCAGATTATCAGAATCCTGATTCTGTATTTGTGAACTGACTAAATTAAAAGCTGACGAAAAAGGAAATTTTACTAGGTATCTTCAAGAAGACAGTTCATCACTCATCCAACTTGTCCTCTGTTCATCCTCTGTTTTATCTTTGGGTTATTTTTTAATTTGTTTTCTTTGGGCGTGTTTTGTTTTTCTCTGTTTATTTTTTTTTTATTTTTTTTTTTGTTTTGCCACCATCCACATTTCATCTTGAACAAAATCCCAACTCAATTTTAAGTTTTGCAAACAAATTTGATTGAAGGCAGTGGAATAGTACTCTGCTCTGGTTTGATTAAAAGAATCGCATTCCGGGATGGCAAATGAAGCACCTGAAATCCCGGAATCGGAGCTTTGCTCCCAGTTGATTGAGGCTGGACAGAAACTTCTAGGTCCGCCACCGTCTGTCGATGAAGTTCTGCAAATCCTCAATGTAAATTTCTTATTTGTTATTTCTACAAAATGATTTTTTTATATATAGATGTATTATGATTTCTCGAAATCAGCTTGTTGCATGCATGTGCAAGATTTTCAGACAAAGACCTCAACTTTGTTCTTATCTGGAATTCATAAATTGGGGTGATTTGATAATGTGCATTGGATGATTTGATAACTGAGACTTATTGCTGCTTTATGAGTTTCATGTTGTATGGTGATTGATTTGTAACTGTCGTTTAATTCGCTCATCAATTCCTGAAGATCCCTAAAATAGAATTAAGTTTTCAAAGCTGGACTGAATTGAACTCTTACAGGTATCATAAAGCATTTTTCCATTTGTTTTTATGAGGGAGGGTGTAAATCTGTTGTTCTACTTTCGTGTTTCGATTTGTTCATCCGTGGTTTATGAATTTTCTCGATGAATGTATTCCTTTTGTGTGTCATGGGTTCATTATAATAATCTTTGAGAGGCATTCATTTGATCAGTGGCAATCGTTTGAAACTAGTAATTAATTTTCCGGTGTTTGCCTGAAGCAGAATCTTGTTAAGACTTTATCTGCTTATTGATTCGTATCTTACCCGGTTTATATGCTATAAATGATGCTTCATTACATGCCTCGATCGGAACTTATCAGATTATTTCTAGCATCTATTCGTGTATTTATTCGTTTCGAGACTTACTCTCGTTGTGCCTTGACTAAATCCCTTTAGTCACCGTTGTAGTTTACATGGCTTAATGATTATTTTTTGAAGGCACTAATTTGTTCAGTTGCAATTATTTGAAAGTAGTAATTGTTTGGATCTTGTGAAGGTTTTATGTGCTGATTAATTCGTACTTAATCTCACATTATATGACCAGATGCTTCATTACACGCCTCGGGACTCATCAGATTATTTCTAGCATTCATTCGTGTATTTATTCATTTAGAGACTTACTCTCTTTGTGCCTTAACTATATCCCTCTAGTCACCATTGTAGTTTAGCTTATATCTTTGGTTTTGTGCCCTGTTCATTAGAGTGTTGAAGAACTTTTGAGCTCCGTGGGGCAAGAGCCTTCTCGGGCTTTACGTGAAGCCCTTGTGCCTGCAATGAATGGGCTAATCTCTGAAAAGCTTTTCCGACATGACAGTGTGGATGTGAAAGTTTCTGTATTGTTTTGCATCCACGAGCTTATTAGAGTTGGAGCTCCGGATTCACCTTATGTGGATGACCGCATGAAGGTTAGCACACCAAATGATATTCATTCCAATTCTGTTTATCTGTCCTCTTTGTGTAAATTTAGTTGTGAAGATTTTCTGATGTCATTATTTGAATGTGTATAGGAAATTTTTCAGGAGACTGTAAATAATGTTTTCGGGAAGCTGTCTTTGTTTTCTGGTAGATCTTATGCAAAGGCCTTGCAAATCCTTCATACAGTTGCCAAGGTCAAATCAAGTTTGATTCTTTTGGACATTGGCTGTAATGCATTGATCAGCCGAATGTTTCAGGTCCTCATGGATACCATTCAGTAAGTCAAGAATTTTTTGTATGAGAATTTTCCAAGATAAAGGCAAAAACTTTGCCACTTTTGTGCTTTTGAAGTACTTTGAAAGTTGTTTCCCTTTTTCGGAACACATGATTGAATAAGTCTATAGAATTATTGCTTTGTCTAATTTGTTTATGTTACTGAAGTTTCAATTTCAGAAACCGTTATTAAAGCAGCCTTCTTTACTGATAGTTCTTTGTTTTATCTGATCAAGACCAAATCATCCAGATGTAGTGTTCTCAAACATGGAGGAAATTATGACTACTCTGATTCAGGAAAGTGATGAAGTCTCGGTAGATCTTCTGAAGCCTCTTCTAACCGTGGTAGACAAGGAAAACCAGGTAGTTTGCGTTTTATTATATATATCTTTCGCGTCTCAACCTTTATTTTCTTCCCATTTTATGTTTAGATAAGTAACCTATGTTATTTCCCACAGATTAATTCTCCACCATCCCAGATATTAGCAATGAAAGTACTGAAGAATTGCTCTGAGATAGTTAAACCTTATCTGATCGAATTTGTGGAACAGCTGAGGAAAGATGTTGCAGCTTGTACGTATATAATTGCTTCAATCTGGCCTGACATGCCTGCTTCAGAAAATGTAATGTGATTGTTTCCTTTTCAGCGAAATTCGATCCTAATCCTCAGATTGTTTTGGTTTTGCATGTCTTTCTTTTGTTTGCTTGGATTTGATAACAAGACCATCTTTACTTAGTATGCTAACGTAATCAGGTGGCGAAAGAGGCAGAAAAGGAGGCCTCTTCTGTGCCATTAATGCTGGAGGTTGGCACCACACAAAGGGACGATTATGAAAGCTCATCAGCGAATGATAAGATTTCGAAGGCATTAATTTGCCATGAAAATAATGAGAAGATGCCAACTGAGGATACAGAATCAGTTCAAACTGGCACTGGAAGAGAAGCAGGACTGAGAACAAATAAGGATGCTTCAATCATATTAGCTGCTCATGAACAGGTTGAACAGCTGCAAATTGTTGATGCAGATAAAACTCAGCCTGAAACTTTACTTGCAAGGAATAACACTGGCAAGACATTAATGGTTGATGAACAGGTTGAGCAGATCCGAAGTGTTGCCAAAAAATGCGTAGAGCCTGAGACTCTAGAAACTGGAGAAGTACTTCGCGGAGGAAGGGGAAAGAGTTCAACAACATATGCAGGCAATGAGCAGATTGAGCAGATGAAAAGTCCTCCAAAAGAATGTGAAATGCCTGATGCTTTAGTAACCACGGGACGGGGGAAGAAAGCAGGCCCTGAACAGATTAAGCCTCTTCAATTGGACACATCAGAGTCTGGAAAAGGACTGAAACATTCTGTGGTCAGGGCTGACAGGACTTCTTCAGAAAATCCACGGAGGCAGAGTAATTATGGGAAGCGGAAAAGCTTACCAGAGAAAAAAGGTCAGCCGAAGAAGAAAAAGATTTTGAAGGAAGAGTGTGAAGCTGAAGTTCTGCCGAAGGTATCATACAGTTCCAAGTCTTGAATAAGATATATAACAGAATAATTCTAGATTAAAAGTTCGCAGAAGTATCACCTGATATGATATTTCCTTGTTTTCATGAATTTTAGTGACTTGGTCCATAGCATGTCCTCGTATTTTCTTTTTTGGGGTCCCATTAATTGCATTGCTTCCCCTTGTTTTAGGGTTGTCAGAAACCTCAAGATGGCAAAGAGTATCGAGAAGAATTAATCGGTGAAAGGATATTGGTTTGGTGGCCGGAGGACAAGCAGTAAGTACCTTAAGTTGCCTATGATAGTGAGCAGTCTATTTCCATTATCTCATGCATGCTGAGTTCAGACCAAAATCACCAAATATAGTTTTGTTTAACCTCGATCTCTAGTGCCTTCATGAAACCGTTCTCTAATTGCTGTCGCTGGTTCTGAAAATCCAAAGCTATTTCCTTTCTGATGAGATTTCTGGAAGTTTAATCTTTGAGTTTAATGGTTATTAATCTCAAAGATCTCTACTGATACATTCCTACTCAATGATGAGATTTCTGGAAGTTTCATCCACATCATCTTGATTGTGTAATAACTCATTCTGTATTAATCCACCATGTCTTCTTAGGAATGTTCCTTGATTGCTGCAATTTCTCTCTTTCACACTTTCAAGTTTCAATCTAGTGCACTGTGGATATACCACGGCCTGTTTATTAGTCATTGAATTTAGAAAGTTTTGTATCTCATCAAGGTTTATTAGCAATCCTTTCTTTTTACATATATGGTTGATGCAGTGATTCCATTTACTTCCTTTCTTTGTTTCTTTAAATGTGCAGACCACAGATGCTTTTGGAATATTACTGTATCTTATACTCCCAAACACACTGCAACTTCTTGAGACTCCTTAACTCTTTGCCTCAACAAATGCAATAATGCATAGCATTTACCTAATTCTAGCCATATGTTTTACTCTGAATTTCTAACATGTCCAGTTTGATTGATTTTCTACAGGTTCTATGAGGGATTTGTAGAAACATATGACCCTATCAAGAAAGAGCATAAGGTGAGAATCAGATTAACTGCACGATATTCCTGTAAAAATGGATTGGAGATATTCGTTGACTTGTATAACCCTTCAACAATATGACGTATTTCTTTGCATTTACGAATTTAATGATGCTTATTACCTATCCATTTCCATCTACATTGTTGTCTTTGATGAACTACAGTTAAAGTCTTGCTAGTTCCCAACAGATGATTATTTGTAAGAAACCAATTCTTGATGTCTTATATGCACAGATGATGCACGATCTTGAAGTTGTAAAATTTTGAGGCTCACTACTTCATGAGCTTTTCTGATATCATATATATTCTCATTGGCTGTGGTCTGTTGTTTCAGGTGGCTTATCTTGATGAGGATGTAGAGGTTTTGAGGTTAGAAAATGAGCGCTGGTTACTCCGGGAATGTGATGAGACTTCTTCTGTGAGTGTGTTCAAAGTGTTGAATTTTCCACCATTCTGAGGTTCCGACAAGTTTTTTATATCTATTTTTCTGACTTCAGCATTACAAAAAATTTCGAACTGTGAAAGGATACAATAAAGAGATAGTTGGTTCACGGGTCAAGGTGTTGTGGGCCGTTGACCATGAGTAAGTCATTTGCCTCTCCCTAACTCCATCCTTAGGGTACCTGTTTGGCAATGCTGATTATCTCCGTAATTTTCTTTCTTCTTTCCGAATTCCTCATTTTAGATTTTAGTCGTCTTTGTCCGTGTTCCCCTTAGTTTTGGATGAAGTTATAAGTTGATGTAAATTCAAAATGCATAGCTATTTCCTTTTTGTGCTTTTTTTCAACTTGTCAATTTGTGCCATTTTTGTGCACATAATGTATGCAATCCTACTTGTCAATTTTAGTTACAAATTTATGATAATCTAAAAGTTGGTGCACAGATTGAGCAACTTAAGTGCATTTCCTACTTGTGTGAACTTCGTTTTGGTGGATTTATTATCGGCATAAAACTTTGGAACCATTGTGTATTACACTCACTTTTCAACTTTTAAAATTTGGTCAAATGCAAGCTGAAGTAAAATGGTCCTTTTTGTATAAATTTAGAAATAGAAGTGGTGATGATATACGGTCTTAGAGAGTATAGGAATACACTGAATTGTGAAGAATATTTTATAAATACCTTGTTCATGAAGCAATAGAATTTCACAGATACAAAAAAAAAAAAAAACTTTTAAAATTGTTTCAGCAGCAATTTCGGGCTCTCTCATTCTTGTGTATATCATCAACCTTAATTTATCTGTATGTCTGCTCTCAAAAATTAATCTTAATAAATTTATTGGTTTTTAACAGGTACTATGACGCAGCCGTCGAGTCATATGATCCCATCAAGGAGCAGCATAAGGTAATAATAACAGGATCAAGCACGTTTTTTTCCCTGTAAAACACGTTTCAGATCGATGTTTATTCTCAAATGGTTTCCCACTTTTATGTAGGTGGCTTATATTGATGGGGATGTGGAGTTTGTGAAACTGGATGTGCACAACTGCATACTGGTTGGTCACATACTTACACAAGCAGTGAGTTTTCCCTAGTTGTTCTTCAGTATGGTTCATTTCAATTGATTTCCTTCTTTTTCCAATCCATTAGATCTTCTAAGTACATTTCTTTGCTATACTTCTAATAGCGTGACAAGGCCAACCTTCCAAATTATGCTGCTGCGCGACTAAGTAAGTAATCTTTAAATAGTTTGGTTTTCATTTTATTTTTTGAATCTTTACAACATAACTTCTGTCCTTGATTAAAATTTGTGTCCAATTTTATCGTCACAAAACTAGTTTAAAAATTTAGAGGTCCTGCCCACAAAGTGCACTTTCTCTGCACAGTGGTTAATCAGACAGTCGAAGAATATAGTTAATGCTCACTCCATCCCGAAATGATTGTTTAATTTATATTTTTTATTTTTAGTTCAAATTGTATTAAAAACAAAAAATTTAACTGAACAATAATTTTGGGAAGAGTAATTGTTTAGTTGAGAACTTATATCTTGATGATGCGTATACCTTAGCCTCCTTTTCGAGTCCTTTTAGAGCGCAATTTATATTCATGCCATTGATCTCTAGTAATGAAGTAGCTGATGATTTATCCATTTTGGCTGTTTGATTAATTAAGGTTATGAAAATATTTGTGTTTCAGGTCTCCAACTCAAGCAAGAAGGCGTCGTCTAGTCAAGGTGGCTGACAAAAAGATCAAGGCATCTTCTCCATATCAGCACAAGGATGGGAGGTGACGAAAAGGGTGCATATACTTGAAGTTTTAATGTACTATTATCGTTATTCTTCTTCAAAATGTAAAACATTATACTTATTCTCATGTTTTGTTAAATCACATTTTGATATACTTATTAATTTTACAAAACTTTTCAGTTACTGTCCATGTTATTGTCAAACTTTTGGGAACAAGGCAAGCTTTAATCCAAACGAAATACAAAGTATACCATCTCCAAGTAGAAGAGTGATGTTCTAGTGTCGACGTTACTATCTTCTTTTTTCATGTTTATCATTATTAACACGCACCACTATCCCACCTCACACATGCACGAGCATATTATTATTTTTATAAGAACTAGCCATTAATTTTTATTTATTTTTTTGGAGTAACAATTGATTTTTTTTTTTTTTGGTGTAATACTATCTCTGTCTAAAAAACAATTCACATTGAAATTTTTTTAGATACGTACTAAAAACAGTATAAATTCTAACTCTTTTTTTTCGAATGTCACTGATAACACTAACATCCTAACCATCTAAATTTGCCAGAATTAACCTATAGACAAATCACATGTAATTTTTTTCATTCGTTATTTAAGTAGGTGATCATTTGAAAGTAGACACCGACACAAAGATATGAAAAAATGAAGTTGGCTTAAAACTTAAGACCAAATTAGGAGATAAGCCTAATTAGTTGTACACATGGGATCAATATTTTACATAACCATCTGCATTTTTTTTTTTTAATCCCAAAGGAAAGGTTAGGATGGTGTTCAGGTTCCAACTAACTTAAAAAAACTCAAGGGGTATACCCAAGAGGTAAATTTTTGAGTTAGCCAGTGCCATACAGTATAATGCACCAAAAGGGTATACCCAAAGGATGAACATATATACTATATAGTTCCCTAATTCCATCTCTCCCCATTCTTTATTATTAATGTGCAGCAAGAAGTGGCAGAGCTTAAGTCTCACCACTATTACATCACCTCAACTTTTGTGTTTCTTTCCGAATCATTTTCGTAGATAAAGAAAAGACTTTTGGTCTAAAACCATTAGTCCTTTTACAAAGCTTGGAAGGGAACTAAAAGTTTCAAAAATTTTAAATTCTCCCATTGACGCCATCTTTACTAAGAAGTCCGTTACAGAATTGCCTTCTCTGTAAATATGAATAATAGAATACCTTCTTCTCTCCAAGATACTCTTCATCTCAACAAGCTTCAGAAAATGCCTTCAAGGAAACCCAACTTGGTCTGCCAGAGCATCAGCAAGAAGTTTGTTGTCAGTCTGAACTACTACATTCGGGAGTTGAAGTGACTCGCACTTTCGTAATCCAAATAATACTCCACAGATCTCCCAAGAATAACTATCAGCATCTCCAAGATAGCCACCCCCCATATACAAAAACACCCCCCTCTCCCCTTATGACGAAACTATATCCAGCACCTTCTAAATTGGTGGAACCATCGTAATTTAGAACAAAAGAATTCTCACTTGGGGGTGCCCATGTCACAAGCCGAGATCTCCTTCTAGATAAAAGTGGTAAATGCAATCCAAAAATTGTATGAATAAAGTCATTTTCAGCCTCACCACTAACCTTGAGTTCATGAGCAATCAACATATCTCTCACATTATATAAAACTAAGTGAGTAACGGCATCAAGATTTGGAGAAATACCTTCAAAAAAGAATTTGTTTCGGGCTTTCCATAGCTCCCAAAGAATAAAGACGGGGAAAACCTTGTATAGGACCCCTTTCACCACATCAAAAGAACCATTTTTCCACCATCTCCTCAGAACACCGTGGAGACTAAAAGACTCCCTTATATCAATGTTCATAATATGAGAAAAATGCATCCAAATTCTTGTGGCAAAAGTACATTGATAAAAACAATGTCCCATACTCTCAGCATCTTGCATACAAAACCCACATATAGATGGATTGACTCCTATACGAAGGGTATTCAATACTTCAGGGAAAGGAAGCAACCCATTACGCAACTTCCACAAGAAGAAGGATATACGAGATGGTACCTTCCTATGCCAAATATTTTTTAGAAGGGGCTCAGCCCGTCGGCGTCTTCTAAGGACTTCATAGGCAGACTTCACCGTAAATTCTCCCTGCGGAGTATTTTGCCAAACCAATAAATCATCCCCTTCTGTAAAATCAAGACCAGCATGTTGCAAAGAGGATAGAACCAAGGGCTCTAGGCAGCCACGAAACTCTTCCAAGTAGTCATCCCTTCACAAAGAAAATTCTCTAATTGTAAGGTTAGGAGAAGGAGGATTGCCAAGATAAAGATTCCTCAATATTCCACAGCTTGACCAATTATCTAACCAAAAAGATTTGTCTCCCCTCCTAATGATGACTTTACAGAGAGGCGCCACTCTTGCTTCCATATTACTTAATCTCAGCCATGATGTTCTACCCTTAGCCGAATCCGAGAGGGAGAGTAAGAAAGAGCTCCAAATCCCTTTTCTATTCTTCACCTTCCACCAAAGCTTAGCTGTTAAAGCGGCAATAACATCATGGAAACTCCTCAGCCCCAAACCATTCTCATAAACCGGGAAAGTAATGTTTTGCCAAGAGCGCCAGTGTCTCCTTTGGTCCCCATTCGCACCTTCCCAAAGAAATTTCTGACACCTTCTTTCCAAACCTTGAATCACCGTCTTCGGGAGGGGGGGGGGTATTGCTGAAAAGATATGTAAGGCATTGATGACAGAACATGCCTTATCAATGTCAAACGACCTCCAGGCGAGAGCAATTTGTTTTTCCAGTTAAGGAGCTTAGCATCAAAAGCATCAAGAAGAAACTGAAAGGTGGAGATCTTTTTCCTTCCTTGAAACAACCGGCAGCCCAAATAAACAAAAGGAAAAGAGCCCTTTTGAATTCCCAATGTTCGTTTAATCATTTCAACTCTTCTAGGATTGCATTTTCCTGAAGCAACAAAAAAGGTCTTCTCTCGGCTAACTTTTTGACCCGAAGCTAGCTCATATTGCTCAAAAAAAGAATTAACCTCTTTCAAAGATCTTTTCAAACCCTTAGAAAAGATGATCAAGTCATCTGCAAAACATAAGTGAGACACAACCCTTGAACCAGCTGGAGTTCCATATGCTACAATCTTTCCCACTTCTACCAGAAACTTCAACCTCCTTGTTAAAGCTTCTGAGATGAGTATAAACAAGTAAGGGGACAAAGGGTCACCCTGTTTTATTCCTCTCGTGGCTTGAAAGAAGCCAACAGGTCTACCATTGACCAATACAGAAAACCAACTATTTTGCAAATTGTTCAAAATCAACCCCACAAAATGTACTGGAAAGCCAAACTTAGCCAACACAGCTTGAAGAAAGGTCCACCTAACCCGATCAAAAGGCTTCATCATATCTACCTTAATCACCATATTGCTTCCTTCAGCCTTGTGGTCAATAAATTGACATAAATCTTGTGCCAACAACACATTATCAATAATGTCCCTCCCTGCCAAGAAAGCTGATTGCTCCTCAGAGATTAGCCTTGGCAAAACACGCTTCAATCTCTTTGTAAGAACCTTTGTAAAAATCTTATTCAAGAAATTACAAAGACTAATTGGCCGAAAATCAGAGAAAGTGTTCACCACTGACTTTTTCGGAATTAGCGTAATCAATGTACTAGCAATGGCACGAGGTATAGGCACTCCAACCATGAATTCTTGACAAGCATCCAAGAGATCACTTGCTATTATATTCCAACATTTTTGATAGAAGATACCACCAAAACCGTCTATCCCCGGTGCACTATCTTCGTTTAAATCAAAAACAGCCCCCTTAACTTCCTCGAGTAACAAAGGCCGCAACAGCATGAGTTGGTCTTCCTCATCTAGAGTGCGCGGAATATGCTCCAAGAAAGTATCATGAAAATTGTGCTGGCAATCCCCTTCCTCTTTCGTCAAAAGATCAAGGAAGAAATCAGCGGCTTCCTTTTCAATTTCCACTATATCCGTCAACACATCACCCTCCCGCGACATGATTTTGTGTATTCCTTGCCTCAGACGTCTCTCCTTTAGATTAGCATGGAAATAAGAAGTATTTGCATCCCCTTCCTTCATCCATTTAAGCTTAACTTTCTGCTTTAAAAAATCATCTTGCTCCTTTAGTTTTAGCAACAAAAGGGCCTTGGCTTTTTGAAGGTTGATTCTATCATTTACATCTTTTGTGGCATCATATTGAGTTTCCAACAATTGAACTTGTTCTTCCGCCTTCTTTAGGTTCTCGAATACATTACCAAAACCATGCTTGTTCCATTCCTTGAGCTTCAGCTTCAGCCTTCGCAGCTTTATAGAGAATCTAATCATGTCAAACTCTCTACCGGTTGATTCCAACTCTCTTGCACAACATGAAGAAAATCATCCCTTCGGAGCCACATATTCTGAAATCGAAACAATCTTGGTTTGCTATCCGCTTGCAATGAAAACGAAACTAACATTGGGCAATGATCAGAAGGGGCTCTACTTAGATTTTCAACAGAGGTATTGGAAAAGAGCTCTTGCCATTCTACAGAGAACAAAATTCCATCCAACTTTTTACTCACCCATCCCATTTGCCTTGTGCCTCCCCAAGTATAGTCTTCACCAATTGTTTGAGCCTCTAGCAATCCACATGACTCAATACATTCATTGAATTCTTCTATAGCCCCATGGTCTTGAACCGAAGTACCCAAATACTCCTCCAAACTTCGAATCACATTAAAGTCACCACCTATAATCCAAGGCATGGTCAAATGATGCTGCCTAAATGACTCCATATTCTCCCACAAAGTCCGACGCTCAGCCCGGGTGGATTTTGCATAGACCGATGAGATAAAATATGAAGTTGCTGATGGAATGTGGGTAACTTTAAGATGTAGAACCTGTGAACCTTCCTCCAACAAATCCATAGCGAGCTCTCTTTTTCCAAAAACCCAAATTTTACTATTATTTGAAGAGTAAGTAACATCAAAGTGCAGCAACCTCCTTATTTCATCCAAACAACTAACTTGAAGCATAGGCTCCAATATAACAAGCAAAGAAACATTATACATCCGAAGTAGAGACACTAACCGCCGTTGCGATGATGGACTCCTTATACCCCGAATATTCCAAAATAGGTGACTAATCATTGAAAAACATGAAAGGAGGAAACTGAAAAGGCCACTAGTTCAGCCGGGAGGATCGCCGGGGTAAAGCTGCCGCAGTCATGGCCGCCCGCTCGGCCTTCGATTTTCTACCTTGTTTTTTGGCTACCGTGGAAGCGCCAAGGGTTTCACCTGTGAGTAACGCATCCTCTTTTTCACTCTCTGACCATGCTTCTTCATCATTACTCACGTCTTCCCTAGCTCTACTCCGAAGACCCACAGAATTATCATCCGTAAATAGATTCGTCATCTTCGAACTATCAAATAAAACCAAAGATTTTGTGTAATCCTCCACCGCCTTGGAAGGCGATTCCTCCACATAAACCACCTCCACATTTTCATCATCAGAGTTAGTCTCATCCTTGATCTCACTAATCGAGGCAAGAACCGAAAAACGATTCAAGCTTGACTGATTCAGATTTTCTGTCGCAGCATCCCCCGCTTCGGGTTCTGCCGCAGCCGGCTCTGTCGAGGAAGATTCAACAGTCTTCTCTCCAACCATAGCCAAAATATCCACAGGGATAGTCCCCTTTTCATGCCTAGACAGACCTGAAGTCGAATCAGCAACAGGGTTGGTTGACTCCTTGCGTGACGGAAGCTGCGCAGGTTTGGGGTTTTCTGCAGGCGGTGCGATCCCCTTCTGCGGCATAGGGTTTTCATCCACGCTGTGCAAATTCATGTCAGGTTTTGCTGGCTGCGGTGGGCGCACAGCATCACCTTGAGGCCGCATGTCTCCCCCTTTAGCTTCCAAATTACCTTTAGGCCAATTTTGGGTTTTCAAAGTTGAAGCTTTTCCTTTCTTTTCCATCTGCCTTTGGCTGCCGGCGTGACAGTCCTCGACTTTGTGGCCGATCTTGCTACACTTAGTACAATAGGCTGGCACATGTTCATAGGTAAACAATTGTTCATGCTTCTTCCACTTTTTCCCTACCTTAACTGATTTCGGGAGATCCTTGGTTAGATCAACCTCAACACAAAAACAAGCAACCAACGGCCTCATCATGTTCAATGTTGGAGCATCCACTTTCAATGGCTTCCCAATCGCAGTAGCCATTGAGAAAATTACCTCCGGATTTAGGAATTCAATGGGCAGATCAAACAAGGAGACCCAAATGGGCGCAATGGGTGGATCTTCTTCAAACTGAAAGCCGGGTCTCCATTTAAGGATACGCATCGAAAAGCCAGCTATATTCCAGAAAGTCCGAATCCAACATCTCTGGTAGTCTTCCTCCTTCTCAAAACGAATAAGAACATGCCTAGGATTCATGAGACCTAGAGTATAGCCTCCTTGAAACCCTAACTTCTTAAACTCACCATGGATAGCTTCCATCTTCGGTCTGCCATAGGAGAATTTTCCGATCAAACTCAATTGGTGAGGGGCTACCAGTTTATCATATTCTTCATCCTCATATTCGAGAATGGGAGATCCGTTAGTAAATCACACCTCCTTAATTAGCGAGCCCTTGGAAAGGGGGCTTCCATTTTTTGGAAAAAACTTGCAAAGGTGCGAGGAGGTCCAGTGGGGACCTCCCCGGCTTGATCACCGGTCATGAGACCGTGAACAAGTCTTGAAATTCAGGCTAGAGCAAAGAGAGGTGAGAGAGAGATTCTTTAGGCGAGAGAGAGAGTCTAACTAATCCACTATCAAGTACATAACCATCTGCATATAAGTAACTGTTACTACAATTTGTTTTTGTACTCAATGACTTCAATGTATCATATTTGTCTGGCTCTTTTCTCTCGCCGTCTTTCTCCATATGTGAAACTCTGAAGTTGAGGTTAAAAATATCGAATGAATTGCATGGTGTCTTGGTTTATATTCGGGGGAAAAAAATATATATATCTTAAAATACAAAAACATGTTTAAAGCTAGAGTGAAAAATCGAAAGAAACCTAAACATTTAATCCACAAAAGTACTGCAATCTTAGGGGCTTTTCGATTTTTATTTTATTTTATTTAATCTTAGGGTTACCAAACATGTACGCTTCGTCAAGACCCGAAATCTAGGGTTTGTATCACAAAACCCTTCTTAGGTTTCCCTAATCTTTCCCGGTGTAATTTAGGGTTTCTGGAACCATCTGCACAATGGTTAGGGTTGAAGAAGACGAGTCCAATATAGGATCTTTGGGTAGGCCGTACATTCCAGCTGATAACACTACCTTGACGAAATTCCAAAAAAGATAGGAGAGGAAGAAGACGGGAAAAAACTATGAAAAAGGGCCCCAGGAAGGAACCAGAAAAGGAACGTTTGGTCCTTGGCTCTTCCAAGCCCAATCTGAAGAAACCAGACAATACTAATCCAGCGACGGAAAAGGAAGATTTGTGTCCACCTCGAAACACTGCAGCATCCAAGAAGTGCTTGGAGGACCAAAAGTTGGCCAAGATCGAGGTCAAACTCAAGAAACTACGTGATGACAGTGATCAAAATCAAAGGATGAAAAGGTATATCCTAGAAGAAACAAGGCGTCGTTATCTTCTTGGGCAACCAGATCCAACTGACCAAGAGTTAGCTGACCTAATCAACGAGAAGGAAGCACGCCGTACCTTGGCCCTTCTCGAGGCAAGACAAGGTAAGCGAAAAGTCAAAGAAGAGGAGGACTATCAGGAGTTCTCGGATCGCGAAGGCTTCCTGGAAGATCATTCAACCGCCACACAAGACACTGTTTACTGGAATGCTTTCAGGAAGAAATACCCTGCCTTTGATATTAGCCCTTGAAGAATTTGATGCAATATACAAACGCAAGAGTCCTCGAGATCACTACCAACGAGGATCCCCAAGCGTCGAAGTTGTGGAAGAGGGAGAGTTGAATCCTCTCCCGAGAAAGACTAATGTCCACGACCGATTGGGACCCAACTGACATCGAAAAAGTCCTTAAAGGAAGGAGTACAGACCTTTTCCCAGACAGTATCGGGACAATGATGATACCAGAGAAGAATATGGACGGGGGAATAACCGTCATCTATAGTATTCACCTCCCAGGCGGCAACAGTGCAACAGTGCAAGAATAAGGGGGCAAAACGTCTCGATTTGAGACAAGATGATAAGGATCATTGGAATGGTTGTGGATCGTAGCCCCTTTATACCAGACATTCGAGATGAGCCAAAACCTTACGACTTTGACTTTCCCAAGGATTTCGCCAAATACTCAGGAGATACTGATGTCTCCTAGTGGCTACATGTATATGTCCATGTTATGAGGATCAGGAGTGCATCGTTAAACTTCATAACTAAAGCCCTGCCCTCCTACCTGACCGGGCAAATGCAACGGTGGTTTGGACAGTTACCAGAAGGAAGTATAATAAGTTTTGAAGACTTATCCATCAAATTGGCCACTCGTTTCTTTCAGAGTAAGCAAATCACTAGGATGTCCATTGATCTCTCCTCGATCAAGCAAGGTCAACACGAACGTCTCTCGGATTTTCACCGGCGTTTCATCTGAGAAACTCTGCAAATTGACAACATAGACGAACGAGATGTTCAGAATAGGTTTATCCAAGGACTTAATCCATTTGAAAAATCCTCGATGCTAAGGGTAAAGCTCTCGACCAGACCTCCTAGGAATTCTCAGGACATGAGAGCTATTGTCAAGAATCATATCCAACAAGAGCATACACTCAAACGATCACAAGAGTCTTTTACGGCCATCGGGACGAGGGATAAGCCCAAGGTTACCATGAAAAACAGGACTAACCAAACCTCATCGTGAAATCCTTCATATCCACAAGGATGAACTGCTAACACCAAAGCCCTTGGCTCCTAATCCACACAGGTCGATGGAACAATACTGTGAGTACCACAAAGACCACGGCCCTAATACCGAGGAATGTTGAGAACTGAAACGGGAGATCGAGAATGGAGTCAAATCTGGGAAATTTCAGCAATACGTGCAGGGATCTTCTCGGCAAAGAAACAGTAAACCTACCGGATCCCCAAAATTCTCCCGACGAAATTTCTGAGGTCCTCGAGGAAAAAATCGAGGAAATAATTGGCAACCAAGGAACAATACACAGCAGCCTCCCCAACAAGCTATTGACAGAGCACCACAACCGCTTCAGCATGCTCCTCCAGTAGATCCTACAAAGCAAATCACTCATCAGGTGGGAACTATTTATGGAGCCTCTCTTGAGGTCTTATCCACCACAGCCATGAAAAACTCAGTACGGACTGTCACAAAGACTCCTCCCCAGGAACCTAGACACAAGAGGTTTAAAGGGACGGAGGCCATAGTCTTCACTGATAGCGATGTGGTCGCTGATATTTGCCCTCACAGCGACGCTATGGTTATCAAGACAATAATCAAAAATGTGCATGTAAGTCGGGTTTATGTGGATAACTGTAGAGCAGTCGATATCATATATAGCGATTGCGTCGAGAAGATGAACATCCAAAACCCCAATATCCGCCCATCAACATTACCATTGATGGGGTTCTCGGGTCATACCATTATTCCGACAGGGATCGTAACCTTCCCTATCACGGTAGGGTCGCATCCCAGGATGGTTACACTAACCATAGATTTTGCGCTAATAGATGCACCCTCACTGTTCAACATGATTCTAGGACGACCATGGATGTGCCAAGCTCGAGCAATTTGGTCTCCTTATCACTTGATGATGAAATTTCCAACAGAATATGGAATTGGAGTGGTGCAAGGATGCCAAAGCAGCTCCCGAGAATGTTTGCTCACAGCAGTCAAGACTGGAAAGAAGACCATAAAGTCCAACACGAGCACTACCATGTCAGGATGCTACTCGATCCAACAGACAACGACGCACCTATAGTCGGAAGATCACGAGACTAGCAATCTACCACCAGTTAGCAGTAAACCCAAGAGTTAGTTCTTAACGAGGAGGATCCCTCCAAGACCATCCAGATAGGGACATCTCTTCAAGGAACGTTACTGGCCGAGGTAATCACCTTGCTAAGCGAGTTCCACGATATATTCGCTTGGTCACCTACAGACATGACCGGGGTACCACGAGACATTATTGAACATAAGATGAACGTCGACTCCAATCTCAAGCTTGTGCAACAAAAGAAAAGAATATTCCCTCGAGATCACAACGATGTCATCAACGAGGAAACATTGAAGTTGGTCCGTGCTAACATTCTCCGCGAAGTTCTCTGGCCGACTTGGTTAGCTAATCCAGTCCTGGTGCGTAAGCCTGATAGCTCTTGGCGCATGTGCCAAGATTACATGGATCTTAATAAATACTGCCCCAAGGATTGTTATCCCTTACCAGTCATAGATCAGATGGTCGAGGATATCACAGGGTATAGAACCCTCAGTTTCCTTGATGCCCATAAAACCACCAAATCCTCATGGCACGGTAGGATGCAGAAAAGACAGCCTATATTACCGAGATCGGGGTGTATTGCTATGATAAGATGCCTTTTAGTTTGAAAACCACTGGTGCAACCTATCAACGCCTCGTCAACCGAGCATTCCATGACAAGAGTGGTCAAAATGTTGAGATATACGTGGATGACATGGTGATCAAGAGTAACAAAGTTGAGTAGGTAGTCAAGGATATGCGCGAGATCTTCTCAATTCTCCGCAAGATTAATATGAAGCTAAACCCGAAAAAATGCACCTTCTACGTGGGATTGGGTAAGTTCCTAGGATACCACATCTCCAAAGACGGAATCAGTGTCGATCCAAGGAAAATCGAGGCTATCCTAGTCATAGAAGCCCCGAAAAATGTCAAAGAAGTTCAAAAACTCACAGGATCCTTAATTACCTTAATAGGTTCCTCTCTCGAGCCGTAGAAAGAAGTCTCTCGTTCTTTCACACGCTCCGCAAAGGCAGAAAGTTTGAATGGAATGAGAAATGTCAAAAAGCCTTTCAGGAGCTAAAGGAACATCTCATATAGCTACCTATATTAGCCAAACCAGAACCGGGGGAGACCCTAAATGTGTACCTTGCCGCTCGAGAGAAAGCCATGTCAGCCGTCCTAGTCCAGAACAAGGATGGCAAGGAGATTTATGTTTACTTCATCAGTAAAGTGTTACAAGGGGCAGAGCCACGATACACACCCATGGAAAAGCTCATCTTCAGTTTAGTTCTGGCTGCTTGACGCTTGCGCCCATATTTCCAAGCACATCCAATAAGAGTGTTAACAAAACAGCCCATTCAGCAAGTCCTTCTCAAGCCAGATTCTTCCGACAGAATGATAAAGTGGGCAGTCGAGTTGTGGGAGCACCATTTCGAGTACAAGCTGAGAACAGCAGTCAAAGGTCAAGCCTTCGCAGATTTTCTGGTAGAAATGCCGCGCACTACTGATGTTCCGCAAGTTGCAGTGCCTAAGAGTCACCCCACTACCCGCGTTACAGTTAACCCTCAAGCCTGGATGCTATATGTCAACGGCTCTTGTTGTGACGAGGAGGGAGGAGCTGGTATCATACTGGCGAAGTCATCGGCTGATCCAAAGATCGAGAGCATGAAAGAATATGATACGGAGTACACCTATGCACTGAGATTCGGCTTCCCAGTTACTAACAATGTGGCTGAATATGAAGCATTAATAGCAGGATTGAATATGGCTCTAAAGTTGGGGGTTCAAAGGCTTCAAGTTTTTTAGTGACTCTCAGGTAGTGGTACATCAAATCATAGATGATTACACAGCAAATGATGAGCAGCTCAAACAATACCTCGAGAGGGTCCTCAAGTTAAAAGATAAGTTCGAGGAGTGCGTTAATTCCCACATTGTACGATCGAGAAATAAGAGAGCGGATGCATTGAGAAAATTGGCCTCCTCGAACTTCGCACATCTTAGTCACAGAGTTTGGGTCGAGATCCTCCCTGAACCTAGCATTCAAAAGGCTTTCGTAATGACCATTACCGAGGATGAAGACACATGGATGACCCCGTTTATTCAATATCTAACAGACGGGACGTTGCTAAATAGCAAATCAGATGCTCGAGCACTCCAGTTGAAAACAGCCAAATACACTTTGAGAGACGGTGTGTTATATAAGCACGGGTACCTGCTACCCATGCTATGATGCATTAGACAGAAACCAGCAGCTTATGTCCTCGAGGAAATACACAAGGAATCATGTGGAGCGCACATAGGAGCTAGAGTACTTGCTAAGAAAGTACTGCGTTCAGGGTTTGGCCTACAGTCTTCAAAGATGCATACCAGTTTGTACAGAAGTGCGATAGATGTCAGCGCTTTTCTCTCATTACTCGACAACCGCAACACGAGATGGCCACCATTCAAAGTCCTTGGTCGTTCTATCAATGGGGCACTGACATCATCGGCCCTTTTCATCCAAAAGGGGCAGGAGGAGTAAGATGGGTAAAGCAGTAGATTACTTCACTAAGTGGGTAGAAGCTAAACCGTTGGCCTCAATATCAGGAAGGAAGGTGTTGGACTTTTTCTAGCAAAACATCATTTGCCATTTTGGAGTTCCTAGGGTCATTGTCTCCGAAAACGAGACTCAATTTGAAAGCAACCCCTTCAAATCGTGGTGCGAAGAAATGCAAATTGAGTGGTGTTTCTCGAGCGTAGCCCACCCTCAAGCTAATGGCCAGGCAAAATCAATTAACAAAACTATCCTGTATGGAATCAAGACCAGGTTACAAGATGCACAAGGAGCTTGGGCCGAGGAACTTTCTCACGTCTTGTGGCCATACCGCACTACTGCCCACTCCTCAACAGACGAAACTCCCTATAGTTTGGTCTATGGCATGGATGCGGTTCTCCCAGTCGAAATAGTCCTAGCAAGTCCTCGAACAATTAACTTTGTCGTGAGTACTAACGATGATGATATCAAGCTAAATCTCGACCTGCTCGAGGAGTGACGACGGGATGCCGTCAGGATCAGAGAGGCAAAGTACAAGGAGATCCTCAGGAAACACTACAACAAGCGAGTCAAGGCAATAGATCTCACGGTAGGGAATCTTGTACTTAGAAAAAATGAAGCCAGTCGAGCCGAGACTACTGGGAAACTTACTGTAAATTGGAAAGGACATTACAAAGTCATTCAAGCCTCCCCAGCGGCAGCTACCGCCTACAAACTAGAGACGACAGTGGAACCATCCTCTCTCGATGGTGGAAAATTCAGAACCTTCGCAGGTTCTATGTTTAAGCTTTTATCTGCTGCTCGATAGTTAAGAATGATTTGCTTTATTTGCTTTATATGCTTTACTGCTTTTATTTCCTCATATGTAATGCTAACCCGGGTCCTCGGGTAATTATTCATAAAAAGTCATTGTATATTTTCTTACATCGTCGATGTTATATTATGACTAGTCATCGAGATGGACTCCCTCTTTACGGTCATCCTCGTTTAGAACCGTGTATTCAACATCCGGACAAAAACCGAGGAGTTTTCCTCGTACCTGCCGCAGATCGTGGTATTAAATCGAGGAACTCGTACCCAGTTACCTCGAGAGAGCCGTGTACTTTACATCTAGGCGAAAAGCGCTATATAAATAAAAAACTCGAATTTCACAAAGCAATGATACATTTGCTACCTTCACACACTGTGCGAGGTTGTAGAGAACATACACGTTTTCCTACACTATTACAAGAACTTCCCTACTTGGGTTGTTAGAAGAAGGATGAATGATGCCTCTAAACCCGTGCTGACTAAGGAGGTTTACACATTGATTAAGCTTGTCCTTGAGATCTACGATCTCCTCGTCCTGGGTATGTATCCTCAAAAGGAATTCTTCTCGAGAACTCCTGGTCTGAGGATCTACCACCTCCTCGAGCTTCTCAAAACTTTGAAAGCCAATGTTGTGATCCAGCAATAAATTCTGAAGCTCGTTGATATATTCTATAAGGAGCTCGATCTCACGAGTTCTTTCTTTGAGCATGTCCATTGCTGAAATAAACCAGCAAGTTCTTATCGAGATCATGTGTTGTACTCGATCGAGCACATGGTGCTTCTCGAGAAACCATGGCGACATAGTAATCTTCTGATTCAGCCTCAACTAAGCGTTTTCCTTTTGAAAGGTGACCAGTTCATCATGAATATCAGTCTCGAAAGTTAGAGAATCGTTATAGTCTTTATCTTTCCAGAACTCTCACCGTTGCATTTTTTCATGAAGCCCTTTGATCTCATCAATCAAATGCTGATTGACCCTCACATTGTGAGCCCGCATAGCATTGAGGAAGTCTACCTCTAAGTTCATCACTGTCTCGATACTATGAATATCTGCATGATTTCTCATGATGTCGCTGATCATCGAGTACAGGGGGTACTCTCTCGTTTATTCCTCAGACAGAATCATAAGGTGGATTTGATGAACATGCCAACTATCCTATTTTAATTAAAAGTGCAAGACCAAAACAAGATCATGAGATTAAATACAAGCATCCATTCATAAGGTCATAAGGAATATAAAATGTTTACAAGAAACTATCTAGTTCCTAAAAATTATATTACAGGATAGAAAATCATACAGCTTCTTGGGAGTGATGAGTGCTTCAAGTAGCTCCTCCAGCGTTTCCCTCGACCGGAGGATCCTTGTCCTTGGCTCCAGAGTTGCCAGTATCCCTTTCCTCTGAGGTCACATCATCCTCATCCTCGAGCTCGATGCCAATGTACTCATCGGGAACATCAGGGATAGGCAATTCCTCACCAAATCCTCGAGCTAGGACAGCGGCGATATCACTCAGAAATGCACCAACATCTCCAGGAATGCTCATCTTGGCCAGGGCCCCACAAAGGAAGCTGCTTGATACTCAGCCTAGTAAGAAGAGCCTTTACCAGCGCCTCGTGCATGGTTTTCTTTGGGTTCTTCTTCAGGAACTGCTTGAACCACTTTGCTTTAATGGGTCTCTCACTTTTGAACCTTTTGAGACCGGCAACTGCAACTCCATGGCCTCCGTATTTGGTGGCGGCCATGTTAATCTCCTCGATAACCGCCGCCATTTCACCTGTCGATAGCATCCTGAACCAGAAAGCAGCACACCACTTGGGAAGATCCTTTGAGATGTGCAGATTACCGTATTCCTTGAGCTTTTTGTCCAGTTCATTATACTTAGCCTGCACAGAGGCTAGTTCTTGCTCCTTGACCTCCACTTGCTGGGCCTTCTTCTCGAGAGCAACCTTCTCGATCAATGCTTGGTCTCTTTCAGCTCGTGCCTGGACAAGTTCCTGTCTCAACTCTCTCGAACACATTAAGTAGGTCATTGAGGCAGCACTCATCTGCAAAAATTATTGGTTAATACAAGTGCTGACAACCAAAAGATTTACAAGAGTATTTACTGCTTGACATAAAGTACTTACCAGCCTCACACTGTCAATTTCTGTCAACTGTGCAGTGAATTCCTCTAGCAAGGAGCACTCAATTGTTGGTGGATCGCCGAATGTATGGACTGCTATGGTTGGTCCCCCTTCGAACAGATGAGAAGGCAAAATGACCGCCTCCCCTTCGAGAGGGTTTTTTGCCTTTGTCCTTGGCAGGCAACTTGTTGCTCGGTTCAGACTCCACCATTGGAACGTTGGGCTTCTCGGCCGCTGGGGGAATAGTCTTCTCTCCGTCAACTGCTAACTTTGTTACGGGAACGTCAGCCTTTGCTTTCTTTCTTTCCACCTTTTCAGGGCCTTATGCAACTCTCTTCTTTTTCTTCTAGGGTTCAGCGCCCACTGTGGTCGACTCCTCCTCATCTGAATTCACAACAGGAAAGGGGTCTTCGTCACCTAAAGTCAAGAACCAGCATTGCTCGATGACATGACCTAAAAACAGCAAAAGCAATAAAAAAAATAAAAAGAGATTAGTGCCTTTCTTCTCCTCGCCTGGGATCTCGAGAGTGTTATTAACTTCTTTCTCCTCGATGGGAATAGCGGGAACAAAATGTTGTACAGCGTCCCATTTAACTTGGAGTATTTCTCAAGTTTCTTTAAGTCCTTGTCTAACTCCTTGATCTTTTCTTTATCCTCATCCATCCAATCATCCTTTATTGCCTTGAATCCATTGGTTTCTTGATGATTCCAAGCAACAAAATACTTTTCAGGCGCCTTTACATATAGAAAGTTTGGTTTCCATATGAGAGAACCACCGTACGCCTCTACTATCTTCTTGGCGCCTGAATTGGGGTTCTTCTTCACAATATACCAATCTTGGAACTATGTCGAGGACATGGATACTTTAAAGAAATATCTCCACAGAAACAGACACGGTTTCACTTTCACTCTTTGACATATCTTCACGAAACCGAGAACGTAGGTTATCACATTCGGGGTGAATCATGCCAAGAGAATTTTATAATGTTCGACAATCTCCTCGAACAAAGAAAAAAGGGGGAACCTCAACCCTAAATACATAAAGCGGTCATATATTGTGATTTTTCCTTCTGGAGGAGTATTGGTTCTCTCGGTTCCTAAAGGGGCTCTAGCTTCTAGATCTAGGGGCAAGTCGTACTTAGTTTTCACAGATTGTACCTTCTCATCGGAATCTATGGTGGAAGCAAAATCACTGACAGATTTCTGATCTGGGTTCCTAGCCGTACTTGTCTATTTGTAACAAAATTCAGATCTACGCTATGAATTAAATGGTTGAAAATGAAACAGAGACTGAGAAATCTGAGTACTTACTATTGGAAGGGGTTTCCACACACCTTTGAATTGTAGCCTCCCAGTTTCCTCTCGATTCAGTCGTCGACAAGTCCTCCGGTGGCGTTGTCGCCGGGACAAGATATAAACAAACAGGGGAAGGGACAGAAAACATTCCGACAGTGAAAGCTGAGACACTATGACAGAAGAAGGAGCTCTAGTGTTGTAATTTCAGGGAATGAGAAAAATGAAGTGAGAGGTTTGGAGTTTTTTCGGTTATATAAAGAAAAAATTGAGTCTCCCCACGTTTTTGTCGTTACAGCGCACATCGAGGCAGTTATTATTGTGTTGGCCACCGTTTGGGGAACGCACCCACTAAAGGCGTGCGACTTGACAGATTGGGCAGGAATTTGAAGTGGGTCGCCTCCTCGGGTTGAGTCCCAACCCGCGAACACTCTCAGCAGATCCACTCTATGTATATTGGGCCTAGGCTTGTCCACATGACTTGGGCGGAGTCCAGGTAAGGTTTATTTTGTGTCAAGTTTTGTTTATCTCATATAATCAACACTTGACAGGAGCACTTGACGAGTCCATATCCATCACCAATATCAGACCGGTCCATCCGGCAATTGTAAACCCAGCCGACTCTATTAGGGCAGTTTGAACAACGCTAAACCTAGTTAGACTCGGATACCTTCCAGGTAACTTCATGCCTATAAATAAGGTTGATCACACCATAATTAAAGTACACTATCTCTAGCACCAATTACTACTCATATACGTTCTTTAACTCCTTTTACTTACTTAAGCATCGAAGTGTCTACCATCGGGAGACTCCTGAGCCTCTGTTTCGCAGGTTAAACGCTACCGGAGTTCCACATCCAACCGGCGAACAATTCCACGCTGTGTAAAAAATAGTGATGAATTTTATTTTTTTTTTGTGTCACACAGTGATTATAAATTCATAAAAAATAATGGTTAATCAGACATTAAAAAAGTTTACATGTATTACTATGAGAGTTAGTGGTGAATTCGGCACCGAATGCAAGTAATATTACTGCTGTCAATCGATTTCGTTCTGTTTCGCAATATTTTCACTCTCTTTTGATTTTTTTTGAGGCCCTTGTATCTTTTGATCATTTGTGAGATAAAGCAAGTTAGAATACGCAACTGTTTTGTGGGTAATTGAAGGTGGAAGTTGAAAAAGACTCCCACAGAGAAAGCAAATTAATGTACTACTATTTCTACTAGCTAGCTATACAGCTACATTCATCATTTAATTATTCACAGAGAATTGACAGAATTAGGAGCTAATAGTTTAATTATGTAATCTGATAACAATCAACCCACTAATCTGCTCGTTTGTACAGAAGGAAGATTAAACTCCACTAGCAAGTAGCTAATCTCTTCCACTTTCTGCAGATAATTAATCTTAAAAGTTGAGCTGCAGTACATTAATTCAACCACAAATGAAGATTAATGGAGCCGCCATACATCATCAGCATTAGCATATTCGTTAGTTGGATTAAACTATAATCAATCGATAATCCATTTGTAATCGCTGTTACTATATAAAGTTAAGCACCCTAAGCACTTGTTTGAAGTAGTTGTATTATTGAACTAAGCCCTAAATTTCTCCAAAAAAAGATACCATGAAAATCTCATGCAAGTTTAGTTGCTGCTACTGTCTTTGTTTGACTTGGTTGATGTTGTTTTCAGTTGCGAGGTCTCAACTGAGCACTGATTACTATGCAAACACTTGCTCTTCTCTTCGGAAAATAGTTCGTGGTGAGGTCATGAATGCCATCAAGAATGAAATGAGGATGGCTGCATCTTTACTTAGGCTTCATTTCCATGATTGTTTTGTCAATGTAAGTCCTCCCAAATGTTTACGAGATAAATCATAATGTTATATAACCGATTTCACATAGTAGATAAAGACCTTTGTTCTGTTTTGTCCATTCAGGGTTGTGATGCTTCATTGCTGCTTGATGGAACTGACAGCGAGAAGTTAGCTCGGCCTAACTTGAATTCTGTAAGAGGATTCGAAGTGATCGACAGCATAAAGACTGCTGTGGAAAATGCATGCCCTGGAGTTGTATCATGTGCTGATATACTAGCCATAGCTGCTAGAGATTCTGTTGTCTTGGTAAAAAATCAAATCTCTAACTTTTCTCTGTTCAAAAGCGGTCTTAAACGTGTGTTATGTGTTTATGGAAGTTAGCTTTGTATCTGCAGAGTGGAGGGCCTTATTGGAAAGTTTTACTAGGGAGGAGGGATGGATTAGTCGCAAATCAAACAGCAGCTAATGCATCAGTTCTACCTTCTCCCTTTGATACAGTGGATACAATAGTTGCTAAATTCGGCGCTGTCAGCCTAAATGTGACAGATGTTGTGGCTTTATCAGGTATTCCAATATAGTAAAGTTTACTTCTTTCGTTCTTCTTCAAAATTTCTGTCCATTATGTAGTGAGTTTTACATTTTACAGGTGGGCATACAATCGGCCTAGCAAAGTGCGCTGCTTTCAGTCAAAGGTTGTTCAACTTCAGCGGAACTGGCGCTCCAGATAGCACAATGGACACAAACATGGTGTCTGACCTGCAAAGTGTTTGTCCACAGACAGGTGATGGAAACAACACGGCTCCACTCGATAGGAATTCCAGGGATTTATTCGATAACCATTACTTTCAGAACTTGGTTACTGGAAAAGGTCTTCTTCAGTCTGATCAACTCTTGTTCTCCAGCAACGACGTCACTGCAACAACGACAAGAAGCCTGGTGCAAAGCTTTAGCAATGATTCTGGGATTTTCTTCAGTAACTTTGTCAATTCCATGATAAAGATGGGCAATATAAGCCCATTGACTGGTTCCAGTGGCGAGATCCGACAGAACTGTAGGGTTGTTAATTCATAGTTAAATAGCAGGATGATAGTTTAAGCCAGAAAATTTACTGTAAGACAGAGTGGTCATCAACCATCTGTAGAATTACAAGATAGATTAGGTACCAGCAGTAAGCTTCTTCTGATGATTCTCATGATAATAAACGTTTGGCTAGAACTTGCCACCTTAAGAACGATATCTACTGGATCATCCTGGAAAGACAAGCCAAACTTGCTTAATCAACTTACTCAAACAATCGATATGAGCACAAATTCATTATATTCCCCACAAACAAACATACCAAAGATCCTCATAATCTTTTTTGTTCGTGTTGCACGAAGCAATTGCTCTATGATGAATTCATTCAATGAGAATGCAGATTCATAGACACTGCATATTCTCATTGAAAAATCATTGAACATATTATTGATGAACTTAATTTCACACGGGAAAAAGGCCAAGCATCAGCAATCATCACAGTTTTCATCGTCTGCGGGGAAGCACATCCAACTTAGTCTATTCCTGTTTGGGTGAAAATGAGAACGAAAACATAGCAGTCGTTTATTTCGATTCAAGTTATTCAAGATACAACATTGTAGTGAGCTGTGTCAAGTCCATGAAAAGTGTTGTCGTGGGGTCTGCTGCAGAATCGCCTTAAGATGATTTGCATTGTCATGATCCCGGTATTGGACAATATGTAATTACAGAAGCACCATTCTCAAGACAGACCAATTACCCTTCCGGTGGCTGTGTCAAGATCAATATCGTAGAAGCACGGCCGAGTTGGAAGGCCAGGCATTGTGCTCATTGTCCCAACTAATGGATAAATGAATCCAGCACCAATACTTGCCCTTACATCTCTGATAGGTAAGATAAACCCACTAGGAGCCCCCTTTGCCGAAGCATCATGTGAAAAAGAGTACTGGGTTTTTGCCATGCATATTGGTAAATTGGAGAACCCCTGCTTCGTGTACATTTCAATCTGTTTCTCAGCCTGCACAGAAAGCGGGAGGCACTCTTAGATGAAAAGGACCCAAACAAGATTCCAATATAATCCACAGTTTGCATAACAAATGGTTGCATCTGGTAAACCTCAAAGATGTACATGTTTCACTTGTTTGAAAAGAGAAAAATTTGAATATTCCAACCTCAGTTGAAAAGGACAAAGGTTGATGCAATCAGGAACAAGAAATGAGAGATGCAATCTCGAATAAGAAATGTGAAGTCTAATAAGCAATTTGTATCACAAGTATGCATAATGTTCTCACAGTTACAAAAGGAAGATAGACTAATCAATGAGGTAAGTCGATGTGCAAGGATTCAGGAGTCACATACAAGCATAAGAATGAGTCCCCCTCCACACACACCCCCCAAAAAAAAAAAGGAAAGGAAAAAAAAAAAAAAAAAACACCCACAGCCATACACAATCTTGCTTCACCAAAATCCTTTGGTGATCCAAATTACTTAATAGTAGGCGGATAATTACATCAATATTATGAAGAGGACAATACCTGTTCCGAGTACTCCACACCACCGGCACCATATGATTTGGCAATTGCTTCAATTTTTTCTTTGATGCTAGTATCCAGAGGATACAAGAACTTCAATGGTTGTGAAACGCTCTCACAAGCTTTTTGAACTGCAATACCAAGGTCCACCTGGAGAAGTAAAAGGAAAACAATGTATCATTCATCAGCTGTTCTAATAAACATATTACCTTCTGAAACTCTAGGAAATGCAGACAACATATGTGCCACACTAAGATATAAAAGAGCATCATTTTCCATCAACCACCATGGAAGATTGCAGTTAAGTCTGTTTCTACAGTACCCATTTGAAGTCAAACTACTTCAAATGAAGATTATGGAGGTAGCTCCAAGTTAATTTGACTGACAAAATAATAAATGCAACAGATTGACATCATAAAACATAAACAGAGAATACTTGAAAATTAATTTGTTTGACTAACCGCTCCTTTCCCTCCATGAGCATGATGAGTACATATTACAGCATCAAATGCCCCAGCTGCAAGTGCTGCAGCCCTTACAGCATTCAGTTCAGCTTCAGAATCGGTTGAGAACTTGTTGACAGCAACTACAACATTGACGCCATATGCCTTTGTGCTTGAAATATGCCTGGCCAGATTAACACAGCCAGCTTCAACAAGAGACACATTCTCGGTTAGATAAGCATGATCGAGTGGCTTTCCAGCCACCACTTCAGGCCCTCCACCGTGCATCTTGAGAGCCCTAATGGTAGCAACAATAACAGCACACTGAGGTTTTAACCCACTATATCTGCATTTTATATTCATAAACTTTTCAGTTCCGATATCAGCACCAAATCCTGCTTCTGTAACCACAAAACCACCAGGTCCCACCAGCTTCAATGCTATCTTATCAGCAACAATAGATGAATTTCCATGAGCAATATTGGCAAAAGGACCAGCATGAACCATGACGGGAGTGCCTTCAAGAGTCTGCATCAGTGTAGGGTTAATGGCATCTTTCATTAACACAGTTAAAGCACCTCCAACACCAAGATCGTCAGCAGTGATAGGATCACCAGCCTTGCTATTTCCAACAACCATTTTCCCAAGCCTCTCTCTCATATCAGCAAGTGAAGTTGTGAGAGCCAGGACTGCCATTATTTCACTAGCAACAGAAATATCAAATCCTGTTTCTCTAACCATACCTTTTTCTTCAGGGCCCTGACCAATACTAATCTTCCTTAGGAAACGATCATTAATATCCATAACTCTTCTCCATGTTATAGAATTTGGATCAATATCGAGCCTAGCAAATCTCTTTATTTCTTGTGGAGTGAGCTCCTCTGGTCTTGTCTTGGAAATTCCAAGTTTCTTCAGACGCCTAAACATAATGTCACTAAAGCTCCTCTTTCCTTCTTTGTTAGGAGGGCACAAACGGTTGAAAAGACCTTTATCAGTTTGGGTGGACTCATGGAAGATTCTTGTATCAATGGCAGCAGCAAGAAGGTTGTTCGCAGCGGTTATCGCATGAATGTCACCAGTTAAGTGAAGATTAAACTCATCCATAGGAATCACTTGACTGTAGCCACCACCAGCAGCACCACCTTTGATCCCAAATGTTGGTCCTTGGGATGGTTGGCGAATGCACGTAAAAACCTTAGAGCATCAAAAGAGATGAAAAGTTTAAGCAGTCAGGCAACGCAGAGGGAGCAACTCAAGGTCATTTTTTAATGGGGAGCAGACACATTTTATTGGCTAAACTGTTAAATGTGCCTTGCGAAACAATGCCAACATTAATAAGATTCACAAAACCATCTGCAAAGTGGAAAATAAGTTTAAAAACCATGGGTTATTAACGTCAACAAAATTTTCCAAGGAAGAAATGTTTGAAACAAAAAGTTGAATACTTGAATTGATTATTATGCAGATGTTTCTGAGAAAGAGGATCTCTTCACAGCTTTCAACGCTGGACCCAGCATCATTTCATCAATAGAAACATAGAATAGCAGTGAAGTGATTTTTCATCTTAATTAATCACAATTCAGCTTTACTCCAAGAATCAGTTCATCAATGTGCCATTTTCAAACTACACCTTATACCCTTCAAATGAATCAGATCAGGCCATAGACACCGAGGCATCATTTCTGCCAATCATCTCCATTACTACTTGACTAAATTTCAGGACAATATCAAGTTCATTTATCCCCCCTTCACTTACTACCTCGAAATAATGAGACAAATAAGTTGACTTCATTTTAGACACATGCCAATGAGAAATTGCTATCTGGGATGCATCAGAGAATGTAGACAAACCATGCCAAAAGTAAAAGAATTCACCTTCTTATCAAGGAAAGCTCCCAAAGCCTGACAAAGGCCGACAGTTGTGGTAGACTTGCCTTCTCCAAGAGGAGTTGGAGTAATCCCTCCAACAACCACGTAGTAACCATCCTCACTTCCTTGCAACTCATCCAACACCGACAACAACACCTACAAAATAGAACAGTGACTCACAAGTCAAGACCACCTCAGTACAGTACAGTACTTCCATGAACAATAAAGAGTCAACAAAATCAGATGGCAAAAAAAACTCAGAAAACCCAAAAAATAAATAACCCAAACAAAAAAAAAAAAAAGAGTTCAGCCCTTTGACTGAAAAGGATATCTATTCACAAACAAAAACAACCCTCAAATAGTATGATTATTGTTACCTTGGCTTTATACTTTCCATAGAGATCATAATGTTGAGGGCTGAGATTGAGTTGTTGGGCAATCTCAGAAATATGAAGAGGCTCAACAGAGTTGGCTATGTCAATATCCGCTGGAACAGGGGACACCACCTCCAGTTTCCTCACAGTCTTCCCCATCAATTTATCGACTTTGTTGATTCTTCCTCTGTTTCTGGGTCAATATCAAAATGTCCAAGGACAGCCAAAAATGGTGAATCTTTACTTACCAGTTTGTGGGACAAACACAAAAGAAGATTCAACAGACCCAACTCAAAAGGCTAATTAAAAAAAAAAAACGAAAAAGTCTACAACGCACAACTGCTATTCCAACAGTACTACAATAGATTAACAAAATAAATTCAGCTGAAATTATTTTCGTGCTTGGAATTGTTGGGTAATGGGGGCGGGCTAATCTGGAAGCTAAAATATTTCTGCAATATTTTTTTTTTATTTTTATGGAAGGTGGGGGAAACTGAAGAGTCGCTAATAATTGACACTAGGACTCTGATCTGACGTCACGTGGAAAACTGGCGAATCTTGAAGTAGGAGTTCGTGCAAAATCTACGTTGGCAAAAACGAATTGGATAAGGGAATTCGTATGATTGGCTGTGTGGGGTGAAAAACAAATGTAAAAGCCAAGAAATGGAGATGCGGGGTATCGATCCCCGTACCTCTCGCATGCTAAGCGAGCGCTCTACCATCTGAGCTACATCCCCATCCTGCTACTGATTTTCAGAAAAATTTATATACTTTCTAATATCCAATAAACATCACTATACTCTTAACACCCATAACCTGGAAAATTTGAAGTGGGTAAAATAAAATGACTCATATATATAGACATGGAAGCAAGAAAATATGCTTAATCCTATTAAAAGCAAGAGACTCAAATAAAAGCGATCAACTAATTAGTAATTACAACAAATGTTTAATGAAATGTGAAGATAGATGATAGCATCAACCCTAGATCCAACACCAAACTCTCAAGAGATGGATATGGCCATTTCTTTCTCCCTTTTGTGACCTATAAATGGAAACAGTGCTGCAAAATTCTCCCTTTCTCCTGGTTTTTTTTTTTTTGGGGGAGAATAAATTACCAACTGTTTATACTGAAAGAGTATAAACTAAGTAAAAGTAAATCCAGTCACAATAATACATCAGTAATTACATGATTTTGGTAAGTAAAACCTTTACTTGGAAGTTGGAACAGTTTGATGGATCATTGTTTTTATTAGAAAAAAGAGGTTTTTCTCACATGCACATTGACATTAGACATGAGCAATGGTACACAAGTTTAATCTCTACTTCACCTTTTATTCACCAGTTGGCGTAATTTTTGGTTTATGCATCAAATGATCGAATTTAGCGTTGAATAAAACTAAAATGTTTACTAATTCCATTAACCATAGCGTGAATAACAAAAGAGACCTAGAAATCTCGCATGCATAGCGTAACTTGACCTGGAATAGTAGAATCCCTACAGTTTACACAAATTTATAGCGAACTAGGACAAGCAACCTCCATAAAAATTAAAGTGTTTGAAACTGCAAGTTACAGCAAATACGGCCCCATCTATCCACCAGAAAGTCCTAAAACCTCACATAAACATATCAGATTCATATTCCCTTCTCAAGCATCGCCCGAACTCGCATCGGCAACCCATAAAGCCGGATGAATCCAGCAGCATCAGCTTGGTTGTATATTTGTCCACTTTCAAATGAAGAGATGTCTTCTCTATACAAACTATAAGGACTTTCTCGGCTTGTTACGGACACACAACCCTTGTACAGTTTGAGGGTCACAGAACCAGTGGTCGTTTTTGTTATTTCTTCCATGAACTTGTCCATGGATTCTCGGAGTGGGTCAAACCAACGACCAGCATACACTAATTCAGCATATTTTAGGGCAAGAGAGTCTTTGACTTGCATTGTTTCTCGGTCAAGTGTAAGTGACTCAAGTTCACGGACAGCTGAGTAGAGAATGGTTCCGCCAGGAGTTTCGTACACTCCACGACTTTTCATTCCAACGAGACGATTCTCAACCATGTCTATCCGACCTATTCCATGTTTTCCACCAATTTCATTCAACTCAGAAAGGAGAGATGCAGGGGAGAGCTCCTTCCCGTTGACTGAAACAGGGATTCCAGCAACAATGCCAATTTTTACATACCTGAGCATAATGATTATGCACACGAAATAAATAGAAATCCACAATATTCATTCACTAAAACACAAGAAAAGAATGCACAATCAGAAACTTTGAATCAACCAAGAAAATCACAAAAGATTGACTCACTCAGGTTGATCAGGAGCATCTTGTGGGCTAACACTCATCATGTACATGTCCTCCTTTGGCTCGTTTGCAGGGTCTTCCAAGATGTCTCCCTGGAGTGAAAAACGAGATATGAAATTATTGAAATACCAACTGACATCAAACAGTCCACCCCTACAAATTCAGTATCTAAGAGGCTTTTCTGACGAAAAGAGACTATAAATGTTGATGCTAACAAAAGCTTTACAATAACGTCTGACATTTGATGTATTTTGTGTAAAACCAGCTAAGTCCAAAAAAACAGACCTTTTTGTTTGGGACAAATATTCTAGCGGCTTAAACAAGTTTTAAGAGGAAACTCCCCTGTCCCAAAATGATTGTCCGACGTGGATTTTCATTTTTAGCAAAATTTGTACTAAAAAGTGAAAAACTAAACCGGACAATCATTTCGGGATGGAGGGAGTAATAAATAAAGGTACTTCATCCGACAGAAAATTTTAAATAAGTTCTAGGGGAAAGCTTGTGAGTATACATGCTAAGTGATTTCATATCCAGAAGAGAAAAGGGTCTATAAGTAACATATCTCAGACCATACGGTTTAAAAACAGTATCCTGAGCGAAAAACTATTGAGAGATCTTCATGTTTGTACTGTGAGCATTCCTCTTCCTCACCTCAAATGTGCAACCTCAAATGTGCAACCTCAAATGTGTAAAATAAAGGAGACAACAATCGCACCAAATAAGCTCCAAACAACTACAGCGTGAGGATGATATTACCTCATGACTGAGATGCCAAAGGTTTCTGTCTCGGCTGTAGATAGACTTCTTTGTCACTGGCACCGGCACATTATGTTTCTTAGCGTACTCAATAGCATCTTCTCTACCGGTTATTTCCCATTCTCTCCAAGGAGCAACAACACTGAGTTCAGGATTCAAGGCAAAGAAAGTGAGCTCGAATCGCACCTGAAGAAAACCCCAAACACAGCAGCAAAAAACACAGGTATATTAAATCACAAAGGTCAAAATGACGTTAGGATACGCAAGAAAAGCATTGAAGGGGCAAACCATATGCACACCTGATCATTTCCTTTTCCTGTGCAACCATGTGAAACTGCATCAGCACCAACTTCTCTGGCAACATCAACCATTGCCTGGCATTTGCAAATAAAGTTTCAGACATGCAGCAAATTCAGTGTCCTCAAGACAGCAATAATGAGCATTCAACTCAGCAGAAACACATTCTTCAGATAAAACAAGAAAAAAAATAACAAATGCAAACAGGCGAATTCAACAGTTAGGACTAAAACTATCATTGGTACTTGGTAGGAATGGCGGATTTTTACAGCTTCAAAGTCAGCATGTATGAACATAATGAAAAGGTTTGTTTGGAAAAGAAAAATAAAGTTGCCAGAAGAGAGCAAGGAAAATAAGAAAAGCAGCAAAGAAAACATAACGCATAGCTCTACATTTCATAAACAGTGCACTCTACCTTTGCAATGACTGGGCGAGCCATTGAGGTTCCAAGCAGATACTTCCTCTCATAAATGGCGCCTGCTCGTAAGCAAGGGAATATGAAATCTTTTACAAATTCCTCTTGCAAATCTTTCACCACTAACTGACATGCTCCACTAGCTTTAGCTTTCTCTTCTAAGCCATCCAACTCTTTTACACCCTTCAAAATTTGAAACCATAAGAAACATCAAATCCAGAGATCATAAATATTTGTCACTTCATTATCAAGCACTAAGATTAAAGATGCTACTCCATTCAAGAAAATTATAATTGTTAGTAGGTTCCCCCTTTAACTTACTTGACCAACATCCGCAGTGAAGCAAACAACTTCACACCCATAGTTCTCTCTGAGACACGAAACAAAAAATAAACCATGAAGCGACAGCCAGGTTAATCAATAACATCAGAAGATTATAACAGGCAATAGTTACATTGCAAATGTCAGTAACAAAGACAAAATTTAATCAAGAACTAATACTCTATAACTGATTAATCCATGAAAACAGTACAGACAAGTTATTGTTACACTCTCAAGGAAGTAGGTGAGAAGCATATGAATGGCAGAAAATTCATATAGAACATCATAATGTAAAATTTCTACAGCATAAATGAGGGCCAAACAAGCCAATTCTGCTTTGTGTTCTTACTGGTTATCAGATACATGAAACCATAATTTGTCACAGGAAACAAAAGCACTGTTCTGTGAGAGAAGGCAAAGCATAGTACCTCAACCATGGAACAATGACAGATGTATCTAGACCACCACTGTAGGCTAGTACCACTTTATTCAGTTTTTTCTTCAGAACTTTCCCCTCGGTGCCACTGGAAATGATTGCCTCCTTATCACTGGCCAAAACAGCTTGGATAGCTGCATAGATAAATCGTACAAGATTGAAGGACCAAGCCAATAAATTTTCAAACCAAACTCAAGTGCAATGCTCCAAAGAAAGGACGCCTAAGAAGGTGACCTAGGCCCAAAGTTAGCTAAATTTCATTGTACAAGAACTCCAAAGAGCAATAACTTAACGAATCATCCATCTCCATGCTATGATAATAAGTTTACAAAAGCTTTTCTAATTAACAACCAATATCCATTTCCTACCTGTCGCTCAATATGAAAAGTAAAAAGTTGAAGAGGTAGAACAAAAGGAATCTACAAGATAAATTAAAAATGTAAGTGAACTAAACTGTACACTGCTTTGACAGATTTATTATGTGGAACTAAATGACCAGAATTATACAAATTAATGCATGAACAGGAGAGAAAGAAAGAACAAATATACCTCCATTATGGGTAGTCTTTGAACTCAATTTTTTGTTGAGGTTGACAACAGAATGCCCATGAAATTCACTTCCTTTTACCCCAAACTGCCAAAACCAACCAATCATCAATCATAAATGTGGCCCGTTTTAACCACTGGTAAATAGAAACTAATAACTACAAATTTTCCTACCTCTTGCAAATGCAGAGAAGCAGCCGCCTTCCGGGACGAATCTGTAGTTCAGAAACGATCAATTACAATCCTTAAACCCAGAAAAATCCTTCCATTCCACCCCAAATTTGAAAAAATAATAAATAAATAAATAAAATCTGTAGGAGTATTTACAAAGGTCATTGAATCATTGATTAGTATAAGTGAATTTACCAGTTCTGGAGGCATGATGAGGCAAGGGAACAACAGAAGAACAAGGAGAAATCGCAAACTGATTCATCGTGGAGCGATGGCGGCGCTGGCGGCTGACTTTGCTGTCTGACTGTGTCGGAAATGTGTAAGTTGGGGGAATGGAGGTTTGGGGGGTTTAAGGATGATTTACCCACTGTAAATGTGTAATTAGTACCGGCGAAAGTGTGGTTTGCTGGTTTTGTTTCAATAACCCAAAAAAATAAAATAAAAAATAATCTGAATTATTATTTCTTAAAAAAACAAAATTATAAATCTACCACAGATAATTAGGAGGAATCACAATTTTCGGCATAACTATAAAACATTTATAATAGTAGTCCCACAACTTTTAGGACCAAAACAACCTTTTCATTATTTATCTTTTTTTTTGGCAAAATCAATTGCACTAGAAAGTCTAAAAGGCTAAAACTAAAGGTAAACACGTTTACAAAAGGTACACGAGCACACTTGTTGCACCTTTTGCAAGTTTGACATGCTAAGTTGCTTATATCACATTGCACTAAAATCTAAACATAATATTTTGGAATAATTTATATTAGGAACGCCAGTCAATCATACACTAACTTTAACACTTGAAATAAAATCTTCTTTTTTTTAAGCTCATAAAGATTAATTCCTTTGACATTAACACTACTAATAATATTTGTCTGTTGTTGATTGAACCAAAAAATCGTGTCAAACTAATGTTAAAATTACTGATCCACTATTAATGACATCATCTATATTATTTTAAAGTTAGTTATAGTAATTTTATCATCTAGCAATAAAATATGGAGTCAAATTTTCCTCCCAAAAAAAAGACATAATATTTTATTTTTGATATTAATCAAGTTGTGGACTCACCTTAGTTAAACAAATTTGTGGTTATTTGATAACATTCTAGAATAAACTAAATAAACTACTTCAATACGCTTTAAACTTCATGGTATTGAGTTTGGCTTCTACAAACTTACTTGTTATGTACCATATTTTGACCCATGAGTAGAGGAAGAAAACCATATATGATGTTTTTTAATTTCGTTTGAATGAAGTATAAACTTTTCAGTAAAAAAAAAAAAAGCATAGGTACAAAACCAGGATTTCGTCTCAACAACATATTGTATTAAATATTAAAAAATATTAATTATTAAAAAATTGCTAAAATACATTTTTTTCCTCATTCAAAACAAAATATATATAAAACTCAATTAGTTTCATTAATATTTTACATTTTTTTAACAATTAAAAATCATATCATTACAAGGTTCAAATTTACTTTTACAAGATACAGTAACTTTTTGTGTTCAGTTTCAATTGCATATATTTTTACTATATTTAGAGAAAATTACATTTTTGAATACATATTTAGTCATCAATGAGACAACTTTTTTTTAAAAAAAAAAGTTCTGAATTTGACGAGTAAAGAAGAATGAAATTTTTAACCTCATAGGCTATAACAAGTAGCTATGAATATTTGATTTTTCAACATATATTATAACTAGGGAATATTGTTTGGATTTGGAAGTCTTTTCCCAGGCATCTCAAATGTAGTATTTGTTCAATTTAGTAATGATTTTAGACTTCTCAATTTTGGCCTAAAATAAATGGACTTTTACTACCCAACTTAATTAAAAATACCAATTCATCTTCCTTGCTACATTTTGGATCCATCATACTCAACCGTATTTTCGACTTCTCTTTATAATTAAAATAACATCCAAGTTATCCCAATATAATAAATCTTGTAATAATTTTTGGCCTTTTAAGTTTTTTACCTTAAAGAAGTGGATATTTAGTACCCAACTTAATCAAAAACATCATTCTATCTTCATTGCTGCATTTTGGATTCACTTTACTCAACCATCTTTTTTACTTCTCTTAATAATCAAAAGAACATTCAAGTTGTGCCAATATAAAAAAAAAATGATTTTTAGATATCTTATGCATTTGGCAATGTTAATAACTTTTTTCTTTTTTTTTTTATATACCGAAGAAGCCTTTGATTAGATTACAAAACAACTCAAGGGGTGAGAGTTGAGCCAGGCCTATCTAATTCTAATTTCTCTAAAGTTTTGGTCGGGGTGTTGCCAAAATATGTAACCCCAGCGGAGACGAAAGTCCTAATTTTACCAACGAGTCGGCCGCTTCGTTTCTATTGCGCCCTATGTAGGATATTTCAACAGTCCATAGGCGTTTAAAAAGCTTATAGATCCGGTAGATAACGTTGCTAGCAGTTGAAGTGGTTGTTTCCTCATTTAGGGAGTTAACTGCTTGCAAGCTGTCCATTGGAGTTGGACTCTAGTGAAGCCTAGGTCCCAGGCTATCCTTAGCCCAAAATAGGCAGCCCAAAATTTAGCTTCTAGAACTGAGCAGTCACCGATTTTGGATGTAAACCCAATAATTCAGCGACCTTCGTAGTTTCTTAGAAATCCCCCGGCAGCCGCAATGTTAACAACTTTGCTTTTGGTTTTTTTTTTCTCCCACCAGGCCATTCATAACCCTTTAACTTCCATATACTATCATCTCTAGTTGATGTCCATGATCTTTGATTTTTCTTCTTCTTTTGCACCAAATTTATTTTTTGATTTTTTGATATTCATGCTATAGAAACCTTTTTTATTTATATTTTTATTTTTATATATGTGATTATATTTGTGAACACAATGAAAATCCTAGAAAAAATAACGTTTTCTTTTGGATATATATATTTGAAGATTTTGGACAATTTTTACTTAAATTAGACTTATCCAATTTTGGTTAGTTCATAATTTGTTGCTCCACTTTTTTCTTTTTCAAATCATTTTTAATGGTTCAAATGAGTTTCTACCCTCCTCTCCCTCTCCCCCTCACCCTTTTTGGATAATGGACTGCTGCTTAATCTTATACTTACTAACATAATGAGTACTTATTTTAAAATCAATAGTCATTGATTTGATAAAATTTTTAACTATATCATGTTTTGTTTATGTTCAATCATTCTCTTTTTTTTAAAATATTTTTTTCTAACATTTGGTGTTTATAAGTTGTGCAATGGATAATAGTATTCCTAACACATGTTTTGTAAATAATGCAATGGATAATATAATTATATTTGTTTGGATTATTGATATTAAAAATAAATTGTTCATTTTTTCTTTTATAACATGAAAATGTATGCGCCTACCGCATGTAATTCCTCTAGTTACTTGGTAAATTTAGGTCTCTGTGGTTTAGAGTTTGGACGACTACTCAAATTTGTACTATTATACTTGTGTTTGGGCTTTGACTTATTAGAGTTACTTATTAATTTTGTATTATATTATTCCATTCGTCCTAAAATGATATTTTAGTTTAATTACTTTTTTAATTCAAAGTATATTGAAGTAAAAAAACCAAACAAGACAATTATTTTAGTACAAAAGGGATTACTTAGATTAGGATTTGAAATCTTTAATTTGCACAATTGATTGTGCTCTGTTAAATAATATATTTTTCTTGAAAATCTTTTGTATGTTAGCATTTCATTGAGAAAAAAGTATAACACTATACAACGTGTAGGAAATGCAAAAATCTTATTTTACTTTTTTTTGTCGTATAAAATATACAATTCATAAAGAAATACGAAGGGGGCACAGACTCACTTGCTAATCTCCTTCCTCTCCCTCCTCAAAAGATACAAAATAATCTGAGGTGCGTGGTTCATGGATATCAATGCTAGGAATGAAAGTTTTAGATTTGAAACTCATGTTCAACTGTTTGGTTCAAAAGATAGAAATCCACCAGCCCCACTAAGTTAGGTTTCAAAGTCATAGCCCCATTTCCTACTATGTTGGTGAATATGACTTGCCCATTCTTTTTTCTCCCCCATTATCCTCAGTTTCTTCTCTTCCTCTCTCTTCCGTTCTCCTCCATCGTCTTCAATTTACATCGTCTTCTTTTTTTTCTTTTTCTTTTTTCTTTTTTTTTCCACTCTACACATTCGTCAATAACTGTCGACTTCTTGACTTCAGTCTCTCTCTCATCTCTGCAACTTCATCATCGCCTCACTACTGCCAGTCCATATCAATTTGTACAGCTCCCGTTGCCGGTTTTGATTTGCTTTTATATGAATTGTTATTTTGTTATCTTGTTAAAAAGAATAAAAAAAATATGACTCATAATTTGTTTGTGTTGCGGTAAAAAGAATCAAGAAGAGTAGTCTCTTGTTCTTGTTGAATTGGTGGTGGCTAGGAAAAAACGACAAGGATAGGGTTTAAGAGGCAGGGACAGATTTAGAATTTTAGATCCATTCCAACTCCAACAAAATTTTGAACCAAGCAGTTGAATTAGAGTTTTGATACTCTTTGTCATCTTTTTCCTATGAATCCCAGTTCCATCAGATATGAATCTCATTTCCTATGGTTGAACCAGGCACATTCTAAATTGTATTACTTAAAAATGGCGCTGTCATTTTTACAGTGGTTGATGAAATAATTTAGTAATCATTAGTTATTAAACACACATTGTAAAAAAAAAACCCGCTTTGTTAGTAACTTTATAAGAAGTTATAAAACAAACCCTAAAACCCTGGCTTTGTGTGGTTCGTTTTTTCATTGGTTTTTTCAGAATTTTTAATTAATATCTGTCCTATCTCAGCATACCTTTTTACACTCCTAATGCACATTTTTACATTTCTAATATACCTTTTTACATTCCCTAATATATAAATAAAACACATTCAAAAAACGATCCAAACATAGCTAAGTATAACACTCCTAGATTCCTTAGTGATATTTTTAAAAAATATATGTATATATGCATTTTTTTTTTGTTTTTCTTAAAACAATTTACGAATTGGGATTGCGAATTGGAAATTGTTATGCTTGCAAATTAGGGAATTTTGAGGGGCTGTAAATTGAACGCAATAAAAATTTCAGGGATGTATCCAGAATAATGCAAATGTCTAACCGTTTTTTATTAAGTAACAGTCGTTACTCGTAATTTCCATATGAGTTTGGGAGGAGAAAAAAAGAAAAAGAGAAAAAGAAAAACTGAAACTTTGACCACTCACAGAGCTCCCTCTCTTGCTTTCTCTCTCACATAGTCACACAGTGTGAAGTAAACTCTCAACTGCTGAACCTCATCTCCATTTTCTCAGGTTATTTTCCGTTTTTCTTAAATTCCGGTAACTATTCAATTAAACTTTTCCAATTGCCTTCCCGTAGTGTTGAACCCTAATTTTGTTCAAGAAACAGTCCCGTAGATTTGGGAGTACTTTCTTGGTTTCAAAATTGAATTGGGTTCGTTAAACGAGCTTATGGTTTTCTTAAGTTGTGTTAAAAATCAGAGGGGAGATTGGTTTATTGAGGTGGAATTTCACAAAAGGGCTTGTTTTGGTTGGTAATTTGTTGAATGTTGGATGGGGATTTGCTTTGGTGGGCCGCTAAATTTTCTAGATTCAATCGAAGAATATGGAAGAAAGAGTAAATGTGAAATGGGCTACTGAGTTTCCTATGATTCTACGTTCTTGTTTTTAACTTCTTTTGGTTTTGTTGTATTGTTTTGCAGCCGAGGCATTTGAAATATTTCTGGGCGGGAGAGTACAAGAAGCAAAGATTCAGGTTCTATGATAAGGGTGAAGTGCATTTGGGAAGAGATTCAGGTTTGTTGTATTGTATTTACGATTGCGAGCTCCTTAAATTTTGATTGTTTGGTGAACAATATCTGGATTACTTCAGTTTTCTTCCACTTGAGACTTTGTAACTTCTCCAAGAAATACAGCTTCATGAAGTAACATGTACTTTGTGATTTTCTGCTATTCTTTCTTCTTCTCCAACTGATAGAAACTGATGGTAGTACATTATACGTTCACTCTTTCTGTGGTGAGCAGGACTAGGCGGGTTTATTCTAAATGATTGTTTCTCAGCTTACCAAATTACTTGCATTGAAGAATAACAGTTCTTTTGAATTGATGGCATTTGAAAAATCTTGCAAGAGTCATGGAGCCTAAATTTTGAATGAAGGTGCCTGAATTAGAATCTAATTGTACTCGTTTAGTTGCTTTATGCGAATTAACTTGAAATCATGTTGAAAGTAAATATCAGATATGTCCAGAAAGAAATGGATTTAGATGAATATGAGTAGAAATATAGTAAATGTCAATAAAGTCCGGGGATATAGTGCTAATGGGAATGGAAAGTCATTCGGGTTTTAGAACACTAACAGCCACTCGATAAGTGCTTTGGAATCAGCACCTCTTGGTTTTGTGTTTTTTCGTGAACCTGTACCTCTTTTTCACGTGAACCTCGTGCTATGATCAGGTTAAGATCCTGTGCTTTTCTTTTTTTCAATAAATGTCATGATTGATTCCACGTTATCAAAGGTGCAATAATCTGGCTCTTGTAGAATAGACATCATTTCATAGGCCATTATTGTGTGGGTCATGGTGGATATCTAAGCAAGCACAAGGCCTGAGTTACAATGTATCTTATTTCCCTGAAAGTACCAGAAAAGTAAACTTAAAAATCTTGTCTTTTCTGGTTTGAATGTTGCTATATTTTTCTCTGGAAAGTTTTTACGATGTGATTTTATCTCACAATTTGAAAAGGAAAAGAAACAAGCATTCATTTATACATGTTCCGGCTGAGCTCAAATGGGCTTGAACGAGAATGAAATGATTCATTGATCTGAATACTGCCCATAATTCATCATCAACTTCTTGGCTGGAATAATTTATGCTGTTATATGATCAGAGTTCTGGTCCTTAATGCTGTATTTTGTTTTTCTGGCTCACCTATGTTTTGGCTAATTTAAATTGTTATTTTAATGTAGGAGATGGACATCTAGTATTTCTCCAGCAAATCTCATTGGCACTATGCCATCAATGAAGAAGGTTTGTTTAGGGAGTTTTTAGTGATTAGTTGTTGTTATCCAGGATATAAATGTTTTAATCTCAAAAGTTTAAAACCACATTGCTACGATGAGGTAGTACATGATCTTACTATCTCCTATAATTTCTAGAATGAATGTGTTTTTCTTCTTTCTTAAGGTTCTCCTTTGCTTTATTTTCTCCCAGTTGGTTGCTTAGTCATTGGTAGGAGGTTGGTGAAGGATTGATCAATACATTGTTGCTTAAACTTTGATTTCAAACATCTGTGTTCAACTGTAACTCGGTTTAAGGCGTCGTTTGCTTCAGTCCGAAATCTGTCAGCCATGTAACAGAAGGATTTTAATTTTATTTTACAAACTTTGGATAGTTGTTTCTTTCTCTTCTAAATTTGATCTTGTCGATTTTTCTATAACATAGGAAGGGGAAACCCTAACATGATGGATTGGGTCTTTGAAGATGGAACCTTAGGTTTGAGTTAAAGCAGAAGCTGGGTTGGGTAGGGCTGAACTAGCAGAACTATGATTCATTTGCAAAAAGTGTAGCGCGACCTACGTCTGAATCTATTGGGCCATACTGGGATGAAAAGTCTAGAGATCTTGTATTCTAAAGTACATCTACATGTTTTAGTCTAATCTTATAAAACTATCTAATTAATATACACGCTGTTAGAGCATGTTTCCTGCTTTCAAGTCAAGATTGTCAATGGTTCACCGTTTTGAACAATTTTAGCTAACTTCAAATAAAGTGAACTCATCTGTTGAGAGCTGTTGTGCTGGTCTTTCTTTTTCAGGTCTTCATCCTTGACTTTTCATTCTTACTAGTTTTCGCTCTTTCCGGGAATTATAGTTTCCGCTGAAAGCTGAGTAGCTAACTACGGCCATGCCATAATTTGTATTCTTTCCTGTTTCCTTTTCAGAGTAAATTTCTTATTTTTAGTCAAAACATTTACCTTTTATCCGGGAGTTTCTCGTGGTATACATTATGGCTGATGGACGTGATTGATTTTGCATGTAGAAATTAAAATATGCTCAAGATCCCTCTCATCGACACTTAATATTTGATATTGACCCAGTGTTTTTGCTTTATTCAAAGAATAATGAAGGTGTTGTTATGGAGGGCCTATTCAGTCAGTTGCTGAAGGGAATTGGAGATCCAGTTGACTTTGAACTTCCAGAATATTTGACTAAGTGTAAACCGATCACTTACAAGTTGATTAAGCGCAGTATCCTTTTAACTTTACTTTTAGATTCAAGAGTCTGTTTGATTACATTCCGTTATTTGAATTTTTTTTTTTTGAATTTTTGCCACATATTGCGATTAATGGGATAAAGGCTTGTTGTTTGTTGTGTATTTCTTAATTTTCCTTTGTCTGCCTTAGTTGTGATTCCCTGTTCCCAAAGTTGTAAACTATTGTTGGTCCTAACATTTTGAATTAAGATATATATCTCACGAAGAAGAATAAAAGGCGTCCAGAGGATGATGGGATATTTTGTTTCTGTAAATCATCGACTGGATCTTCTGGTGTCTGTGATAAAGATTGCCTTTGTGGGTAAGATTGTTATTTACGCATAAAGATTTGAGTTGAGCCTTTGTTGCCTTTGGCTGATGTGTAATATTGAGTCTACATTGAGTGTAACGAATCTAATGCTTAAAAAGCATTTTTATGAATTCAAAAGCAGTGCAATCCCTTTTTGGTGAACAAATATTGTAATTCAGAAGCAGTAATTTGAAATTTGTAAAGCTTGCCTTTTATTTTTTTTTATCTAGACTTTGTAATTTGAAATTGTCATGTGCATCTTTAAATTAGAGCCGTTCAATAAAATCTTTCTTGAAAGAGTATGTCACTGATCTTGTTCTATAACAACTTCTTCCTGTCTTGAACTTTCTTGAAAAACTAGTTTTTTTTTTGGTTACTTATATACGCAACACATGATGCTGTTCTTTTTCTTCTTTTTTTTTGTTTTTTTTTTCTCTCCCTGCCCCTTTTAGCCTACATGTTAGTTGACTAATTCCCACCATGTTTTGCTTTGCTGATAGTTAGCTGAAATGACTGTGGTCAGCAGTGTGTTTTGGGCTCATTTTTTTTTTACCAATTTTCTTCATACAGCATGCTACAGTCTAGCTGCTCCTCAAACTGCCAATGCGGGCCTTTGTGCTTAAATAAGCCATTCCATGAGAGACCTGTGAAGAAGATGAAAATAGTGCAGGTAACTGAGGAAGGCTATTTGAGCTGTCAAATTATCGAATTGTCTCAATGAGATATGAAATTGTTAAATATTAGAGAAATTATAGTTTTATAAACAAGGGTAGGGAGTTTATCCTTGTATGACTATGATTTATGCTTTCAGTTTGTTTAGATTTAAATGTACTCGTTCTCTGATCTGCAGACTGAGAAATGTGGATCAGGAATTGTGGCGGATGAAGATATTAAGCAAGGAGAGTTTGTTATTGAATATGTTGGAGAAGGTTTCTTCTTCTTCTTCTGGGTTTTTTCCTCCTCGTGTTTTTGCTTATATATAAGACATCAGCCGGGCTACTTTAGAGTTTTTATTTTCCCCCCTTTTCACTTTCTCAGTTATAGATGATAAAGAATGTGAAGAGAGGCTTTGGAAGATGAAGCACAGCGGAGAACAAAATTTTTACTTGTGTGAAATCAACCGAGATATGGTAATTGATGCTACTTATAAGGGAAATGAGTCCAGATACATCAACCATAGTTGTTGTCCGAATACAGAGATGCAGAAATGGTACCTTGCTGTTCTCAATAGCAATCTTGTTTTGTACCTATTTTTTGGTTTTTGTTTTTCGATCTGTTTTTGTCTGATGCTACCTTACCTTACAGGAGGATTGACAATGAAACCAGAATTGGTATATTTGCAACTCGGAATATCAAAAAGGGCGAACATCTGACCTATGACTATCAGTATGAACTTGCAACTTTTCTACTCTGGTTCCAACTATCTTGTCCATAAACTTGAATTTTGTCTGGTTCCAACTATCTTGTTAACATCTTGTTTCAGTCTAACAAATGTAGCAGGTTTGTTCAGTTTGGTGCAGATCAAAATTGCTATTGTGGTGCTGCAGGCTGCAGGCAAAAGCTGGGGGTCAAACCTAACAAGACTAGAACAACATCTTCTGACACATTGGAAATGTTAACCAGCCACGTTGCGCTGAACTCTCCCAAAGTGAAAGCCTTTCTCTCTACAAAAGATGTGGGTATTTATGAACCTTTTATTTTTCAGACTAAGTTCATGCAGATCCCTTGTATGAGTTTTTTATTTTTGTCATGTTAAATGTTATCTTTTAGCTGAAATTGCTGTTAGTATGTTGCTTCTCAAAGCATTTTTGGCCCTTCCAATTGATGTATGTTGTGAAGATTGATTTCTCCAGATTATGTTCCTTTTGGATTCATAATATCAGTTTAAACTTGTGAACTTTATGGAAGACTGGAATTACAATTTTTTTTAAAAAATTAAATTCTCTGGTATTGTTTCTTGTGCTAATTGCATAATAATGAGGGTCTACATGTCTGATGATTTGTTGTAAGATTGTCCTTTGACTTTCTTTTTTTTGGGAATACAGAAAATCATAAAAGCTGTTCTTGTGGTAAATAAATTTTAGTCTTGGCTAGTGTAGGACTATATGACTTGTAAAGCATTTCATGTTAAGGTGTATGAAACTCGCACTAAACGACCTCATGTGTTGGCTATCTTCACAAGTAATAACCTTTTCTCTATACATGAAGGAATGGGTTTCTAGTATATCTTTAATAAGTAGAATTTGGACATGATAGAGCAGTTTGGCCTATTCCTATACTGTTCTGTTAAATTCTGATTTTTTTAGGTGTACTATTTAGCACCGTCTCATTTCGTTTTCCCTCGAGTTTTCTTTATATCCGTGACATTTTCTTGGCTTTTTACTGTCACATGAATTGCATGGCAAAGTATGTATTAATTTAGAAGTGTCCAATATCAATTTAGAAATATCCAATTTTTCTTGATTAGACACAGTGTCTGATTTCTTTTGTCTCTGCTATGTGGTTCAACCGAATAACTATTTAGGGCTTCTGTCATACTATCAAAGGATAGATGTTCTCTTTTGTTGACTTGTATATTGTCCTATGCCTGTGTTTTTAACTTTTTTGTTTAACTTTGAAGGGCTATGCAAATGGAGTTTCTTCAGCTGGTAAGTGCTATCATATGATTATGGCCCATTTCCCCATTTCTTTTTTAAGCTTCAGCTCAGCGTTGACAGTGACATGGCATGTCTTCCTTACTTTTCAGGTGTCAGGTGTAATTCCGCTGGAAGGAAGCGCCCTCGGAATTGCATTGGTTCAATAGTTATTATAACTCGCTCTCAGGATAAGAGGTATGGCATTTCTTTTCTTGTCTTATGACAACATTAGACGATTTTATTTGGTAAAGAAATGTTCAAACTTGTTGGAAACGGTTATGGCTCTTTATATTCGGCTGTTTTGTGTTGGTGGTATTTGTGAATGATGTTGGAGTCAATTCTAGCTTTCATTTGTCTAGTTGGACCTGGTATATATGCTCTTGTGAATTTGGCTTGTTGGGTCCTGGGTGGCTTATTGGAGAGGCACTGCAAATGAGGAATAACTAAGAACATGAGTGCAAAATCATATGGCATCTGAACTTTTGTGGGTATATTTTTTACGAAGTCTAAAGCAGACACTATGGGAGCCTGCCAAATTACTTTTGAACCTAGTGCATGCTAATTCATTTTGACTGTGTCATCCATTGATTGAACACCACTAGAAATATGTATATTCCTTTCTTGATATATGAAATAAGAAATTGTAATATCCGCGGTTCTCTTTCCCAATTCTTGCCTCTGGATATCTCGGGCTTATCCAGCTTAAGAATTTATCCTTAAATCAACTTTGGTATACACATCCTCTCTTGCTATTTATTATTTTAGTTTTTTTCATATATAAGGATTGGCCCTTTCTTGTCGAGTTCCTCGTCTCTGTATTCGAGATGAAAACTTTGTCCCTGCATGTACCACAGTACCAGTACATTGTTGGGTTAATCCTGAAGTTAACTTGTACTGCATTCTGGAATTTCTTTCACCATTCTTTTTATGTTTGGAAAGGGATGGAATATAACTTCAGCCCTCTTACTTAATTGTGCTTATTTACTCTGCAGGTACTTTGGAATTGTAAAGCAGTTTGAGAAATCCACTAATAGACACTTGGTAAGATAGTTCACTTTGTTTGATTTCCAGCTATTGAATAACTTTATTGGAATGTAGATATATGTTTGTGTCAACTTCTTTATTGCCTGCTTTACAGATCTTGTTTGAGGATGGGACCTGGGACCTCCTGGATATGTCAAAAGAAGATTGGGAACTTTTGTAGTTTTCTAGGATAAATGTGAGGTAAATATAGCCCAGGCTGCACCTTTCTGCAACTACCTTTGAATTTTGATTTGTTTTTTATTTCGTGAAAATTCTCTCACTTGACTCGGTGGAGAGAGGGGTTTGAAGTGAATGAATCCTTAGTGGATTCCTATATCTGACGCTTTGGTGCTTGCTGGATTCTGTCGTCCCCACACCATTATCAATCTTCCTGAAACCGTCTAAAAAGAAAGATCGGTGCATAGAAAAGACAGTTGTTTCTATTGTTTCTGTTGAATCTTTTGTTGAATTAAGTTTTGCAATATGTTGATATGATTTGTGTGTGTGTTAACATCTCTCGTGTCCCCGCATTCTCGTGTGTCAGTTGTCTTTTATGTGTCATATGTATCTAATGAAAGTTGTCTTTTTATATGTGATTCTCACTTCTCGAAATCCTTCATGGTGCAGGTATTTGTAACCAGAGATAGTAGATGATATACGCGGAAATCCAAACTAACTGTATGAGGATATAGATAGGACTTAGATGTACATTGTGGACTTGCTTGCCAAGCAAGTTAATGTACCATATGTATCTTTCCTCTCTTCCCAATTACCATTTAGTCAGCACAAGTTTGTTTGACTCAATTTTCCATGATATTCTTTAGTTTTAGCTACCTCCCTTGTGTAATTCTTTCCTGCACGAGAATGCAAAGTTGTATCATAAGCTAGAAGTATGTGTAATACATTTTCCTGCTGGACAGGAAACTGATTTCATTGTAGATTTGGCTTCCGAATAATATGAAATTTGTATGCATTAATGCCACAATTTTCTTCAATTTTTCTTCCAACAGTTTTTTAATCTCTATACAATTGTGAATTGTCAATGTCAAAGATATCAGATCCTTCAAAAATAAAACATATTTATGGAATTGAAACAAGGCAAGGAATCCTGATTGACTGCTTTAAGATTTTAATGTTGGTATTCTGCCAATTTGCTATTACATCTCAGTGAGTTTATATAAGTTGTAAGCTACCAAAGACAAATGCAAACTTCAAATGTGCAATAGTGCTACTCAATTCTGGGGAAGGATTACAGTTCAAAGTCCTCATATGGTTTCATGGACAACTATTGTGCTACCTACTTAGTATGACAGTAGCTAAACAAATCTACACGAATTAAAAGAATTCAGCAGAGTTTTACAAGCTAAGGTCCAAGAGAACTGTTCAAGGTCATATACCAAGGAAGCGCCACGAAAACCTTTTTTGTATAAATGGCCTACTCTAAAGCAGGGAAATGGGGGAAAAAAAAACCTTCGTTCAACATAGTAGTATATCTAGTGATCTAATCAGAGAACCGAAATTGTTGTGGTACTGGGTGAGGTGCGACTGAGAAACAATATGGAGATTTAATATTCTTGACACGGGGAAATGCAGATCCACTAGTAAATTTACAACGTTTGAAGATTGAACAACAGCTGCCATCATCCTGTCCTACGGGTACTTGGACTAAACTGGAACTCGCTTACCACGATAACGGTCAAAGAACTGCAAAAGAGAACCAATTAATACCGATAATCATGTTATCTTAGTTTAGCAAAGCAACAGACACCATGGCTGTGAATCAACAGAGAGCAGTTCAAATAAGGTAACTTGAAGCAATTAAACACACCACATAAAAAAAGATTCTGCTCCTGCTAACAATGGCAAACTTAACAAACCGTTTTCCTTTCTTCGGGGCTACCTTTTCTCCCGGATACTATGTTCCATGTCACAAGAACTCCCTACTATTGTTAAAATAGACAAATATTCAACCCAAAAATGGCAGCCTGGTGAATAAAATCAATCAAACAACCAGGTAAATGATCATCCCTCAGAAGCCTAAATGTAGCACAGCCTTGCCTTATATTTCTATCAGAGGCTGTTCCTAAGACTATAACCAGTGACTTAAAGTAAAAACCAACGGCTCACTACTATGCTGAAGCTCCTTCAAAATATTTGACTCAAAATTGCATTCAATTCTCATTCACCAAATTGTAATATATCAGATACATGGGCACAAATTCTGGCGTTATTTAGTTGGCAAATCAAACTTACCGATCTGATATATGGCTGCTGAAACACCCATCCTAGAATAGGTATCTTCTGCATGAAAACTGCCAGAGTAGGCCAAAAACCACTGCAAGAAAACACCTCATGAGCAACCAAAAACCAGTAATAAGATTAAAGCACAGGAAAGGACAGATGCAGGCGCACTAACCTGAAGAGCACCACAAACCCATAAGCCTCCAAAATCATTCCAAGTATGGGCCACCCAATGATTACAAAGAAAAACCCAGCACCGAACGCAGCCGTACCCTATTTCAGTAACCAGAACCAGAGCTAAACCAGTAAGCAATGCAAACAACAGACAGCCAATAAATGAGTGAATACAGTTAAACAATCGGTCAAATAAAAAACCTTATAGTTAGTCCGTTTCATGAAGAATTGCAAAGATGACTTCAATCCAATAGTCAATGTCACCCCAGAGACGAAGAGAATCTGTTCAATTAACCCAAGAAGAATCAGAACCACGCCACACAAAAATGGTAAAATAGAGCTGAACGAACTAAAGATACACGAAAAATAACCATTCTCACGTACGTTTCCCATTGCGATTAACCCCTTGTCAAAGAAGAAGATGATCCCCAAAAACGAGAAGAAAACTCCGAATCCCGTCAATCCCAGCCCAATCTCTATTCAAACAAGCAAACCCATTATTAGTCTTTTTAAGTGGAAACGGAACTAACCATCAGAAATTCACAGCTTCTTGAAACCTAAACCACAGTTCCAAGATCCACAACCGACTTCGAAATTACACTGAATTCATTAAAATACTTACTTTTAATATCGTTCATCTCGAAGGAAACCATTTTGCCAAATGCAGGAAGACAAAATCAAAGAAAACCCAAAATTTGAAACCTGCCCAGAAAATTAAGAAGCCATTAATGTCAAATTCAAAGCTTACATTCAGAGGTGGAAACAAAAAATTAAGCAAATCGGGTAAAGTGGTCTAGGGTTCTGGGAATCAGAAATCAGAAGAGTACCTTTCGATTCGAATAATCTTTGCCCGACTTTATCTTTCTCTTTGCCCAGAAATTCTAAATCCAAAACTGATTAAATCGAACTCCAAATTTTGGGTATTTTGTATTCTGATCTTTTGATCTTCAAAGGGAAGTAACGATTTACTATTCGCTCGATGGCGTCATTTCTATTATTTATTTACTTATTTCCGTTTTTGTGTCATTTTCAGTAATTTTCTCAATTCCATTTATTTGGAGGGGAAAATGGAACGGGCTAAACTTTTGGGCCTATATATTTATAAAGGATTCGAAGGCCCGGCGTATTGGATCTGGAAAATAAGAGTTTGAAATGAGAGAGAAGAAATTCTAGAGAGACAAGCCTTCTGGAATTTCATTCTTAAAAGAAAATGACCAATTTACAGGGTAACTGCCAACTTCTAGAAGATCGACCTTAAAATAGGGAAATTAATCCAAAATATTACTACTAGGAATCTACAACAGTAATAATCTGAAAATAGGAATACAACTAGTGTGCTGCTATTTGTTATTCCTTATAAGAATATCTTAGGTAGCGCCCCCTTTAGATGTTTTTACCCTTGTCATAAAATTAAGACACAAAAATTTAAAGATTCTTCTACTGCAGATTCTCTCAAACCCCAACACAAACAAAAAATAATTTCTTCAATTCGATTGTTGCAAGAATGAAGAATTGAAAAAGTGTTGATTGAGACAAAGGTTCACTAGCAAATCAATTCGTTTAAAGGTTTTTTTTTTCCCAAAATTATGAAAAAGAAAAAGAAAAAGAATACAACAAAACCAAAAAGGGGTTTTGTTTGTCCCACCGCCAAAAACGGCGGGAGGGGAGTTCTTTTGAGTTTTTTTTGTTCAAGGTTCAATTCGTTTCAAGAATGTTGTTTTAATTCCTTTGAATAGAATTGGCATGTGGCATCGCGGGCGAAGCTCTCCTTCAACAGCGGAACTTTTGGTTTTGGTTTCAGGGAAAAAAAAAAAAGACGACCACCAGTCAGGCGTTCTTTGCGTTTGACCGGCGGGAGAAGCGTTTAAAAGCGTCGATGAATTTCCCAAAGAAGCGTTCAATTAATACGCTTCTTTACCCAATATGGCGTCTACTTTGGACGTTCAAATAACCGTTCAACGCGATCGCCAGGCGCCGACCGGCCAGGAACATTTTTTTCTTCTTTCTTTTTTGAATTGATTTTGAAATGAATTTTTTTAAAAAAAAAAAAAAAGTAAGAAACATTACATCATTTGCCTATAAGTCTTCATCTCCACCATGATTCATTTGATCTTCCATTACTATAGCGTCCGGATTCAACAAATTTTTTATTTTTTATTTAGAGTTTGAGAGAATTTGGAGAAGAGGAAGAAAATGATTTGTGATTTAATTTTATACCAGGGGTAAATTAGTCATAAGAGGGTGTTACCTAGAATTTAGGGGGCGTCAAATAGCATAACCCTAAAACTATCTTGGTAAACAGACCCTATATTTGTCTGAGTATGACTTAATGCATATGATTGATTGTTGACCACCAAACTGATCCCTCAAGTTCCATAAATGGTGATCCAGTCCTTCATTCTATGACACCATTGCACTTAAATTGGAACTCTATGTTTTTTGTTACTCTAAACTTTTTTCATTTTTTTTATAATACTAATGTCTTGACAACCACCAGCATTAACTCATCTGGAGTAGAGCAATATGGTCATTTTGAATTCTTCATTTCTTCCATGCATGATATAAAGGATCTTTAGGTCCAATTTTCGGTTACTCGAAAGAGGAAGCGAGAGGAATTTAATGGTGCCACGGAAATCATTCACATATATGTCTCGTGTTGTATTTGCAGTTGTGGAGGATACAATTCTGTACTCGCCTTTGTTTTTTGATATCTTTTGGAGGTATCGTTTTATACCCTTTCATCTCGAAATTATTATCTGGTTTTGATGTTCTTATTTAGTTTAAATTTTACTTAAACTAAAAATTCAAATTGAACCATACTTTTGGAAATTGGGACATATGGAATATCATTTTACCTATTGCTCACTCACTGCACCTGTGATGATACGTGATGATGATTTGGTGGTGCTAATAAAAAAGTTTGAAGAATTGGATTTCATTCCTTTGAATTGATTAAAGTCTTAGTCTACATTTAGAAATACTTGATTTGAAATGATCGCTATTGGGAAATTCAAATTGAATGAAACTCAGTCGAAATTGTACGTGTTTGAGGAAGCCATTCTTAACTTATTCGCATTTTCGACTATGCTCTAAAAACTAAAATTAAAAAGTAAAAACTACGTATTTGTTTAACATCCTGATATATCAATAAATTTTGAGGAGTCCGTCTGAATTAAACAGTGTGTCAAGTATTTCTTAATGACTTTCTCCATTGCGTAGGTCCGTAGGAGTTGAAGTACACAGACATAGAAAGTCCTTGCGGGTCGGATAATTTCATAGTACTTAACGTGAACTATTTGTCTCTGACGGATGGAGTATTTAAACCTTTCGATACCCAAAAAATATTCACTTTCAAAGGTTATGAATTTCCCATACGTCTTTAAATGTTTGATACGAAAAATCTTGTCCTTACTCATCCAAAACAAACCTATAATTTTCTTGGAATCTAGAGGAAAGAAAAATAATAATTTGTAAACTTTCAGGTTTCTAAAGTTTGATATTCTGCTCAAGTAAAAAAGAAATTAAAAAGGTTGATATTTATAATCAAGATCATGCAAAAGTTTATATGTGTATAACAGAAACACTTCTGCTATTCCCAAATTTATTACTTGCATAATTTAAACAAAAACAACCTAACACGTACGTACGTAACACTTTACTAGTGGTATTATGGTAGCAGGCTCAACTACTGTTTTACTAAGTTCACTTAATACATGAACCAAAAAGTACAGTAACCTCCCGAAACCTGAAGGGACGCACAAAAACTAAGGCTAGCTAGATGTAAATGCATAGTAGAAACTACGAAATTAAGGTGACGAAACGACAATCTTTTTCCTTGATGGATAAACCTATGAGAATAATTAAGAGTATGTTTGTTTCGTTTTTTTAGTGTGTGTTTTTAGGTGTTTTTTATATTGCGGATGTAAAAAGATGTATTGAAAATGTAAAAAAGTATGCTGAGATAGGAGAGTTATTATTTTATTAATCTAAAAAAAAACCATAAAAAAAAACTAAACAAACAAAGCCTAAGATATTGGCATTGAAGTATTCTAACAAATTTGAAATTATTTGTAACCTTTCCAATAAATAGTCAATTTCTTTCTTAGACAATGTGAAATTTAATTAAGCTGACATTCCATAATACAATTTGTTGAGGTTTGAAGGTCTTCTAAATAATTTCAATCTCATGCTAAGAAATCGTCATAACAAGATCTCTATGCAGTGAATGACAGTAGTCCCTCCATTATGTAAAAACAGTGCCATAAAATATGGTAGTTTTGAGGCTTATAATCTACGTACAAATTAAAGAAGGAAATTTTAATAAACTCTGTTAGTATATTATTAAACAATTAAAAGTAACTATTATTATTATCTTCATTCGGGCAACATCAAGTCAGGAACAATAATGTATGTGACTGCAATGTAATTTTGTAGTGTTATAGGTAACGTGTTGGAGAAAAACATGTTCGATCAAATGATGATCATGGAAATCCGACGAGGCTAGTTTTAGATCCCATCGAACTGGTGTAGTCATATTTTTATTTATTGATTTTTTTGAAACCCTCCATTATTGTCATATCCCGTGAATCGATCCAATTAATTTTGGTTGTACTTGTTCCAAATGTTTGATCATTATCTTTTGGAACAAACAGTCATCATTAAAGAGATTAAAAGAGAACATGCATCGTCACCCTTGACAAATTATTCACTCCAGACAGTTTAAATTGTATATAATCATTCGTGTATATCACATTAAAGGGATAGAAAACCATGTACAATATGGTAGAATGTTATTTACAAAATAGTACAAGGAAAATGATAAGTACTGTGACAAAAAAAAAAAAAAAGAAATAATGACTGATGTGGAGTATCATGACTCTTTTTTTTTTGTCACTTTCCTGTTAAAATTTTATTTCCTGCCAAAATTATATTTTTATCTTTAAATAATTAACACACATATTTAGTGGCAATAGTGTGTTTGTCTTTGCATAAATCATTATTCTATTTCACAAGAAATTGTCATTGTCTCTATCATGGTTGATAATACAATTATCTTGTTTCGAATAATATTAAATTGGGTATATCATTTTGATAGGTAATATGGTGACATTGTGACGACTACGCAAGTACCATAAAACCATATTGCGCTACACAACATCTACAACTTTCAAATAGTTCGTCCTTTCTCTACTTTCTAATCAAAGAAAAGACAGAATTCAAAAATTTCTGAATTGTGAGTTTAGTGAGTCCCACGGAATTGAGATTACGTTTATTAATTTAGTGGTGCAAACAGTTAAAAATTAATCAATCCATTTTCTTGGGTATCATATGCATCTGCATTGAAGGTGGTTCAAGATGTTGGCTAAATTCATTGAAAGCGAATACTTTTACTTTTATTATTACATTTTTGTTAATATCATTCCTCATTTTTTGCGCTTCTCTGTTGAGTTGAAAGCAAATAAAACCTCCAAACTTAGTAACTTGAACACAAATGTCTCCTTTTCTATGGTTGGAATACTCGAATGAGAAACAATACTGATTTGGGACACTATATATGGATTATCGACACGAAACGCACATGGAATGAAGAGAGGAAGTTTGGTTTTCGGATGTTTGAAATGTATATTTGATCTTACTAAGAATACCAAAGGAAGTAGGGTTTATCAGACTTTAGAGGGGGAGGGGGCAATACTGCTTCCGTCCCATAAAAATAATTTACATTAAATTTTGAATTTTATATTGTTTTTAGTACAAATTTGAAAATTTAATGTGTATTATTTTTTTGGGACAGAAATAATATATGACAAGAGTATGTATCATTAGGTGCAGATGAAAGAAAGATGCCGGGGAAGGGTTGATTATAAGAGTAGCTTACAGTTTATCGAAAGCAACAAGATTTTGTGGACATGCATAAACGGTTCATCTAGAGAACACAAGAATTATACTGTAAATATATATACATTTCTAAGTCGAGAATGTTTAAAGACACAGTAAATATTGTGGTAACGTATGAACATATATATATATATATATATATATATATATATATATGTTGCCACTAGCGGAATTAAACCATGGCCGTATTGTATATGATAATGTCAAGTGATTAATTTGGTTTTAAACTATTACCTCTTTCTAAACTTCAAAATGAGAAGTAAGAAAAAATTAAAAAGAAAACGTAATACTATCTCTATACCCCAAAAAAAGAAAAAAATATCTACATTGAATTTTGATATTTGTATTAAAAACAGTACAAATTTAAAAATTTAATTTGAACTTTTTTTTTTGATAGATAAAATATAATATTGCTTGGGATCGGTGATCCCGATATCAATGGGGTTCTTATAGTAAACTCAAGTACAAATTACTCCCTCCGTCCCATAATTATTGTCTACTTTGCCCAAAAAATTTTGTCCCAAAATTATTGTCCAATTTGACTTTTTATGGATCAAGTTACACATTTGTCCTTAGTAAAAAACATTATCCATAAAATCTTAGTGGTTAAACTATTACTTATGTAGGGGTATATCCGGTTGTTTAAGGTAAAATATAGTTAAGTTTGACCAAAAATAAAATCTTTCATTTTAGTAAAACTGGACAATAATTATGGGACGGAGGGAGTAATTAATTTTTGGGCGAAAGCTTTCTTGTCAAGGAGTAATTAGTTTTCATGTTATTATATAGTGATGGACCGTTTTGATCATAAGAGAGCAAAATGAAAGCTTTTCATCCATATTAAAATATCAATACAACTACCTGTATTAAATAAGGAATGTCATTTTACATTGATCACATAAGGCTTATAACATTGATCGAAAAAGAAACAAGCTGGTAAATTAATTTACATGGTGTTTGTAGGATGTCACTATCATTTTTCATGCAAAAATACAAGAGATTCCACGTCCACGTTTTCTTGAATTATTTTCTAGGTACATAAACATTGCTCACTATTTTCTCTGCCTTTAGCCTTACTAGACCTATTATTGCTTTAATAATTGTTTTTCTTATATTTTCCGTCTCAAAATAATGGTCTAGTTTAAATTTTTTATTTTTTAATTTAAATTATACTAATTAAAAAATTAAAATTTAAACTGAACAATCATTTTAAAACATAAAGAATATCATAATTTAATAAAAAAAAAGTATATGTGTAATAACCGTCTTTCTCAAAATCCGTTGTGCGCTAAAGAATGTCCGTCGCTAATCAAGGAAACGCCATTTTTTCTAATTTTTTTATTCAATATTTTAACTTACGGTTATTTCCGTAATCATGCATGGAGTTCGTTCAAAAGAATATGGATATCGGTGAAATAAACTTAAGATGAGGTTTTTTTTTTTTCTCTCTTTTTGGGTGTGGGAAAATAATAGTCTTGCACATTTGTGATGAACAATTTTATCCACCAATTTACCAAATACAAGAAGTATTAATCAAATATCCATTCGATGTATAAGACGTTTAACAGTATATATATATATATATATATATATTCACGGTCCAGAAACAAGACGAAGACGACTGCAAGTAAAGGACGAACGCCGACGAAGACGACCAGCGGCAGCAGCAACACGAATTGGAAGAGAAGAGAAAGGAGCACACGCCGACGATGCTGAGCTTGGTCGACGGGGAGAAGAAGAAGGGGTTCTGGGCGGCGGGACGACGAAAGCACACGCCGGCGAAGAGCCTGTGTGGGGCGGCGAAGAGCAGAAGAAATATGCACGGCCGAAGAAGAAGGAGGGGGTGTGCACGGCCGAAGAAGAAGGATTCGGCGGGGGAAAGAGGAGAGAGGAGAGAAAAAAAAAAAAAAAGGTTTTGTTAAACCTAGCTCGATACCAACTTAGAATAGGGAAATTGTATTTGATTCATAATATGTTGTGCACAATATATAGACTATATATAGACAATAACAAACCCTAAACTAGAACATAATAGGAAATATACTAAATATTACAATAATATATATATTCACGGTCCAGAAACAAGATGCTTTTTATCTTTCTTATGTCAAATTGGTGTAATCTAACTCAACAAACGCACCAAACTCAAGAGTTATTGGTGGTTTTATCCCGGAACGACCTGATTTGACGCACGAGCTTTTCTGAATTTTGTGACCTCAAGAAGTTGGCTAAATGATTTTATTTCTTTATCTATTTTTGGTTTGTGGCTCTTTGGGGAAAAAACAATATGAATTTCGTGAGGTGAGGTAACGTACCATTGTGCATGTACACTTACTTTGAGAACAGTTATAGTAAATACAATCTATTTTACATTGTTGATGCGAGTGATCGATTATGGCTTTAGAGTCTGATTCCTCTATCTAATATTGCAGTTTACAGTTTTTTTTTTATATTGTAAGATGTCCATCGTCGATAGTAATAATTAATCTTTCTCGTTCATAATAAGATATGTTCTTTTATTTGTGTATGTGAATATTTTTAAAAAGGTTTAATGAGGGGGGAGGGGGGAGGGGCGAACTCACGTTTACGAATTGTTTATGAGATGACCTAATTCAACCAATGTTTTTGGATTAGTTGACATCATTATTTGCCAACCATTATTTATTTATTTTTGGTTCATTTTCTTAACTCCAATGGCTGGTTCAAGTAGGCCTATTATTTTTTTTGTGGCATAACAGCTATTATAAGTTCATATGTACACTCTTTTCTGGGAAGAAAATATTCCAATTTAAAACAAAATAACCCATTCTATGATAAGCTCAATGAATAAGAAGATCAAGCCATTAATTTTGGAGAAAAAGAGTATAAAATCTTCTTCAATGCAATTGACTAGGGATTGAAGTGTTTAATACATTTTCCAAGAAATGGCGCATCATTTCTTTCATTTCTTGAACGTCAACGGAAATGGGAATGTACAGTATTAGAAGAATTTCTAAAACACACGTAAAATTTCTGCATGAGTAACGCTATATAGGGTAACAAAATTACACGGCCTTTTGTGTATCTTGGTTGAGTAACCACACAATATTGCTATTCACTTTGTGACAAAGATAGTGAAATATCCATCTCCATAAATTTAAATAATTTCTTTCGCTAATAACAATCATCTTAATAAAACGTAACATTTATAAATTTATATTGAGACTAGGCGAAACCATTTGATATACAATAAGTAAGACCGACAAAGGCGACATAAAAAACTCCACAGCCCCCACATTCATCCTCTTTTGCTGTATATATATAGACACATTTCATTTCTCCAAGTTCATTTACATTGGATGGTGCTATATTTTTGGTGTCCAATTCATTACAACAAAAAAACAAAAGAAACTCTTGCTACATTTTCTCTTCCTCTGTTTTCTCCGTCTGCTTTTTTCCCCTGTTTTTTTCTCTGCCTCTCTGTCCAATTCATAATCCCGCATCTTCTGCAAAAGCAAACGAATACCACCGCCCTGAAAACAAATTAATACAGAACCCCGAATTTAATCATCAACCTTAAACAATCAAATCAATCGAAAAGAATTTACAAAAAAAAAAGGGAAAAATGCAGAGGTTTGGGATATTAAGGAAGGCAGAGTATTTGCAGGGGAAGAAGTTACATGGCTGTTTGCGGCGATGTTATTCTGGGTTGCCTCAAACGGCGGAAGAACCAGCACCGGCGGTTCCTAGAATGCCGCCGTTCGATTACTCGCCGCCGGCGTACACGGGGCCCTCGGTGGATGATATCTACAAGAAGAGGAAAGAGTTCCTCAGCCCTTCCATGTTCTACTTCTACAAGAAACCCGTACGTAAAATCTTACATGATTTTCGATTAATTTGAGTTTCGTCTTATGATGATGAAGATTAACGTTGTTTTTTTTTAAGAATCATGGGATTGTCGTATGATGGTGCATAGTATAATATAAGTCTAATAATTGAAGATTTAATAACAATATCGTAGGATGCAAATTGGGTATAAATTAGAATTATCATGCATTCAATCTTTTTGGGAACTGAGCCTGCCTTCTCCTTCTTTTATTTTATGCTATCTGCTTTTCATTTTTTTTTTGTGGGGGGTTTAATGGGTTCTTCTTCTTCTTCTTTTTTTTTTTTTTTTTGTACTTGAATAATTCTATGCATATTTGTCTTTTTATTATTCTCTACATCTAACGGATTTTTTTTTTTTTTTTGCCTGAAATGATCTTACGAATCTTATTAATTACAGTTGTTATGGATCAACTCCAATTTTATCTCTGTGCCGAAGAGATAATTTTTCTTCATCTTGTTTTGTCTGAAATGACATTCTCTCGAGTATATATAACACTTGAAAGTTAAAATCGAACACATATATAACAGTTGAATATAACATTTTTTATTTTGATTATTTCACTTTGCACCATGCCATATTATCTTGTTGTTTTTATTGTGATGAAAAATCATGTTCAGTTGATAAATTATTAATTTTTGCAAGGACAAGAACTGAATTTCGACTAGGACATACTGTATTATTATGTAATGAGCCTTTAAAAGTGACTGACGTATTATTTAAAAGCTAAGTCTGTGTGACACTTGTATTTTCATAATCAGATTGTTACATCAATCACTTTTTTAATTCATATAGTAAACATCATTAAATATAGATAAGTTGTTATTAATGGAAGTCGCTGTTAATTAATCTTGTTCATATACACTGTTTGATAATAACATGCCTCTCGAAACCTATTAAAAAAAATGAATAGAAATAATTGTATCTACTATTTCTTTCATTGATTTTTTTTTTTTTTTTTTTTTGGTGTGGAAACCAGTTGAACATCGTACATGGAAAGATGCAGTACTTGTACGATGAAACTGGTCGCAGGTACCTTGATTCCTTCGGCGGAATCGCCACCGTTTCTTGTGGGCACTGCCACCCTGAAATTGTTCAAGCTATTGTTAACCAGACCAACTCATTACAGCATTCTACTATCTTATACTTCAATCCCGCCATTGCTGAATTTGGTGAGGCTTTAGCTTCTAAGTTACCTGGTGACTTAAAGGTAAGACCTCATATTCTAGTCATGTTCAATAAATTTTGAGATTTGAAGTCTGAATTCTGAACGTTTTAGTCAAATGTTGTATATAGGTTGTCTTCTTCACGAATTCTGGAACTGAAGCGAATGAATTGGCGATTATGATGGCGCGTTTGTACACTGGCTCTCATGATATTATATCACTCAGGAATTCTTACCATGGTAATGCTGCCGCAACCATGGGTGCTACTGCCCAGTGTAACTGGAAATTCAATGTGATTCAGGTAAAAGAGAAAGAGCATGATTTCTTATTTCTTAATTGGATTTTATACTGGGACGAGTTTCCTCTGATCATTGGCTTTTGGTTAGCAGAATGGAGTTCACCATGCCCTGAATCCTGATCCATACAGGGGCGTATTTGGTTCAGATGGCAAGATGTATGCTAAAGATGTTCAAGATTTAATCCAGTTTTCGACTTGTGGCAAGGTTGCTGCTTTTATTTCAGAGGCTATACAGGTAATCTGGATTTTGCATGTGAGGCTCATGAAAGAGGGTGTCTTTCGAGTTTGTATGTTGGATTATACATCAAGATTTCTGTGTAATGTTGTTTGCAGGGGGTAGGTGGAATAGTTGATTTAGCTCCGGGTTATTTGCCTGCTGTGTATAAAAGCATCAAGGAAGCCGGCGGCGTTTGCATTGCTGATGAGGTTCAGGCTGGATTCGGGCGCACTGGAAGCCACTTTTGGGGATTCCAGGGCCAGGGTGTTGTGCCTGACATAGTGACAATGGCAAAGGTTACTTCATTTCTTTAACATGAAATCCAAGCATTATTGTCCATTATTCTGGGGCTTTGTCTTTCCTTTTTTGCCAATAGCTCTTGAGAGAAAACTTATAAGTGTCTCACTCAAATCTATTGGCAAGGGTTAACAAATCCTAGTAATTAGTCTTTGAGTATTAAAGAAACTAAGGAGGGCTAATATTTCTGACAATTATGTTGCTCCAGGGAATTGGAAACGGGGTTCCTTTGGGAGCGGTAGTTACAACTCCTGAGATTGCCGAGGTTTTGACTCGCCGAAGCTACTTCAACACATTCGGAGGTAACCCTGTCTGTACTGCAGCTGGACATGCTGTTCTGAGAGTGATTGAGAAGGAAAAACTCCAGGAGAATGCACATGTAGTTGGTTCTTACCTTAAAGACCGCCTCACTGCCCTCAAAGATAAACATGAAAGTAAGAATCATCGCCTTTTGATTTCTTTTGCTGTTATTCAGAAAAAGCAGTCTTAGTTGATAAACTAATGTGATTTCAAATACAGTTATTGGTGATGTCAGAGGAAGAGGCCTGATGCTTGGTGTTGAACTTGTCACGGATCGTGAACAAAAAACACCGGCTAAAGCTGAAATTCTACATTTGATGGACCAAATTAAAGGTATATGTAACAACTTTACTCTGCTGTATGAATGGTTTGCTAAACTAATCACGTTCAGAGCGACGAACTAACTTGTATTTGGTATACCTGTGAACCAGATTTGGGAGTTCTGATTGGAAAAGGTGGATTCTATGGAAATGTTTTCAGAATTACCCCTCCCTTGTGCTTCACTAAAGAAGATGCTGGTATGCCTTTTTCTGTATTCTACCACACTTGCATCTTTTAGCTTAAAAAAGCACTGAGTATCTAACAGTTTAGAGTATCTACTCCTAATTCTTGAATGCTGGCACCATTGTAATTTATAAAAGTACATCCTATACACAAAAACTAATGCATCAGAAAAAAAACTTCGTGGACAAGAATCCGTAAAATGGCTACATTGCAAGTCCTCAAAAACTTAATGAATGTTGCATGCTAACATGAGGTATGGATATCCTTCTTTTTGCAGATTTTCTTGTGGACGTAATGGATCATTCAATGTCAAGGCTGTGATCACAAAATTTGTCCATAAACATCAATTCAAAGGATTCGGGTCTCCTATGGAGCTTAGCTGAACCCTCCATTAGTCATTGGTTTCAGCCTGTATGATTTGGCTAAAATTGAATGCATCAATCTATCTTACTTGTCAATCAAACTTCAAATCTTTTTATTGATTAATACCTTTTGTGAATCCAAATGATGATAGCATGTAATCGATGACAGAATGAGTCAACATCTTGTTGACTCTGAATCTCTCTTGTGCTGTGTTTTCCTTTTTCCATTCAAGCAAATGGTGCACTTTTAATTTCGTTTCATGAACTAATAATAAAACTAATCTTAGCTTGGCAAAGGACTAAAGGAGATGTAAAACTAAACAGTAATTCAGTTAGGCTGGAATAGGAAATCTTACAGGTTCAACATTGACATCAGAGCCTACCATTAGCACTCGGCCCTAATTCTTTTAAAGTTGCTGCAATATTTTGATGACTTATGGGGGGAAGAATGTTTGATGCGATTGATAAAAATGGCAAATCCTCTTATTTGATAAACAAACCATCAATCAGGTCTTTGAAGGCTAACATCAATGAAGAAGCGGAAAGGTTCCAACAGTCGTACCTTGTTTTGTCTGAATATCTATAGGCCAAGCAGCTCTGATTAAAAACTGATAACCTTGAGCCCTAAAAATGCAATGGAAAAGCAAAGAGCAAAATGTGTAAAGGCTACAACCAACAAAGCTACTAACATATCACAAAGATTTCATCCAAGTCTGATGCTTGCGGAGAACAAAGGCGTACATGACTAAAATATCTCAATGACACAAAACTCCATTCAGATTAACATGAGTATCTTGAATCCACATATTTGTAACTAGCAAAAAAACAAACTTTCAAGCACCTCTTGCTCCTCCATTCTCTCGGGACTCCACTAGTTTCTTTCTTTAACAAATTTGGCAGAGAGCACGAGATCATTCTGCAAAGACAACAAGATCATTGAACCACAACTTAGCAAAAGGAAAAGGAAAAAAAAAAGGGATAGAAAAATCGCGAATTCTGTAGGTCACACTCCAATGTTAAAAGATCCACTGTCTTTTTTATGCAAGTCACAGCATATTCCCCTACTAATTTGTTTGAAATGGTACGTAGGTTTTACCAAGGGGGGCAAGAAAAAAAATATCCAAAATGCATTTGGATATACCTGTTTCATTCTCTGATAACTTCTTCCACCATAAAATGTGAGTAAGGATCTTCAGACCTTCATTTCCCTCTTCTGCCATTTCTTGAAGTTGGTTTATCGACTCAGTGACCTTGTCACATTCAAATACCTCAATCGTCTGAAGAGTTGAACTCTGGGCTAAATCAGTAGGCAGTTCCTCCAAGCACATACATCTTTTCAGGACTAACTTCTCGAGGCAGGGAAAAGGAACATTGTCCTCCGAATCCATGGTCCACCTAACTAAATTAAGGCCTTCCAATATTAGATATCTGAGCTTGGGGAATGTGTCTTCTTCGACATGCCAGGTTTCCCCAGAGAATGCATTTCCCAGTAGCTTGAGGACCTCAAGATTTGGCAGCCTATGAATTGCCGACATGTCACTCCATGGAAGCATAAGCAGTGATAGAGTCAGCTTCTTTAGATTTTCGGGAAACTGGAAGTGATAAATACACTTATCTGGCCAAGTACAAGTGATGTGGAGTGATTCAAGTCGACTCAAAAAGTCCAATGCCAAAATCTTCAAGGCCCCATCGTTCTCCTTGAAAGTATGTAAGCTGTCTAAACTTGAAAGTTGGTTAGGATTCTCTGCAGGAAATTCTCTCACAAAAACCCATGAATGTGCTCTCATATGCCTTAATTTTTTCATATTCCATACAGCATATGGCAGAAAAACTTCTTTCATTCCAAGAACAATAAAAGTCTCCAAATTTGAGAGGTATGCAATTGACGATGGGATGTTAACTGATCGCTCAATGGCCAAGGCCAAGTATCTCAAGTGACCAAGTAGTTGAATGGCACTTGGAAAGAAATGGAAGTTAAAAATTTTGTTCAAACTCAAAACTCTTAGAAGCTTAGACTGGCAAAAATTGTACATGATACCAAACCACTGTGTTGCATTGAATTTCCCAATCATCGTTGAACAAGAGAGTGCGTATATGAGGAAAAAGTATCATTGACTCTGCAAATTCCTTGATTTTACCAGGCTAGAAATGCAACCGGTACAACATCCTTGGCTGAACGGAAGTACCAAGTTCATGGCAGCGTAAGCGATGCATAAAATGTTCTTGTTTGCCTGTTTCCCTGCAAAGTCAAGTAAAAGGTCATGAAGGATGCAAGATTTGGCGCTTCCTCTGGACCCTCTCTCAGCAACCATTATTAAGTTTCTTTGTATTAACTCCATCATGTAACCCTCTGCAACATCCTCAACGCATTCCTCCTCAGATTTCTTCGCAATGCCTTCTGCAATCCATAACCATAACATCTCATGGACACTTACTTTTTGATCCTCTTTATACAATCCAAAGTAAAGAAAACATGGTTTCAAATAATCTGGCAAATGACGATAACTCAACTCTAGAATTTCATTGCACTCATCTGTGGTAGGTGGGTTACCCTTCTTTAGTTTTATTTCAATCTCTTCCCAAGTACCTGGCTCCATATTTGAAAGAATTCCAGCAACAACTATAATCATCAATGGCAATCCCTTGCAACCGGATGCTATTGCCTCCCCACGTGCAAGTAGTTCCGGAGGACAGCCTTCTTCAAAACACATCTTCATTTGAAATAGTTCCCAACTCTCAGGTTTGTTGAGGAAACGAAGGCGATGAGGTTTACTGTCTGGTTTGATTTCTAAGGCCACATCCTCAGACCGACTGGTTAGAAGAATTCTACTTCCTTTCCTATCATTTGGGAATGAATATTTCAAACTTCTCCATACTTCAGCATCCCAAACATCATCCAAGATGACAAGATACCTTTTTCCCTTCAAGTATTTGCGGAGTGCATCACCCAAATCATCTTCACTCATTCCTGACAGTTTGTCATCCTATTTCAAACCAAGACTATTTAAAATCACAAGTAGCAAACTCCTCTTGCTCCATACTTGCGAGACAGTACACCATGTGCGAACACCAAGTGAAAGGTGACGGATGGATCACGATAAACTTTTACGCCTAAGGTTGTTTTTCCTAACCCAGGCATACCAACTATGGAAACAATGTCCAAATTTTCCGTGCCTCTTTTCAGTCGATCAATTATCTCCTGTGACTCATCAATCAAGCATACAACAGGCTCGCTGAATTCAGGGTTCTTACCTGCCGAAAGCTGCTTATTGTAAGTTTTAGCTATATCCTTGACTTTGGTGATCTTCTCAATGCCAGATGCCTGAGTCTTAATTTGCTTGATTTCTGCTATGATCGTATCAAGCAGCTCAGTGAAGCTCTGATGAGTGCCTCCAACCTGTAGAGAATCGAGGACAAACTCCGTCTCATAGGCTACTGTAGCAACACGGCTCCACAGGTCTTGCAGCTTCCCCCTTTGATCATGCTGCTCTTCCATAACATTAACCAAAAAGGATCTCAAATATGCAAGCTCATCACGGATAGTTTTGAGCTTATTCTTCGCTGAAGCAACTACTGAATCTGCAGCCTCACATGGATCATTAGATGTCATTTTTTCCAAGATAGAATCAAGAAATCCCAACAAGTTCATTTGAGGACATTCTGATGGTGGTGTATATCTTGGTGCATCTTCTTCTTCTTCTTCTTCTAAATTGATCACAAGCTTAAATTTTTCATCGAAATTCTGAAAACGATGCTCTAGGGTTCCACCTGGAAGTCTTTCTTTCTTTCCGAGAAAAAGATAGCAAACTATAACTCCTGCCTCACAAATCAAGATTCCAGTAAGGCCATTCATTTTGTCATGTAACTCATCACCTTTACCATGTTGCCCTGTCAGAACGGTTCTCAAGAATCTGAGCCGCTTATATAGTCTATACATCTTATGATACAAGCATCCGGTACGATGGAATAACAGCTGAAAGATAAGATAGATGAGAGAATCAACAAAATCCGCCAACAAAAGCTTTTGGCATCCTGGAACCCCTTGGTTCGATGACTCAGGCAATGCTGAAGCTTGTTGCAAGGCTCGAACATAAATCTCAAAAACCTGAGATTCAACAGGCTCAATTCTATCTACAAGTTTGTAAGGATCGGACCACTCAGAATAATCATCGTATCGTGGATTCAAAGACCTGAAAATGAAGCAAGCAACATCAATCAACACGCCTCGGACGTGTATCAACAGATCTCCCATCTGCTTAGGCTCAAGTCCTAGTAATGTGACCAAACGGATGAAATTCTTCAGGAACCTAATACATTCTTTCATGCCGCCTGTCGAAATGGAAGAATGGCGAAGATCAAGAAGGGATTCAATGCAACCTAGTAGATCCTCCATCTCTATGTGACATTCAGAGCTAGTTTCCAATGATACATTTTGCTTTATTTCGATGACATGTTGATTGTTGGTCATGATACTGTAAAGATTGCCAGGTTGAAAAAGAAGTTGAATAAATCCTTTGCGATGAAGGATTTGGGTCCAGCTAGACAGATCCTTGGGATGAATATTTCTCGTGACAGACACAATGGGAAGCTTTGGGTATCTCAAGAGAAGTATATCGAGAAGGTTCTTGATAGATTTAATATGAGCGGTGCTAAGGAAGTCTCGACTCCACTTGCAGGGCATTTTAAGCTAAGCAAAACGCAGTGTCCTAAAAGTGAGAAAGATAAGGAAAAGATGAAAAAGGTTCCTTATGCTTCGGCAGTTGGCAGCCTGATGTATGCGATGGCTTGCACAAGGCCAGACATAGCTCATGCAGTTGGTGTTGTTAGTCAGTTTCTCTCCAATCCTGGTGAGGAGCATTGGAATACTGTGAAGTAGATTTTCAGGTATCTTAGGGGTACTTCCAGATTGAGTCTTTGCTTTGGCAATGAGAAGACCATGTTAGATGGATATACAGATGCTGACATGGCAGGTGACCTGGATGGTCGGAAGTCTACTTCTGGTTACTTGATGACTTATAGAGGAGGAGCAGTTTCATGGCAAAGTAGGTTGCAGAAATGTGTTGCTTTGTCTACTACAGAGGCAGAGTTTATTGCAGCTACTGAATCCTTTAAGGGAGCACTTTGGTTGCATAAGTTTCTACAAGAGCTTGGCATGAAGCAAGAGAGGTATGTGGTGTATTGTGATAGCTAGAGCGCTATTCACTTAGCTAAGAATTCCACATTTCATTCACGGTCAAAACATATTGATGTGAGATATCATTGGATTCGAGATGTGTTGGAGTCCAAGGCGTTGTTTCTTGAGAAGATCCATACGAGTGACAACGGTGCCGATATGTTGACGAAGACTGTGAGTAGAGAGAAGCTTCTGTTCTGTAGACAGGAAGCGGGTTTGGTTTTACCCCCTAATTGAGGTGAAGGGGGAGATTGTTGGGCCGGTTTTTCCCTCAATTAGGCCCACCACAAGTGGAAGTCAAAATCCAACTTGGATTTGTTTGGTTTGGCCGAGTTAGCAAAACCAATTGGAATTGGTTTTTGGTTTTTTGCTCTATAAAAGCAAGGTTTTGGCATAATTTTTAGGTGTGTGTTTTCCAGCCAAGAAGAGAAGAAAAGTTTGGGCAACTGTGCATTGTTTTTGTACGAGAGAAAAGAAAAAAAACTAGGTTTTAGTTTTCGGTTTAACTCTCTTTTAGTGAGATCCTTCTAATCCTACTTTGTGATAGGTGTTTTGGAAGAGTATTGTTGTAATCCACCTTTGGGTGAAGTCCTGTGTATCCATCGGTTGGTGAAGATTGTTTTTCCATTATTGTGATAGTGGAGATTTGACTGCTGTTACAGTCCCGTGGTTTTTTCCGATTTGGGTTTCCACTTAAATTTGTGTGTCTACTTTACTTTATCAGTTCTTGAATTAGTTGCTTGTTTGGTTGGTTGTCCTATTTTATTGGTAGTAGTAAAGGAGATTTTCTTGGGGTTCGCTTCCGTGGTTTGTTGTGTTTATACCCTTTCCGCCACAACATAACTGAATGTGACATAATATGAAATTAGATAAAACATATTCTACTAGCTCTCACTATATCAATTAGATGTAGATCAATAATATGTTATTTAATTTCTTGCGAACATATGTGATTTAAACCATAGTTAACTTGATAAAAAGTTTACAAATATTTACAGTTACATTATATTTACATATTGACGGAGTCATGGAAGATTTTAACTAAAATATTTAACCAGTGTAATTGAAAAAATTGTTTCGGTTAAAATGGTCACCGAACTGAAAAATCGAAACTATTTTGGTCATTCGGTTTTGATCAACCGTTGTATTCGGTTCGGATTTCGGGCGATTAAATTTCTCATGGAAAAAAATAAAAATCCAATTTATCCGGATCGAAAACCTCAATCATTGAACCGTGCCCACCCCTAATGTAGTCATGTAGAGTGTGGACATTGAGAGAGTTGAACTCATTTGACCATGAGCCAATCTAACACTACTTTTTGTAGTCACCCCCGTTCGTGAGCAAGTATTAACCCCGTTACTCGACGTTTGGGCAAAGATGTCATTCACAAATCAAAATGATGGAATGTATGGACAAGGATATTGGTTCGTACACATATCAACCCGTCCCTTTCGGGCTGTAGAATTAAGATCATTAGTTTGTATTGGGCCAAACCAAAAACCAGCACAAACAGGCCGGGTTTATCGTAGTCGGCAGCGGAGATTCGCACAACATGGCTAAGTCTTAGCATGTGAATTGCCGATCAGAAACATGGTTTTTTGGGAACGTCCACAATCATATGTTGCTTTTTTACTGCTCGTTGTCTAAAAAAATTAATTTGTTTTAAATTTTGATATTTGTATTAAAAATCGCACTTTCCTTTGACTTAATATTGAGTTTTGAGATATTTATAAAAATTAGTATTCACTTTGCGTATAAAAAATAGTCTAAATCTTAAAACTCAATACGAATTAACTTTTTTTCTTTTAGAGACAAAGAGGAATCACACGTTGTAAAATTTGTAAATATAAAATAACTTGTCTCCATTTTATTTTTATTAGGACAAAACAAAAATATTTATTTTTAGCACCACTCCTAATAATTTTCAATAATATGGTACCTTTTTGAAATAAATTTATATTAATGGAAAAGGTCATACTTACTTACATATTATCAAACGTCATTGCAACTCTAGCTAATCTATTAGCATTTTTCACAGTAAACTTTTTTACTTTTGTCAAACTTACAATACATAAAATTACGCTTCAGTTCTAGAATATCCTCTCCTAAAATTTATATAGGTAGCTAAAATCCTGTCTGATCTGTTTTTTTAAAGCTTCATAGCCATATTGTTTGTTTGGAGTACACATATGGAAATCCCCAGACTTGCTAATATATGTAAAAGGCTATTTACCTTTGTAACATTCATAATAGTAGTTTTAAGCGCTTATATTTTTTATTTTATTCAAAAATTAATAGTACTAGAATGGAATTAGAATAGATAGTTGAATACTCTCCCTGTCCCAAAATATTGTCCAGTTTGAGATTTCACTTTTAGTGTAATTTGAACTAGAAATGAAAACTTAAACTGGATAATTATTATGGGAATTTTTTTTTTTTTTAAATTTAATTCGAGGCCTTCCCTTTGAAGGATATGCAGTGATATTGTGTGATACTTTAAATTTAACATCCATCCATTAAATATGCTGTTCTATTCGTCCTACTCCTACATAATTAGTCAAAAATTTGATAATTAAAATCGTAAAACTGAACTTATAAAATTCATATTATCGAAAAATTATGGTGAAATTGATATTTTTCTTGATTGAAATAATTCACCAGGGGGAAATTTTTCTCATTACACAACACCAAAATGTTTAAAAGATTAAAAAGTTAGTATTACAATACTCTCTTCATTTCCAAAATACACAAATAATTGTCTGTGATATTCTCCGAATTAAACTTTCAACCAAAAAAAAGGAAGTCCACAGAAAAAAACATCCAATCCCCACTGGACCGACCAAGGAAGAAAAGGGCAAAAAAAAAAAAATAATAATAATAAAATAAATAACACAAATTAAAAAAGATCTGGCGCCAGTCCACCAGGAACATTCCAGAACCCTAAAAACTCGGCCAACGTATAAACGCTCCCATTTCGCGCCTCACTATATATACCTAAACCAAACTTCCATCTCCTCCGCCCTAATTCATTTCTCATTCTTCTCATTCATTTTCCTCTCCCTTCTACTATTCTTTAATCGTCTGAAAGTAGTCTATAGCTTTCAGTAAACAATGGCCGGAAAAGGTGAAGGACCGGCGATCGGAATCGATCTCGGAACGACCTACTCTTGCGTCGGCGTCTGGCAGCATGACCGCGTGGAAATCATCGCCAATGACCAAGGAAACAGGACGACGCCGTCTTACGTCGGGTTCACCGACAGTGAGCGTCTCATCGGTGATGCGGCTAAGAACCAGGTCGCCATGAATCCGACCAACACCGTCTTCGGTAATGGATCTTACTTTCCGGATCTAGATCTCGTTTTTTTTTATAATTAATATTTGATTGCACACTCGTTTATTTCGTACCTTGATAGAGTTAGATCTGAGATTTTTAGCTGTGTTTTTGCCTATGATAGAGTATAGATCTGAGATTTCAGTTACTTTCCGGTGTTAATGAACTCATGATTTATATGTTTCCTGTTTTCTGGAATCTTTTCATGTCAATGAGCAACTGTTGTATGTTATATACAGTCGGTTATTTTGTAAAGTATTAGATCTTTCTCGCATGTGTATGTAAATGTTTCTCTAGATTCCGATCTCGAGAATTGTGTTCTGTCTGTAGTGATTCGTTACTACTATTACTTGCTTGGGAAATGGTTAATTGGGGACCATTTATTATTTTAAGGGTAGTTTAATGGGGACCATTTCATTTTTCATTTACTTTTTGAATTGTTGAATTGAGGTTTATACTTTACCACCATTTGTCTGTTTGATTTCTGTTAGTCGTAGACAATAGCTGATGTTATTGTTATCACAGTAAAATACTTGAAGTTGTTCTGAAGATCTAGTTATCCTAGCAGGACTATCTTAACGTGAATTACTAACTTTCTACTGGCAGTTTTTTTTTTTAATTTAGGAATGATTAATCTGGGAAACTAGTTTTCCTCTGATATTGTTTGTTAATTTTTACACTCCTAAATCTGTTCGTTAAGTTTACTTGTGCATTTAGAGTTTACATCTTGGTGTGGTTTCTTTTAGAGTTTACATCTTGGTATGGTTTCTTGAGGAAATTATTGCTAACGCTTGCTTTAATTCCTTATTTTCAGATGCTAAGCGTCTAATTGGTAGGAGATTCACTGATGCCTCTGTACAGAGTGACATCAAGTTGTGGCCCTTTAAGGTTATTTCTGGACCTGGGGAGAAGCCCATGATTGTTGTCAATTACAAGGGTGAGGAGAAACAGTTTGCTGCTGAGGAAATCTCATCCATGGTTCTCACCAAGATGAAGGAAATTGCTGAGGCATACCTTGGTTCAACTGTCAAAAATGCCGTTGTCACTGTCCCAGCTTACTTTAATGACTCACAGCGTCAGGCAACAAAGGATGCTGGTGTTATTTCTGGCCTCAATGTTTTGCGTATCATTAATGAGCCCACCGCAGCAGCTATTGCTTATGGGCTTGACAAGAAAGCAACAAGTGTTGGTGAGAAGAATGTGTTGATTTTTGATTTGGGTGGTGGTACCTTTGATGTTTCTCTTTTGACCATTGAAGAGGGTATTTTCGAGGTCAAGGCCACAGCTGGTGACACTCATTTGGGAGGTGAAGATTTTGATAACAGGATGGTGAACCACTTTGTGCAAGAGTTTAAGAGGAAGAACAAGAAGGATATTAGTGGAAACCCCAGAGCTTTGAGGCGTTTGAGAACTGCTTGTGAAAGGGCGAAGAGGACTCTGTCTTCAACTGCTCAGACCACAATTGAAATCGATTCTCTCTTTGAGGGTATTGACTTTTACTCCACCATCACCAGAGCCAGATTTGAGGAGTTGAATATGGATCTCTTCAGGAAGTGTATGGAACCAGTTGAGAAATGTTTGAGGGATGCAAAGATGGACAAGAGCACTGTCCATGATGTTGTGCTTGTTGGTGGATCAACCCGTATTCCCAAGGTGCAGCAGTTGTTGCAGGACTTCTTCAATGGAAAGGAGTTGTGCAAGAGCATCAACCCCGATGAGGCTGTTGCATACGGAGCTGCTGTACAGGCTGCCATTCTTAGTGGCGAGGGTAACGAGAAAGTTCAGGACTTGTTGTTGCTGGATGTCACCCCTCTCTCCCTTGGTTTGGAAACCGCCGGAGGTGTCATGACTGTTTTGATCCCAAGAAACACAACAATCCCGACCAAGAAAGAGCAAGTTTTCTCCACTTACTCCGACAACCAGCCTGGTGTGTTGATTCAGGTTTATGAAGGTGAAAGAACTAGAACCCGTGACAACAATTTGTTGGGCAAGTTTGAGTTGTCTGGTATTCCACCAGCTCCCAGGGGTGTGCCTCAGATCACTGTCTGCTTTGACATTGATGCCAATGGTATCTTGAATGTGTCAGCCGAAGACAAGACAACTGGGCAGAAGAACAAGATTACAATCACCAATGACAAGGGAAGGTTGTCAAAGGATGAGATTGAGAAGATGGTTCAGGAAGCTGAGAAATACAAGGCTGAGGATGAGGAACATAAGAAGAAGGTTGAAGCTAAGAATGCACTGGAAAACTATGCTTACAACATGAGGAATACTGTGAAGGATGAGAAGATTGGCTCAAAGCTCAGCCCAGCTGACAAGAAGAAGATTGAGGATGCCATTGATGCTGCCATCTCATGGCTCGACAGCAACCAGCTCGCTGAAGCCGATGAGTTTGAAGACAAGATGAAGGAGCTTGAGGGCATTTGCAACCCAATCATCGCCAAGATGTACCAAGGTGCCGGCGGTGATATGGATGGTGCTCCCATGGATGATGATGTTCCTCCTACCTCTGGAAGTGGAGCTGGCCCCAAGATTGAGGAAGTTGACTAAATTGATTGAAAATTTTCTTCTTTTAGTATTATTTTAATTTATCAGTAACCAATGGCTGCCATATATGTGGCATGAAAACATGATCATTTGCTGGTGTCCTTTTGGATTCTGGTAATCGAGATGCCAGCAATTTTTGAACCTTAGATCTTTATTATATTCTTGCTCTTTTGAATATGTGAGTCATTGTGCGTGATGGAATTCAGTAGCATTGAATTTATGAACCATTGCTTTTGAGTTTTGATATTGAATGAAAATTTCTAGGTAAAGAGAGGTGCAAAACGTGTTAGGTTATTCAGATACTGTTGAAGTCTTGTTTTGTGCAATGAATTTGAATTATCGATTTGCTATATAGTTGGTCATAAAATTAGCAACCTCGTTTTGAAAAAGCAAATTTTTTTCGATGATTTCGCTGAAAAAACAGTCCAATAATGCTATAACAAGAACAGTTTAGTATCCTGCCAAGAGAACAAACACACTAACCTGTGTAACCGGGGAAAAGAAAGGAAACTAGGGGAGTGAAGTTGAAGGGAAATACTTTTCCACACCTGTATATTTTGGTCAATCAATGTGCAATAGTCAGCAAACAAAAGAAAATATTTCTATACCTCTCCTAAAATTTTTTAATGAAAAATTTGCGCTAAGGCCGTCCATCTCAAACCAAATAGTATAAATAGCTTATGTTAATCTTTTGATTAGAAAACTAACAACAAAAAAAAAAACAATAAACTAACGGTACAAACTTACTACATTAATCTGAAGGAGCAAAACATAAGATCCAATTTTCTACATAAATCTATGAGAACAGTATGATCAGACGACCGTTCTCCCATTTTCAATGTACACATTGATAGAAATATTAATTTTAATGGTGAAATCCAATTACAATTGCCTTTTATGATTACACATTTAACATAATATGATTTAACCCAAATATTTTAGAAAAACTCTATTTGTCATCGGAAATTTTAATACTATCTTAGAAAAACTCTGATTATTTATGGTATGTAAAGCATTGATCACTAAATTTGTCCAGAAACATCAATTCAAACATACTTAAAGGTGATGAGGTGTGCTATAGAGCTTCTAATATGAACTCCACCTGAGTTTTTATTCCAGCGTTTATAATAAAGTGAAGGCTTAGAAAGAGTACAAAGAAACTGTTTATTACTCTAAGCCTCATTGTGACAAATCAGTTCATCTTCTCGGGGTCCATTTTCTTTTTACCTAGTCTGGAACACCCTTGTTCCACAACCTCGTTCAGCGATGGCTTTGCAGTGATAAAAATGAGGCATCTCAAAGCTTGACATAGCTGATCAATAGCTGAAATTTCACTCCATTGAAGGTGCAACTGTGACAGAGTTAACTTCTTTAGATTCCGAGCAAACTGAAAGGTGACAAAGACCGTAATTACCTGAGCAAAATTACAAATCAAAACACTCAATTATAGACTATTTTGCTGGAACAGAGAGGGCGTACACCTTTCGTGGAAATGTTTCAATGACCTCTTGAACGGATGAGATAATTAAAGTCAAAGAAGAGGATGATCACCCGATTCTTTTAACTCCACGTTTTAACTTTTAAGTTGCTATCCTTTTAATTGCATAGTACTCCTTCCGTCTCATAATTATTGTCCAGTTTGGATTTTCGTTTCTAGTTAAAATTGTACTAAACCTGAAATCTCAAACTAGACAATAATTTTGGGACAGAAGGAGTATCAAACAAGACCACGTTTGCAAATTTTTCCACAAAGGAAGACCCCAGCAATAGTATTATACGTCCCTCTTTGATTTCCAAATGATGATGTTAATTAGCTTCCTCCCAAGTGATGCTCATTAGCGAGTAGAGACTTTTTTTACTTTACAAAGGAAACCAGGCAGAAGGAGCTCATCAAGGCAACTCAAAAAAAGCTAACTTTCTCATTTATATATGTTCAGAGTTGAGTGTTAGGCTTCTTCCAAGATTTCTTCAACTTCAGTGATATTATGAATTGATGTTATTTTGCTGGTGCCTAGAAATTCATCTCTGTTATGCTACTTGTTTGATTGTGTTTCTGGTCTAATTAATTGATGGTCATTTTATAATCATATTTGTGATCTTCCTTTGGATAGTTACTATGTTAAATTTTAGACTCGTGAGTGATTTGATTCTGCCCATTTCCTTTGATTTTATAGTTAAACAAATGTTTCTGGGCTGATGATGAGTTTTCGTGATGATTTGTGAACTGGAAAATTAAGAAAGGAAATCGAAAAATTAATTGAATAAACAGAGCATTATTCACTGAGGCTTCATGTGTTTGGTGTTTCCCCAACTTTGTGTTAATCATATTGTTGGTTGTTACTTCTGTCGGGTGTATCCATATACTTGACTTGCGACAGTTATTTGAATCCTTGAGTAACAAATTTTGTTTTAATTTAACTTCATTCTGACTTAGAAGATTACTCAGTTTCGGCACGGATATGGCTGCCCCTGCTGTTCTTGGTGCTACTGTGCAAGTTCTCTTGGATAAGGCACTTTACTTTGCCACAGACGGTTGGCCTCTTCTATGGATTGAGCAAGGATTTTTAAAAGGCTGCGAGTATCCGTGGAGATGATCCAAGCAGTCCTGGATGATGCTGATCATAAGCAAAGCCAATGTCAACCCGTGAAGCTTTGGCTTCGGAGGCTGGAAGAACTTATGAGGCCGATGAACTGTTGGACGAGTTGAACTATGAAATGTTTCGTCGCAAGGTGAAATCTACCAACAGTTGTAGAAGAAAAGTGTGCTCTTTCTTCTTCAAGATCTGTTGGGATTATTGGACTCCCAACATATGTGGAAAAAGGCCCGATAGTGAAAATGTTTTGGCCCACTTTGACCACTTAAAGGGACAAGTCAGCATTTGGAAAAAAAAGAGAATCAGAGAGAAGAGAGTTTAACTGTAAAATACGGGCAGCAAAGGGGAAGAATTTTCAGTAAGGGGTTTACTGTAATTGGTTCTGATTTCTTGTCGATTGGAGGGGGAAACGGAATTGGATTGCTCTGAAAATTTTACTGGAGTTAGAAGGCTCATCACTATTCATCTCTGTAGAAGGGTTTTGGTTTTCAACTTCCAGATTGGAAGTTATAGATTTCTGAATATTGCTGCAGTTTTGGTTTATCTTTTGATCTTGTATTGATATTCTAGTGCCTTTTGTAGTTTGATTTAGATTGGTTAAGGACTAGATATCTTTGTTGTATTGTTGGAAGCCTTTGTACTCAACTCTCATTTGGTGATAGTGGATTTGATAGGCCTTTTGGTCGTGTGATTTTTACCTCTTCACATCGAAAGGAATTTTTCACGTAAATCCTTGTGTTCTTGTGTGGTTTTGCTTTGATTGTTGTTTCTTTGCTGTAATACTTCCATTTGGTTTTGGTGTATTATGCTCCTGGGATGTCTTTGCAAATCAGGGAGGTGTTTGGTTCTTCCGCTGTAATTTAGATAGTTGGATTTATGGATATAGCTAGCTTGCTGCTTCTATAACCATTCTGTTTGTGATTGAGCTAACTGGTTTTCAGGAGATAACTAGCTTGTTGGGCTATAAGCATGCTGTTGTGAAATAGCTAGTCGGAATATGGGATATAGCTAGCTGGTCTATTGCTATAATCATTCTGTCTGTTAGTTAGCTAGCTGCTTCCAATTTTAGCTAGCTGGTTTCTCTGATATAGCTAGCCGGTTTCACTTTGAGCTAGCTGGTTTGCCGAAAAGAGCTAGCTAGTTTCAGCTAGTAAGGTGTGTCCTCCCCAACAAGATCGTCATAGTATCTCTTTTCGTTGGAGGATGGCACCTAAGGTCAGGGGCATCATTGTTAAGTTGGAAGAAATCAATCAACAAGCCAGCGGGTTTGGACTGCAACAGAGAATGATAGACTCGCGGCTTTCTGCTTCTTCGGCTGGAAGCTCAATGAATCGAGAGACCAACTCTGTTGTTGCTCCAAATGTTGTAGGACGAAATGGCGATTTATCTAGAATGCTAGAGATGTTATTGAGTTCTACTGAAAAGGTTGTTTCTGTTCTCCCCATCATTGGTATGGGGGTTTTGGGGAAAACAACCTTAGCCAGATTGGTCTTCAACTATGAGCAAATAAAAGGCCACTTCAATGAAAGAATCTGGGTTTGTGTGTCGGACCAGAAATTCCAAGGCAGAAGACTTTTCAAGATGATACTTGAACAGCTAGAGGAATGTGTTCAACCTGATACAAGTGAAGAACCTATAGTCCAAAAAACTCAAAAGCAACTCAAGGGAAGAAGGTATCTGCTAGTTCTAGACGATGTATGGAATGAAGATCCGATGTTATGTGATAGTTTTTACGAGTGTTTGGTGGGACTCAGCACAACCAGTGAAAGAAATTGGTGTCTTGTTACTAGTCGTAGGGTAAGTACCGCAACCATTATGGGTACACATGATTATTATCGGTTAGGGAAACTGTCAGACGTGGATTGTTGGTCGATCTTGATTGAAAAGGTAGCTGCAAATGGCGAAGTATTAGGGGAGTTGATTGCACTGAAGAAGAAACTCGTATTACGATGCGCTGGTTTACCACTAGCAGCAAAAGTACTTGGTAGTTTACTGCATATGTAGAGAGCAATTGGTTGGCCGTCAATTCTGAAGAGAAAGCTCACACAGGTTACTGAAGATCATGAAAACAATATTATGCAGATATTGAAGTTGAGTTTTGATAGTTTGCCATCTCCGTCCATCAAGAAATGTTTTGCATATTTATCAGTCTTCAAAGAGGACACTGAGATGGATGGAAATGATCTAATCGATGGCAGAGGGGTTTCTTCAACCTGGTCATAGAAGTGAGACAACCATGGAAATATTGGGCCATAAGTATCTTAGGATTTTATTACAAAGTTCCTTGTTTGAGGCAGTAGAATATGGAAACTGCATTCTCTATAAGTTGCATGATCTCATGCACGATCTTGCAAAATTTGTGTCCAACAATGAAGCTATTGTGTTTAAGGATGGTGTGATGGACAACGAATATCAAATCCGGCACCTTGCATTGGACTCATTAGAAAATATATCAGAAGAGCACTTAGTGAATTTATCGACATCAGTCAGCACATTGTTTCTAAACAGTGTGAGTGGTTTATCTGACAATATTTTGTCAAAGTTTAGAAAGCTGCATGTGTTGAAATTGCAAGGAGGATGAGTTGTGGATCTGCCAAACTCTATAGGTAATCTAAAGCATATGAGATTCCTTGATCTCAAAGTACCTAAGATGATAATCTTTCCGGAGTCTATCTTCAAGCTTTATATTTTCAAACATTAAGGATAATTTATGATACATCATTGCAGGTTCTTCCTGAACGGATGAGCAGTATGATCAATCTGAGACATCTTGACTATTTCGATGAGAATCCAGAATTTTGAATGCCTGCAAAGTCGGGAAGATTGACTTGTTTGAAAATGCTACTTTTCTTCAACATAGGAGATGACAAGGGCCGCAGAATTGAAGAACTTGGTTGTTTGCAAGATCTTCAAGGTAGACTTTCCATTCGCAATCTCCAACTGGTAAATGGTGAAGAGGGAGCTGTACAGGCAAAGTTATCTAGTAAGCAAAATTTGATAGAGTTGGAATTTCTGTGGGCCAGCAAGGAGGATCGTGAAGGCATTCACAATTTCGATGAAGATGTGTTAGCAGGTCTTGAACCTCATTCAAATTTGCGACAACTAACAATTACAAATTGTATGGGAGAACACTTTCCTGGATGGTTTGAGAATTTATCAATGTTAGTCAAATTAAAGTTGGAAAATTGTCACAATTGTGTTGAACTTCCAATGCTTGGACACCTTCCATGTCTCGAAGATCTGACATTTATGGCATTGGATAGGATAAGTTGCATTGGGGCTTCGTTCTATGGCCTTAATGATGGAACAGGCGAATCCACAAGGTGTTGGTTAAATTTTTTATTTACTGCAAAGAGTTTTAGTTCAGAAGAATAAATTTTTTAGTTAGGATTGAATTTTATCTAGATTAATTTGATTGAGTTTATTTTGGAGATTTTTTAGAATTTGAACGTAGAGCTTTAGAGATATTTTAGGGATTTGAGAGTGTTTTTCTCTTTTAGCTATTGTAAGAGTTGTCTATATATTAGATTTTCATAAAATAAAAAGCAACCCTCTTTCTGATAAAAAATTTACGTTCCAAAAAATCTCTGCTCTTTTTCTACTCTTTCCCCAGAAAGTGGTATCAAGAGCTTAGGTTCAATTAGGGGGGCCTGTGTGAGTGAATCAGTGAGGACCTTTCAACATAAACAATTTTTTTTTAGCCAATCTTCTTTTATTAATGGAAGGAGGGAATAATTTCATGTCTACTCCTCCAGTTTTTAAAGGAGAAAATTATCATGTTTGGGTTGTCAAAATGGAAGCCTATCTAGAAGCAAGTGGATTATAGGAGTTGATGGAAAATAATAAATTCCAACCACTTCTTGAAGATCCAACAATTGCACAACTAAAAGAATTTAGGGAGGCTAAAAAGAGGAGGATCAAGGCCAAGACTTGTATTCACTCTGCTGTATCAGAAGAGGTGTTCACAAAAATCATGGCCTGCGAGATTGTGATACAGGCATGGGATATCTTGAAACAAGAATATCAGGGCAACGTGAAGACAAAGAGAATGCAGATCTTGAATTTAAAAAGGGAATTCGAGATGCAGAAGATGTCGGAGACAGAGTCATTGAAAGACTACACAGATCGCTTGATGAAGGTAGTCAATAAAATCAGACTTTTGGGAGAACAACTTCCTGATAGCCGGATTGTTGAAAAAATATTGGTGACTTTACCAGAAAGATTTGAGTCCAAGATTTCATCCCTTGAAGAAATTAGAGATTTATCAGAAATATCTCTAGCAGACTACTCTCAACCTTTGAAGCTCAAGAGCAAAGAAGAGTTTTCAGAAAGGAAAAAGTAGGTAATGTCATTGAGGAAATTTATAAAGTGGACCAAATTGGTAAAGGTAAAAGGTGGACCGAGAAGGCAGTTGGAGACAGTGACAGCAAAGGAAAATATCCTCCTTGTAAACACTGTAAAAAACCTTCTCATTTACCATAATACTATTGGTTTAGACCTGATGTTCAATGCAGGGGTTGCAAACAAATGGGACATATGGAAAAGGTGTGTATGAACAAGCAATAAATTAATCTTGTGAGTGAAGAAGATGAAGATGAATATAAAAACTTGGTTTGAAGATGTAAAAATTTGTAGTAAAAAAAGGAAGAAATTTGTTGGTTAAATTTTTTATTTACTGTAAAAAGTTTTAGTTAAGAAGAATAAATTTTTTAGTTAGGATTGAATTTATCTAGATTAATGTGGTTGAGTTTGTTTAGGAGATTTTTTAGAATTTGAACGTAGAGTTTTAGAGATATTTTAGGGATTTAAGAGTGTTTTTTTCTTTTGATTATTGTAAGAGTTTTCTATATATTAGACTTCTCATATAAAAAACAACCCACTTTCTGATAAAAATTTACGTTTAAAAAAATCTCTACTCCTTTTCATCTCTTTCCCAACACAAGTTACTATACCCAAGAAAACTGTTTCCAGCCCTTCAAAATCTCAGGTTTTATTATATGCCAAATTTGGCTGAATGGGAGGAAGCCAAAGTAGGAGCAGTAGAAGGAGTTGTTGTGTTTCCGGTGCTCGAGAATTTGACCATTGTGGGTTGTCCTCAACTGATCACCACGCCCACTCACTTTCCAAGTCTCAAGAATTTGTCCATCTTCAATAACAGGAATCCCGTGATTGCCAAAGACATCCTTAGCAATGTTAAGGGCGCGTTTACGCTCAAAATAGACAAAATGGATGGTCTGACCTGTGTTTCTGATGTTTTTGGTTCATGTGACGAGAACAAGAGTAAAGATCTCACAAGTTTAATTTTAGGCCATTGTTCCAATTTGGCGCGTATACAGAATAGTGGCACTTCTCTTCAGGAACTGCGGTTGTATAAATGTGACAGCTTGGTGGAGTTAAATCTATGGCCATTGCAGTTTCTGCGATATTTTGAGCTAAACCATTGCTCGAGAGTAAACAGTCCTCCTCACTCTCCTTCTACCGTAACAGAAAAGCATCACCACTTCAAGTCTCTTCTGCAAATTAAAATCAGTAATTGCCAAGGGTTGACCAGCATAACAGGGGAAATAATGGAGGGGTGTTCATCTCTCCAGTCTCTGGAAGTGCATGACTGCCCGAATCTGATATCGTTTCCGTTGGATTTTCGACACACTCCTTGTCTGTCAGATTTCTGGTTACATGGTTGTCCCAAATTGTTGGATCATAACAGAAATATGCCAAGAGGATTCACTCACCTCTCCAGATTGCATGACCTGAGGATTGGACCCTTTGCAGATGATGCTTCAGTGGAAATGTTTGATTGGTCAGGTTTGATATCATCTCCCTCATCCATACGTAGGACTCTGTGGCTAATTGGGTTGCCTGATTTGGAGTCTCCGCTTCATCGGATCCAACTCCTGACATCCTTGTCAAAGTTAACTCTCTCCGAGTTTGGAGCACTACAAGCTTTACCAGATTGGTTAGGGAGCCTTGTGTCTCTCGAAGAACTCGAATTATGGAGTTGTCCGAAGCTGGAGCGTCTGCCCTCCAAAGGTGCCATGAGCCGGCTTAACAAATTAAAAGACATTGGCATTTATGGATGTCCTCTGCCGAGGGAAAGTATCAGTGAAGAGAGAAGCCCAGGCTGTGAGTGGTCCAAGATATCTCATGTCCCTCGAATTTTGATTGACGGAAGAAGATATTTCACATCGTAGTTTTTCTTCTGAACTGCCTCAATTCCAATGCGATCGAGGTGAACATCCATGCAAGATTTCTTTTTTTCTGTTTTTAGATTTTTGAATAACGCATTTCCTGAGTATCTTACTCCTTTCTCCCAAAATGATTGGTCTTTTTCCTCAAGCATCACGCCTCTAACGTGTATCAATAGATCTTCCATATGTCTACACTCCAGTCCTTGAAACGCGACAAAATGGATCAAATTCCTCAAGAATTTCATACTTCCTTTCACATCTTCTGTAGCATAGAACTAGGGAGTCAAGAAGAAGAAGGTACTCAATGATATCTAGGAGTTCCTCCATTTCCATCTGAGAAGAAATACAGGCAGTTTGCAGTGAAACATTTGAGATAATCTGGTGCATTTCCTCCATTTCTCCAAAAATTTCCTTTTTCTTTTGGATAAAGAAATTACAAACCCACGAGTAGATATTCTTCTTCCTATTATTAGATGTCAATGGATCACTAACAGCCTCTAAGAATGGGAGACAAATAATCTGAATTTCCAAGGAATGCTTGTGAATGTTCTGCTCCAAAGTGGACAATGCAGATTCAGAATGAATTCCTTTACCCAACAACTTCCTTCCACACACATCGAACGTCCTCATCAATCTACGCATCCTTCACTTTCTCACATAAACATGTAATCCATGATCTCCGATGAAGAAATTTGCGTCTAATTGACTCAAGATCGTCTAATGCATCTTGAATAAAATTATCAATGGCAAGATCTCTCCGCAACTGTGAAAATGGAAGAAATCAGCATTATTTACTACTAACATGTAGTAGTAACTGTACTAAAATATGAAACTGATGATGAATATCGATCATTTGATTAATGTTTCCTAATGTTGACAAATGCTTAACATATTCTCATTATACCACAATCAAGAAAAGGTTCCATGCGTAAGCTAGAAAGCAACATCTTACTCTCAGTGGACATTGTATCTGACTTAATGGAGGCAAACAAGCGAGAAATCTTTAACAACCATTGATTGATCGATGGCCTAACCTACCTCTTTCATGTATCAGTATTAAATAACTTTCCTGCAGTAATTAATTAATTATTAGGCCTCATCTGATCTCATATACAGTACTATACTTGCTATATATGCTTGGTTGTATCAATATGATTATACTAACAAATAACAAAATCCTTTATATTGCTGGACTCTATCTCGTCGACGGATACATTAGTCGAAAGGCTCATGCCCCGAACAAATGAATTTGTCCATTGATTTTACACTTATGATTCCTGAATCCTGATGATAACATATATGCCAGAGATGTCCAATAAAATTAATCCAGTTTTTGACTTGTGACAAGGTTCCTCCTATTTCAAAGTTGAATTAGGTAAACTGGGTGAAAATAACATCTGAATTTCACAACAGAGGCTCTTAAAAGGGCGTTCTTCGAGTTAGATTTTCAGAATTTCAATGATGCTGCTAAACTCCAACAATTACACTTAAACAACATTCTCAAATTAGATTGCTTCCTGTTTTGGTAAGCCAAATTATCTCATTCTTCTTAGAGCGTTCTTCAACCCTGCAATCACTGAATTTTCTGTGCTAAATCTGAAGGTAAAAACAACATTCTCTGAGTGCTAAATTGATTGACTAACTTATGCAACACTTTAGTCATTGTGTTCACTGGAATTGAAATACGAAGAAAGAAATCTAAACATAATAAACAAATAGTTGATGGTAGGTTTCGTTCTTCACAAATTATGAAAAGTGCAAAGATAAACTTTGATACTATCCCTATCCTATAAAATACTCCCCCCGTCCCACAAAAATAGTGCACATTAAATTTTGAGTTTTGTACTGTCTTTAATACAAATTTGAAAACTCGATGTGAACTATTTTTTTAAGACAGAATAATTCACATTAAGTTACAAATTTTAAAACCCCACGCGAATTATTGGAAAATGATACTCTTAGTTAATGAAAATAGTGACAAAATATAATGGCTGATATGAAGTAATCATGGCCTCTAGTTTTTTGCTACTTTTCCGTTGAAGTTTTATTTTTCTCCAAAAATTACATTTTTACCCTTGATTAATAAATAGACATGTTTAAACAAATAGATGGTGTATTTTATCTTTTCATTTGTCACTCTATATTTTCAGTGTACTTAATCACGGGATGTATCATTGCGGTGAATTATTTTTTTAACAGAAAGTACATCATACACACCATACATGGAAACTACAACGGAAGCACAAAGAAATCCAAAATACTTGGGTCCATATACATGATATCATTAGGCGTCCTGACAAGTACAGTCCGGATTGCTGACAAATGTAATTCTCTTCCAGGCTCCAGCTTCGGGCAGTTATCAAGCTAGCCACTGAAAATCATTGCAGAAGGCAGACTCACCATCAAAAAATAACAATGCAAACGTTTTTCTTTTTCTCCTGGAAAACCCCACTAAAAAGGAAATTTATATCCCTTCTAATAAAGATCCATTATTCTTTTTTATTCCCATGAGTTTATTGTATTGAAATTTAGTTTGAGAAGCATTTACTGATCTTTAGATCAAGGACTAACGTCTAGACGAGTTATTGATTTTTTATATTATTATTTTTTTTCCTAATCTCTTTCCTTTTCCATTTTGTTGATGGGGCTTTTTCCCAAAAAAAATTAAATAAAATAAACGTGGACAAAATTAAATTTTTCAGAAAATCTGTGGACAGAAATATATCGCTCGGATTTCTGAAATCCGAGTGTTGAATAATATTAGAGATTCGGATTTTGTAAATCCGAATCCATACTTAATAATAAAATAATAATTTCATAAATTTTGTTGAATAATAGTTTTTTTGTTCTTTAGTGAATAGTAAAGCTCGGATTTGTAGAATCCGAGTTTATTTAAAAATTAATAAATCGCGGCGCAAAATTTTTGAACCCAAAAAACCGGAAGTCCGTAATCCGGTTTGACGAATTCGGATTTTAGAAATCCGGATGCCTTTAATTTTGGTTGGTGGAAGAAGGCATGTGCCTTAAATTGGAGGACCAACAAATTAATAAAATAATCCTGAATTGACTAAACTCGGATTTATGAAATCCGAATCTAACACAGTTCGGATTTCGAAAATCCGAGTTACTTACGGACTCGGATTTCGTAAATCCGAGTTTAACGTGCTATAAAAGAAAAAAAATTTCAGGCAGTTCTCATTCGAGAACTGAGTTGGATTTTCTGTTTTTGCAGCTCAAACAAGGGCGAATTGAAGTTTTTGATGCATTCTTGCCTCTAGATACGTGGAAATCGTTATTTGAAAGAGGTTAGATTGCAAAACCATGTTATTTAGTTTATTTTTGTGTTATTTTGATTGTTAGAATGATGTATGATAGATTAGGGTTTATGTTGGTTGGTTGTTTGGATGTTTTAGGTGTTGATTTTGAGGTTAGAGATGAGAAATCATAGTTGTTCATGAGATATCGAAGTTGATTTATAAGTATTTTAGTATGGTGTATTTGTTGGAGTATGTATGGTGTATGGTGTATGGTGTATTTTAGAGAATGTATGGTGTATTTTGTTGATTTTGTTATTAAGAAATGATTAGTTATTGATGTTTTTTTAACAGCTTATCAATGGCACGTAATGTATCATACATGCTTAATTTGTATCATACAAGTAAGTATGTGATAGAGAACGGTAGCATCAACACTTTTTCGAATATGCCGGATGATGGTTTGTTTGTCGAAGAAAGGTTGTCATATGAGGGATTGATTAGTAAGATTTGTATGACCCTTGGTTGGGATGCAGCACACGTGAAACTCCACCTTTCTTTGATTTTCGATAGTCCCGGTGGTAGGCGTGTAGTGAAGATCAAGAATGATTCGCATGTAGAGTTCATGAACCGTGTAGATCCAATGTCATGTTTGGATTTATACATAGATTTGGAAGATATCACTCAAGAAGAAAGAGAAGCGAGTTTGGAAAACGTGTCATTTGGTGATTTTCGAAGGGGGGAACGTGCTAGTACTTCTCGAAACCGTGATGAAGAGGAGACACCTTTATTTGCACAAAATGACTACCGGGAAGAGTTGGATTCCGACTACATAGCTCCAAGTGAAAGCGAAGAAGACTATGATGTCTCCGGAGAGAGTGATTTTGAAGAAAGTGATGATGAAAGGTTGGAAAATGAGGAAAGGGATTGTAATCTATTCGCCCGACGCCATGTATATAGTAAGATGGGGAACTGGGATGCCTCATGTGTAGACAAGGATGAGTTTGCTCTTAAGATGTGAGATGAGACGCCCGAAGGAATGGACATTGGTGTTTGTTTCAAATCTCAATCGAAGCAAAGCATCTTTGTGAAATTATGGAATATCCATCATAAAAGGGAATATACGGTCGCCGCGAGTAGTCCAAGGACGTGGGGCGTGCGGTGCGGAACATTTAATGTGGAAAGTGAGGATGGTGAACCACCATGTGAGTGGAAGATGCGTGTGTCATTGAAAGCTCACGGCCTTCATGAAATTGTGAGATGGCATGATGCACATAATTGCATGACTCCGTGAATGATAATGACAATCGGTGTGTCGACGCGTCTTTGATTGCTAGACTCATCAGGAGAAAGGTTGAGGACAACGTAGATTATACGGTAGCCTCGGCACAGAAAGATGTGAAGACCTTATTGAAAGTAGATGTGCCATACAAAAGGGCGTGGCACGGGAGGAGGAAAGCCATAGAAGCGGTTTATGGTGATTGGACCTCCAATTTCGAAGAACTTCCACGGTAAATATCAACTTTTATCCGTGTATTGAAATATTTATAGTATTTTTATTTTTACATGTATTGAAATATTTTAACAATGACTTGTTGTTGTTTAGGTATATCGCTGCACTTAAGTTTACTAATCCTGAGACTGTAGTAGAGTGGGAATGGAAGGAGGGACAAGAAGGTTGGAACAGGGGAAACCGGACATTTAAATACGTCTTCTGGTCATTTGCACCGGTGGTGAGACGTTTTTGAATGTCCACCGGTCATTTGTATCGATGGAACCTTTTGCGTGGTGGATACAAGGGTAAATTGCTTGTTGCGGTGGTGTATACCGCAAACAAGCACATTTTACCGTTGCATTTGCGATTGTTGATGAGGAGACAGAGAGAGTTGGACATTTTTATGAGGAATTTGAGGTTGTGGGTTGTGTATGATAGAATCGTAAGTGTGATATCCGACTGGAATGCGGGGTTGTTGAGCGCAATGTCACGATGGATGAATGGCGTGATTTAGGTGATGGTGGGCACTTTCTTTGCCTCCGCCACGTTCGCAGCAATCTTGTGTCGCGATATAATAGCAAAAAGGTGAAGCGGTTATGTTGGAAGATGGGCACGACACTTTCAAGAGTGAAATACAACCGTATGAGGCAGAGCTTATTGAATTCAAACCCGCTGCATGGGAGTATCTTCGAGGGATTGGGGAGTAATCGGGCTCGATTGAAAGCCGGTCTTCGCCGTTGGGGCATAGCGACAACCAACATTTCGAGAGTTACAACAATGCGTTGAAAGGGATCCGTTTTTACCAATTAGAGCCTTGATCGATGCAACCTTTCGCAAAACTGTTAAATTCTATAGAGAAGAACAATTGTGCGAGAAATTGCATGACACCGATCCCTCCCGAGTTATGGAAAAATACGAGAAAATGAATGATAAAGCAGCCAGTTTGAAGCCACCCCTTTCGATGGTGATGATGCTATGTGGCGTGTTGTTACCGCCACACGCCTAAGTGGCGGGGTGGGTCTCGCATACGGTGAACTACGATGAACATAGGTGTTCGTGCGGGAAGTGGCAAGAGTACCGGATGCCTTGTACGCATGCACTCCAAGTTTGTCGGAGAAAAGGGGATCGGCCTATTGATCTATACCATAGTGTGTGGCGCCTTCCAACGTGGCGCAGACAATTTCATTACACGGGCTTTGTTCCGGTTCCCGATGAGGAACAATGGCCGATGGTCAATTGGAACATCATTCCGAATTATGAGCGTCTTGTGTTGCATGCGGGACCGGACGAAGACAAAAAGGAGACATAGAATGCAAATGGATTACAGGGGACGCCGGAGCCGGGGGGAATGTTGGAGATGTGGACAACTAGGTCATGATGCCAATTCATGTCCGTTCTCGCACCCAGGAGTAGATAGAAGACCTGTGAATGACAGCTGGAATTGAGTGTAATTTACTGTTCTGGCAAAATGTATATGGTTTGGTAGTCTTGTTTATTTGGCCAAATGTATATGGTTTGGTAGTCTTGTTTATTTGGCCGAATGTTTATGGTTTGGTTGATTTGTTTTTTTTTTGGTTACCTTGTGTAGGATTGAAATGGCGACGCCGGCATCGGGCTCCCAATATGACTATCAACCTAAACATCTTCACCCGGGACCTATACAAGATAAAATACTATATCGTCAAACAAAGAATAGGTCCCAAGCTGTCTATGAGAACAAGATACCGGACATTAAGACATTCCGCCTCAAGGGCCGTAGGTACGACAGCGATTTTTGGGCGTTATATAAAAATACGGCCCCGGAGGTTAAGGAAGTCATTAGGAGAGCCGGTTTTGAGGGGATCATGAAGGTAGGGTACAAAAGAGTTGATCTAGGCCTCATTACCGCGTTGGTGGAACGGTGGAGGCCAGAAACCCACACTTTCCATTTTAATTTCGAGAGGCGACGGTGACGTTACGGGACGTCGAGGTCCCGTTTGGTATTCGGTGGATGGTGACCGGTGTAGGGCACGGCAGTTAGCCGGACTGCAGATGAATGGAGGGATCGATGTGAGGCTTATTTGGGATTCCGGCCGCGATTGTAAATGGCCAATGTGTCAATGTTGGTATTTTCAAGATGAGATGGGCCGTGCACTACCTTCAAATTCCACTGTCCATCGATTCGAGCAAAGGGCCGGACACTTATACCGTATTTTATTAGCAGTTTCATGTTTCCGAACAAGACGCGAACACCGTCAATCTACGCTTCTTGGCCCAGTTGAGGATTTGGATCGGTGTAGTCGATACGATTGGGGATCGGCACTGCCTGGCCGGGTTGTACTGCCTATGCGAGGCATCACAAGATACCATGCACGACGCCACCGGGTGTCTATATTTGCTACAGTACGTATTAGTTTTCATATTGTGCTTTAATTATTTTGCGCTTTCGACGTTATAATTTGAAGTTTCTACATTATTATTGCAATTTACTAGGTATGGGCGTATGAGCGGATCGAGAGGATCGCGCCCAAAGAAAAGGAGTAGATTATTTGCTTGATGAGACCGCTCCATAAGCTCGGTACGTATTTTCAGTTCAAAATAACTCAACGTTTAATTCTATTTGTTTCTTATTCATTTATTTCACTAATTCAAATGTACCCCTTTGTTTATTAAGGTGGGAATGTAGGTACACGTACGGCGACGCCCCAAGGAGCAAGACTCCACCGTTTAGAGATCAATTAACAAGTCTGCGTGTTGAAGATGTAAGTACTTGTAATTTGGTATTTATATTTACTTTGAGATCAATTACCCCTTTCTTTTGGTTTCGGTTGTACCATCTAATGAAATTTTTTCGTGCGTTTCGGTGGCAACCATATGCACATGTCCTCCATAGACTCCCTGATTTCTGTACACAAGGCCAAGCCATTTGGACGACTAGGTGTTGGATGTTCTGTTGGGCTATTAGGGAACCCCACGAGTCGGGCAGAGTCGTAAGACAATTTGGATACATACAAGATGTTCCCAAGCGCCCCATGATTAAAGATAACGCAGCATTTCTTCTCGATCACGCCCACAGTATGTCTGGGTATCCTAGCAATAATTGGGAGGATCACCATTCCGCAGTACGCCGTCATTGGAATAGGAGAGAAGAGTTCGTGCTACGAGATTTGGAGGAAGGAGATCCTGGTTCCGTATATGAGGGGTACTATGAATGGTTTATGGTGAACACTGTCAGATTGATATCCAATCCCGGTAATTATGAACCTCAAGGATACGAGACTTCTTCGAGCCGCGTGAAATTATATGTGAGTTAATTGTAGATTTCTTTTATTATTTCTTATGTTTCCATTTTTTTGTATTTTTTTTTAGAACTTTACTCTCTTAATTAACGTCCCAATTTCTTTTCAGGGTGAAGTATTGAACAACATTCGCGTGAGTACCGAGAGGTTTAGAGAAAAACGAGAAGATGATAATCTCCTAGACGAAGAACTTGACAAGCATTTGGACGATATCATCAATCAAACACATGCTGCTTTAACCTTGGGCGCAAATGATGAGATGGAGGTGGATGATACCCAAATCCTGGTTGATGAAGATCCATTTTTTCCCTCACAACCTCCGCCGGGTAAAAAAGCGAAACCGTGGTCAAGAGATAAGATTGGAGGAGGAAGAAAGAGAAAGGTCACAATCCCCTCGGACATCGCAACAAAGAACCGAGGGTCAACAAAATGAGGATCAAGCACATTCCTCTCGAGGCTCGCGCATCCAGTCGAGACTCATTTTGAAGAAGTTGGTGGACCCGAGACTCGGTTTGACATTGGTGGACCCGAGACTCGGTTTGACATTGGTGGACCCGAGACTCGCTTTGGTGGGACGACCGCAACCACAACCGGAATCAAATTTATCACCATGGGGAGTCCCAATCTCAACCCCAAATCGAGTCTCGGTTTGGTGGACAATCGCAACCACACCAAAGTTCAATACTCACATATCTTAAGAGGAGACAGGATCCGACAGGGCCCAAACAAATACACTCCGGATGCGCACAATAAAGGAAAAGGGAAAAAATGAGACATTTCATTATTTTGGACATTTATTGTAGTTTTTGTATTGAACTTTTTATGAAACTTGATTTATTTTGTTGTTAATTGAATGCCGTTTATTGTTTTGTTGTTATTAAATTCCTATTTTCCAATGTTTCATTGTTGTTGGTCAGAACATGTTTAGGACTGGTGAAAATCAGCCCAATTTTTTTCAGTTCTGACAAAGACTCGGATTTGCGAAATCCGAACCCAGACTTTTTCTAAAGGATTCGGATTTCGGAAATCCGAGTCCGTGGCCAACTGGGAGTCACCATTTTTCAGAAAACAGAGCAGATTCGGATTTCGGTAATCCGAGTTCTGCCCGAATTTAATTTTTCAACACATTTTTTTTATAGTATCCGGAAATTAATATTTTATTCATAAAATCGGATTTATAAAATCCGAATTTAGATTAATTACACTAATTTTTGTCATTAACTTAATTTCAGATTTACGTAATACAAAGTCGGATTTTAATAATCCGAGTTTAGTTGGGTTCGGATTTCCTAAATCCGAGTTTTTCCCCTATTCGGATTTCCTAAATCCGAGGCATATAAATTTGTCCACAAAGTTTTAAAGAGCTTTACTTTTGTCTAGGTTTGTTTTTTTACATATATTTAAGGAAAAAATTCTTTGTTGATGAAATCTCCACAGGGACTAACAAGATAAAATCATAAAAATGTCCGGGCCGGAATTCAAACCAGAAAGATTGTTTGATGGGGATGATGAAAATGGTAGGTTATATGATTATGAACAAACCACATCAATCAGGTTTCAGGTTTGTAAAGCAAGCTCAAACAACATAAATCTAGAATGAAAATGAAAAAGCAGAAAAATCCCAAGAGGTCTGTACTTTACTCGGTCTGCATACATATGCCAAGCAGGTCTGCTTCAAATCCAACAAGCTTGAGCCCGAAAGAACAATGGCACAGCAAAGAACAGACTGGTAATAACCTATAGAGATCACATAGCCGATCAAATGAGTCAAACCTAAAATTAAAAAGCTTTCCACGGCACAGTTGACACCAATGAAAAGCTCACAAAAATCAACCTTTACAGGTAACAAAGCCTTACATGACTAACATATTAAAAACACAAACTCTGCAGAAGCACAATCGTATATAGCGCAGCCTCCTTACTCCTTGATCCATTGGGTCTCGACCGGTCTTCTCTCTATCAAACATGATAGGGTCTCACGAGATCATTCTGCAAAAACAACAAGATCATTGAAGCACAGCTCCAGGAAGAAAAATAAAAGGAAAAAAGAAGAGTAATCATGATGTCTCTGCAGACAAAACTCCAACGTTTGAAATTAATAGTCTTTTTGCACTGAAGGTCAAAAACACATTGGTAAAGTATTTTACACCAACTAGTTGGAGCCATAAGCAAACATCAACAAGTAAACACAACCTAAAGTCTTTTCCTGCCGACAATCTAATCCCAAATAGTTAACTTCCAAAACTCACATCTTCCTACTTCATAAGACCATTGAATTTATTTGCTAATTCAAACTAAAGATGTTCAAATACCAGTTTAAAGTATTATATCTAATTAGTTAGTGCCGTTGAAGTTTTGTAACATGATGGGGATAAATTTTCTTTTAAGAAACAGTGGAAAGACGAGGGAGGTTGCTCTTACAAAGTTAATTCAATTAAGAACACAAAAGCTGCATTTCGGCTGAATGAAAGTGCACAGTTTTTATCTATGGAAAAAGGAAAAGAAATCAGTAATAAAATTGAACTTACCGATAAGTATCTTCAGATCCTCATTTCCAAACTCTGTCTTCATTTCTTGAATTTGGTTTATTGAATCAGCGGCGGTGTCGCATCCACACACCTCAATCATCTGAAGAGTTGAACTTTCGGCTAAACAGACAGGTAATTCCTCCAACAACTCACAATAATTCAACACTAGGATCTCAAGAAAGGGAAAACTGTCCTCTGAATCAATTGTCCAGCTAACTAAATCCAGGCCTTCCAATTTGAGAAATCTGAGCTTGGGAAATGTGACTTCTTCAACCGACCATGTTTCCCCAGTAAATGAACCATCCAATAACTTGAGAACCTCGAGATTTGGTAGTTTATCTATTACTGAAATTTCACTCCATGGAAGATTAAGCTGTGATAGAGTTAGCTTTTTTAAACTCTGCGGCAGCTGAAACTGATCAACACATTTATCACCCCATTGGGTGATGTGGAGTGATTCAAGTTGACTTAAAAAATCCAATGCAAAAATCTTCAAGGCCCCATCTTGCTCCTCAACCAAGGAGAGACCGCATTTAAGTCGACGAATGTTCGGAAGCTTTCTAATTACTTCCTTCCATGTCTGGTCATGAGAATATGATACACAAGAAAGGGTCTGTAAATTCTCTAAACTTGAAAGATGTTCAGAATTCCCTGTAGGCAATTTCCACAGCAAACATGATGCTTTCATATGCCTTAACTTTTTCATGTTCCATAGAGTATCTGGTAGCAGGACTTCAAAACCTTTTAGAACAATAAAAGTCTCCAAATTTGAGAGACAGGCAATTGATGATGGGATCTTAAGTATTTCACCTACACTGGTCAGGGTCAAATACCTCAAGTGAACAAGTAGTTGAATTGCGCTTGGAAAGAAACTGAATTCAAAGATTCCGTTCAAACCCAAAACTCTTAAAAGTTTGGACTGGCAAAAATTGTACAGGATATCATACCATTTTGATGCATGACTCATTCCACAATTATCGTTGAACAAGAGAGTCCGTAAATAAGGAAAAAGTAGCCTTGACTCTGCAAAATCCACTATACTTTCATGGTTAACATGCAAACGGTATAACATGCTCGGCTGACTGTAAATCCCAAGCTCATGTCCATGTAAGCTATGCAAAAAGTGTTCGTGTTTGCCTTTTGTCTTGCAGAAATCCAGTAATACATCATGAAGAACACAATATTTTACCCTACCTCTGGACCCTGTCTCAGCAACCATAATTAGATTTCTGTGTATCAACTCCATCATGTAACCATATGCAACATCCTCTTCGCACACCCTTTCTGTTTTATTCACAAAGCCTTCTGCCTTCCACAACCATAGTAATTCACGAACAAGCACTTTTTCATCCTCTTTATATGCCCCTAAGTAGAGAAAACACGGTTTTAAATGATCTGGCAAATTATTATAACTCAACTCTATAATCTCCTGGCACTCTTCTGTAGTAGGTAGATTACCTTTCTTTAGACTTTCTTCAATCTCTTCCCAAATACCTGGCTCCATATTTGAAAGAACTCCAGCAACAACTAAAATCATTAATGGCAATCCCTTGCAACGTGTTGCAATTGCCTTGCCTCGTGCAAGTAGTTCAGGAGGACACCCCTCTACAAAACACATTTTCTTTTGAAAGAGTTCCCAACTCTCATCAAAGGTGAGTAAACGAAGATGAAGAGGTTTACTATTTGTTCTAATTCCCAAAGCAACATTCTCAGATCGACTGGTTATGAGAATTCTACTTCCCTTACTATCATCTGGAAATGAATTTTTCAAACAACTCCATACTTCAGTATCCCAAACATCATCCAAGATGACAAGATATATCTTTCCCTTCAAATATTTGCGTAGTGCATCACCCAAATCATCTTCACTCGTTCTTGAAAGCTCCTCAACAGATTTCTGACCAAGGCTATTTAAAATAGCTATCAACAAACTTTTCCTGTTCCATACTTGCGAAACAGTGCACCATAAATGAGCTTGAAAGTGAAAGGTGATGGAGGGATCACGATAGACTTTCTTGGCCAAGGTTGTTTTTCCTAACCCGGCCATACCAACTATTGGAACAATGTCCAAATTTTTTGTACCTCTTTTGAGTCGCCAAACTATCTTCTCTGACTCATCATCTAACCCCACAATATCTTCATCAAAATCTGGGATCTTACCTGCAAAAGGCTTTTTACTGTCAGTTATAGCTATAGTATGGACTTTGATGATTTGCCTTATGCTATGGGAACTTCCAGATGCTTCTTTCTTAATCAGTTCTATCTCTGCTATGATGGTATGAAGGAGCACAATGAAGCTTTGATGAACGCCTCCAACTACTAGAAAATCAAGGACAAACTCTGTCTCATAGGCTACCTTAGCAACACGTTTCCAGAGATCGTAGAGCTTCCCATCTTCATCGTGCTTCCCTTTAATGCTCAACAAAAATGATCTGAGAAATGCAAGATCATCATGGACAATTTGAAGCTTATTCTTTACTGAAGCAACTACTAAATGAGCCTCATGTTGATTGACAGGATTCATTTTCTCCAAGATAGAGTCAATGAACCCCAACAAGTTTGTATGGGGAAATGTTGCTGATAGTTGACATCTAGGTGCCTCTCCTTCTTCATCTTCTTCCGAGTTAACAAACTTCAATTTTTCGTCAAATTTTGAAATAAGAAGATCTAATTTTTCACCCAAGCTTCTTTCTTTCTTTCCAACAAAAAGATAGCAAACTACGACTCCTGCCTCACAAATCAAGGATCCGATAAGGTCATGCATTTCTTGGTCATATAACTCATCAACCTTATCATATACCTCTCTCAGAGTGGTTCTTAAGAATTTGAGCCCCTTATATAGTTTGTATATTTGACGGTCAAAGATGTGCAAATGATCTGTACAACGGAACAATAGATGGAAAAGAAGGAAGAGGAGAGAATCAACAAAATCGGCCAGCATTAGTGTTTGGCATCCTGGAGCCATATAGTTGGATGATTCTGACACTTCTGAAGCTTGTTGCAGGACTCCAACATACATTTCACAAACACGAGATTCAAAAGGCTCAATTCTATCTATAAGTTTGTAAAGATTAGACCAACCAGGAGACTCTATATATAGGGCAATGAAAGTAGTGAAAATGACGCAAGCAACATCAACCACCACGCCTCCGGCGTGTATCAATAGATCTCCCATATGCTTGGGCACAAGCCCTCGAGACGCGACAAAAAGAATGAAATTCTTCAAGAATCTTAGACTTTCTTTCAGGTCATCAGTTCTGCAAACATTGTAAAACTCAAGAAGAAGGATAGAATCAATGATACCTAGGAGTTCCTCCATTTCAGTTTGAGAAGTAGAGCTAGTAGTGTCCAAGATGCCACATGAGAGAATCTGGTGCAGTGCCTCTGTTTCTTCCATAATTGCCTCCTCCTGTTGGTGAATGAAACAAGTAACCCAGCGGAAGAAATCATAATTGTCGTTTTCAAATGCCACCCAATCATCAAAAGCCTCTGAGAAGGTGAGATAAACAAACTGAATTTCGAGAGAATGCTTCAGAATATTCTGCTCCAAAGAACACAATGCAGATGCACATTCCACACCATTCCCCCACTTCTTCCCACACGAATAAAAGATTCTCATCAAACTGCACTTATCCTTCAGTTTGGCCCAGAGAAGTGACCTCCACGAATCCTCCGGATATTTGAGCCTTATTGAATCTATATCATCTGATACAATTCGAATACAATAATCCATGGCAAAATCTCTCCACAACTGTGAATTTGGTGAGAAAAACATATCAGTGTAATTAACTTTGTGCAAGTGCAGTAGCCTAGGCTTAAAACACATTGATAACCAAAATTAACCTCCAAAAATTCCCTCTAATCAAAGCAAAAGAAACAAATAGGACTAATAAAGTTCAATAATACGTCTAACGAAATTCCACAAGTAAACTTGGAGATTATCTTCAGTTCTTCCAAACAAAATTAATGATTCATCGTGACAATTCACGATGAAATGAAAACAAATTAAATAAACAGTTTGGCGAATACAAAACGTAAGATCTGTAACGAAAGAATACTTACCTCATAATTGGTGAAGGACATCTTCACAACTAACTAGGCAACACACAAACAAAGTCTAATTCTTTTGTGGGTGAAGGAGAAGAAATCAGTACTGGGCTTCAAGTAGTGAAGGGAATGAGAAAGGTTTGAAAAATTTTTTGCTGCTTCGCTTCGGAGAAATGATGGAGGACTAAAATTTTTTGAAACTGATGATGAACTGATAATTAATTTAATTAGTCTGAAGTATTGATTTATTTAATTAACGACAGTTAATCTTTCATCTCCACCTGGGTTATTGTAGCCGCCCCAAATTGATTAATGTAAAATTGATGGCCTAACCTGCCCTCGTTCATGTAGCCAAGAAGGTTTCTTCCATTAATAATCAATTAACCCAAACTCTTTATGTTTTCACTGTTTGCAAATACTATAGCGTAATTGTACATTAACTACAAAGTCTGTACATATAAAGCACTCGACGTTACATAATCTTGATAGGTTGACGTGAGAAAATGAGGTGAGACAAAATGAACTATTACAATGTGCCGAGAAAGTTTTACTTTTTTAAGTCGCTCTTCAAATGCAAAATCAAACGGTACTCTTACCTGTGAAATATTGAACAAGCAAAAACGATTCTAGTAGTGTAATCTTTTTGGTCTGGATTATATAGGCCAAGCATGCTCAAAACTAATATGCTTGAGCCCTAAAAAACAATGATGAAAAGGCAAACAACAAACTGTGAAATTGTTAGGCTCGGGTTCTCTCAATTGGGCCAGTAACAACAAAAAGGAAATAAAACAAAATAATAAAATGTCACGTTATGGGAGTTATGGGAGGTGGCTGGAAAACAAAAAGGGGAGAAATAAACGGAGGTCAGAGATTTTCGGGTTCTGATTTGGGGAAAATTTAATTTTTTTTTTAAATTATATGTGGACATATATATATATCTCCGGATTTCACAAATGCGAAGGTCCATTAAAATTAAACCTTCGGATTTCACAAATCCGAATATCTAAATGATATTAAAATAATAAGTATTTATATTTTGTGAAAATACAGTCAAAAAAGTCAGAAAATGAACAGTAAACTTCGGAATTGTAAAATCCGAATTCAATAAAATAAAAAGATACAGAAAGAAAATTGAGGTGCGAAATTTTTGAATTTCAACTCCGGAATTTTGTAATCCGGATTAAAGAATTCGGATTTTCGAAATCCGACTATATTAAATTTTAGTTGGTGGAAGTAGACATCTGTCATAAATTAGACCAAAAAATAGAATTAAAAAATTCGTAATTGACTAAACTTGAATTTCTGGAATCCGAGCTTCGTAGGATTCGGATTTTTGAAATCCGAACTACTTACTCATTCGGATTTTTTAAATCCGAGTTTGGCGTGATATAAATGAAAAAAAAAAAAGACAGTTCTCATTCGAGAACTGAATTGGATTTTTTGTTTCTGCGGCTCTTGGTTGGCGAATTGGAGTTTTTGAAGCAACCTTACCGCTAGATACGTGGGGATCTTTATTTGAAAGAGGTTAGATTGCAAAACCATGTTCATTAGTTTATTTTTGTGTTATTTTAATTGTTAGAATGATGTATGATAGATTAGGATTTTTGTTTGTTGATTGTTTGGATGTTTTAGGTGTTGATTTTGAGGTTAGAGATGAGAAATTATAGTTGTTCATGAGATATGGAGTATGTATTTTAAGATTTATAAGTATTTTAAGATTTTATAGGTTTTTTGAATTATGAATGGAGTATGTATGGTGTATTTGTTGATTTTATTTTTAAGAAATAATTAGATATTGATTTTTTTAAAACAGTTATCAATGGCATGTAATATATCATACATGCTTAATTTGTTTCATACAAGCATGTGATAGAGAATGGTAGCATCAACACTTTTTCGAATATGCCATATCATGGCTTGTTTGTTGAGAAAAGGTTGTCATATGTTGAATTAATTAGTAAGATTTGTATGATTTTCGATAGTCCCATGGTAGGCGTGTACTGAAGATCAAGAATGATTCGCATGTAGACTTCATGAACCGTATAGCTCCAATATCATGTTTGGATTTATACATAGATTTGGAAGATATCACTCACGAAGAAAGAGACGCGAGTTTGGAAAACAACGTGTTATTTGGTAGTTTTCCAAGGGGGGAACGTGCTAGTACTTCTCGAAACCGTGAGACCTTTGTTTGCATAAGATGACTACATGGAAGAGTCAGATCCCGACTACATAGCTCCAAGCGAAAGCGAAGAAGACCGTGAGGTCTCTGCAGATAGTGATTTTGAGGAAAGTGATGATGAATTATTGAAAAATGAGGAAAGGGATCTTAATCCATTGCCCCGACGCCATATGTATAGTAAGATGGGGAAATGGGATGTCTCGTGTGTGGACAAGGATGAGTTTGCTCTTAAGATGTGGGATGAAACCCCCGAAGGAATGGAAATTGGTGTTTGTTTCAAATCCGAATCAGAAACAAAGCATGCTATGAAATTATGGAACATCCATCACAAAAGAAAATATACGGTTGTCGTGAGTAGTCCAACGACGTGGGCTATGCGGTGCAGAACATAAAATGTACTAAGTGAGGATGGTGATCCACCATGTGTGTGGAAGATGCGTGTGTTTTTGAAAGATCACGACATTCATGAAATTATGAGATGGCATGATGCACATAATTGCATGACTTCCGTGAATGATAATGACAATCGGTGTGTGGATGCGTCTTTGATTGCTAGACTCATCAAGAGAAAGGTTGAGGACAACGTAGATTATACGGTGGCCTCGGCGTAGAAAGATGTGATGACCTTATTGAAAGTAGATGTGCCACACAAAAGGGCGTGGCACGGGAGGAGGAAAGCCATAGAAGTGGTCTATAGTGATTGGACCTCGAATTTCGAAGAACTTTCTAGGTAAATATCAAATTTTATAATTGTTATGTGCATTATTTTATTTTATTTTTATGGTTACATGTATTGAAATATTTTAACTATGACTCGTTTGTTGTGTAGGTATATCGTTGCGCTTAAGTTTACAAATCCTGATACTATGGTAGAGTGGGAATGGAAGGAGGGACAAGAAGGTTGGAACAGGGGAAATAGGATATTTAAATACGTCTTCTGGTCATTTGCAGCAGTGGTTGTGACGTTTGTTGAATATCCATCGGTCATTTGTATCGATGGAACACACTTGCGTGGTGGATACAAGGGTAAATTGCTTGTTGCAGTGGTCTATACCGTAAATAAGCACATTTTACCTGTTGCATTTGCGATTGTGGATGAGGAGACAGTAGAGAGTTGGACATTTTTTTATGAGGAATTTGAGGTTATGGGTTGTGCAGGATAGAATTGTAAGTGTGATATCCGACCGGAATGCAGGGTTGTTGAGCGCAATGTCACAGATGGATGAATGGCGTAATTTAGGGGATGGTGGCCACTTTTATTGCCTCCGCCATGTTCGCAGCAATCTTGTGTCGTGACATAATAGCAGAAAGGTGAAGCGATTATGTTGGAAGATGGGCACGACGCTTTCAAGAGTGAAATTCAACCGTATGCGGGCAGGGCTTATTGAATTCAAACCTGTGACATGAGAGTATTTTCGAGGGATTCAAGGGAGTAACTAGGTCGATTGAAAGCCGGTCGTTGCCGTTGGGGCATAGCGACAACCAACATTTCTGAGAGTTACAACAATGCGTTGAAAGGGATCCGGTTTTTACCAATTAGAGCCTTGATCGATGCAACCTTTCGCAAAACTATGAAATTCTACAGAGAAGAACAATTGTGTGCGAGAAATTGCATGACACCGATCCCTCCTGAGTTATGGAAAAAATTATGAAAAAATGAACGACAAAGAAGCCAGTTTTGATGCCTCCCCTTTTGATGGTGATGATGCTAGGTGGCGGGTTGTTACTGCTACACGGCTAAGTGGCAGGGGTGGGTATTTGCATACGGTGAACTACGATGAATATAGGTGTTCGTGCTGGAAGTGGCAAGAGTACCGGATGCCTTGTACGCACGTACTCGTCGTTTGTCGGAAAAAGGGGATCGACCTATTGATCTATACCATAGTTTGTGTCGCCTTCCAGCATGGCGCAGATGCGCAGACAATTTGATTACACAGATTTTGTTCCGGTTTCCGATGAGGAACAATGGCCGGTCGCTTGGAATATCATTCCGAAATATGAGCGTCTTGTTTTGAATGTAGGACCGGGACGAAAACAAAAAAGGAGACATAGAATGCAAATAGATTACAGGGGACGCCGGAGCCGGGAGGAATGTTGGAGATGCGGACAACAAGGTCACGATGCCAATTCTTGTCCTTACTCGCACCCAGGAGTAGATAGAAAACCTGTGGATGGCAGCTTGAATTGAAAGACATTTAGTGTTCTTATTATTTGGATTGACCATGTTATTTAGAATCACAACTGTTTAATTAGATGTCCTATAACTGTTTGTATTGATAAATTCGGATTGTAATGTTAACATTGAATTGTTCGGATTGTAATATTAATATTGAATTGTTGGTGTTATGATTGTGATGAAAATAGATACTAGTTTTCGATAACAGGTTTTGGGATTGTGCAAAAAAAAATTAGACATTTTGTATTTTTGCATTGGGCTCGGATTTCAGGAATCCGAGTGATTCCATTTTGTATTGAGCCCGAATTTTGAAAATCTGAAATAAGCCTGATTTCCTGCAACATGTAAATCGGATTTTAAAAATCCGAGTTATTCCAATTTGTACTACATCTGGATTTTGGAATTCCGATGTCAGAAATTCCATCATGGAGTGTGCAATTTTGGGAGAAGCAGGAGAGATTCGGATTTCCATGTTCTGGATCTCCGAATGCAGATTTTGCAAATCCGAGTTTGACGGAGACTATAAAAGGCCGGTCAACTCTTCCCCAATTCAATTTATCCCGTCCTCAAATTGGAAAACCCTAATTAACTCCCGTCCGGCGGCCAACTTCACCCATCCACCGCTCCTCCCCGTCTGACGACTTAGTCCAGGACCCAAATCGACAAACCCTCCGTCCGGTGACTCAAGTTCCTCAGTCCGGCGACCAAATTCCTCCGTCCGCTGCTCCCAGTCGAAGTTCACTCAAGTCCGGCGACCAAATTCCTCAGTCCTAATTGAACTCCCTTCTATCCGGCGACTCACTCCCGTCCATTCTCCCTCAACGACTCCTAACAGAATTGGTGGTAAGTATTTTCCATCCTTTTTTTGCAATTTTTTTTTCATTCTTTAAGTGTGTTTTCTCTTTCTTTCAGTAAATTCTTTTTTTTTTTTTGTGAATGTATTGGAATTAGCCTGTTTAGCTTGTTTTGGTTTGGTTTGTAAAGTGTGTTACCAGAATTTTTTTTTTGTTTTTTTTTTCCGGAATGAGGATTTGTGTAATCCAAAAGTTATATATATAG